TGGAGGGCCTGGGGCGGCATCGGGGAGGTGGTTGTGCCAGCGACGGGTGGGCGAGTGAGAAGTCGAAGTGGGAGCCGGGCTGGCGGGAGGCGGAGTGCGCCCGGCGGTGTTTGGGGAGTGGACGACAATGCGCCCTAGTATCGAGAGCGAGGCAAAATATGTATCGTGGTATGTATCGTCATTCTATGCGCGAACCAGAGGGGAGGGCTCAAAGTGAAGGCGTCGAGATCGGGATGCAAGAGTTGGGTTTTGATCGGAGTCGCACACGACCAGCGACAGTGGAGATCAAGGAAGTAGAAAAATCGAGATTAGCCAAAAGATGCGAGATAGTGCGTCGCCCTCTGCCGGTCGTTGATCGAGCGCGTGTAATGCCTGCTGCGAGGTGTGGTCGTCGGTGTAAGAGATGGGTTGGGCAGCCTGGTACCTATTCGATTCTTGGTGGTTAAGGCTGTGTCTCCCGTCAAGAACTTGGAACCTGAGCGGCAGGAGCTGGGAATGGCAGGCAGGGACGTAATGCGAGCCCAGCCAAGGTGCGTAGGTGGAGGGCCCCTCGCCTTCATTCCCTCAGCCTGAGTGGACGGATGGCCCTGAATGGAGATTGAATGGGTCAAGATTTAGCGGCTTCTCACCAAAAAGGCACGGGCGTTTTAGTGGTTTGCTCCACTGAAGTCGAGTGGGCACGGGCTACTCCTTGGCTCTATTTTGGCTTGCTTTTGGCTCCTTTTCAGGCCTCTGTTTGGCTCTGTTTCGGCGCGGGAAAATGCACGCAACCCACAGATTGCACAGGGCTCATGGTGAGTCCAAGAGAGACATTCAAAGACAACGTGCGTGTGGAGGCGCGGCTCTCTCCGTTCCATTCTATCTCATGCCCTCTACTCTCTGCCCAGACTTGCGTGCTTGCCTACCTACCTACTCGCGTGACGGGGATTTTGAGGCAGCCTATCCGCACTGTATCATCAAGCCAGCTAGTTAAAGGGAGCATAATGCTAAGGAATAACATCTATTGAACGCGCAAGGCTGTTACAATGATGATATAGCTCTGTGAGGGGCTAATCATTATGTTATAATCCTATTATAATTAAGAGATATTTTTAGAAGATATTATGATAATATTTTATCATGAAGCTACAATATAAACCCGATAGTGTCAAGCAAGTCATGCCTCACACTGTCTTGAACCCCCCCTCTCACCCGGGTAGGTATCTCTCCACCAACACTTCAGGTCCTCATTAATCATACTCAACTCTCCACTCACTGTTTGAGGCGCTTCATTCAGCTCCCTTCCGGCGTCGGATTGATTTCAATTCAAGGGTCACTCCAGCATGAACTACAGGCCCCATCCGCCTACCAGACACCCGGGCTCATCTTGAGGGAAATCTGGCTACTATGCGCGCTAAGGTGGTCGCCGGCGGTTTAGAGTGATGTAGGCGTGATGTTGGGAGATGGGGACACCAGCGGACAGTTTGTCCGGCCGAGGTCATTTTATCATCGGAAACGCTTCGGTCAAAACGAGAAGGAGGATGGAAAAATCAGGCTCTGTCCCCTGAATGGTCCCCGTCTCCCGCCGCCGTTGTCGTAACGCTCAGGAGATGATGTCCGGCCCCTCTCCTCGGTCACTGGCTGGTGTCGATGATGACCACAAGCCGAAAGTCAGAACGTCTCACCGTCAACGCCAACATGACTCGATGGGAATCCTGTAATGTAAGGTCAACGGCAGGCTCAGCCGGCAACGTGGGTTTGTAGAATGATCAAGGGAGAAGCCCCTCTTCTCTGTGGCTTCCGGATATGCCAGAGGTGGAGGTGTTGGAACATGTCGCACATGGAAGACGGCAGCGGAACGTTGGTGGTGAGAGGAAGCTCACCGTTGTCATCCCTGCCTATTCGACGGCACAATCCGAGAAGGTTTCACTCCGGGTAGCGAACGAGGTCATTGTCAGGTGTTGCCGGGTCCGTTTTCGTCTACGATCTGCAGATTGGAAGGACAGGCTGGATGAAGGCGTCTGACATCCAGCTGTCTGTTGGTGGTACAGTAGCACCACGGGTGACAGAGGGCATTAGCCGAACGGCTCTGTCTTGTGAGAAGCCACACTTTGCGAGGTGAGGTGATGACAGCAAAGACAATCACCTAGGTGCAATACTTAATTCGTCAAGAAGAACGCCTTGTCTCCTCTTGAGAACCAGGCTAGCGCGCGACAATCGAGGGCAACATGCAGCTTACACCAACCGTTGACCACTCATGATGCTTCTGATACGCTACTAGATGCAGCAACAAAAGACAGCACAGCACAGCACATAATAGCCCTGCCGAACTAAGTGGCCCATCAGTATCCTGCCAACCAGATGCTGTATTCTTCCTCGGAACAGCCTCCACCAATCCCGATCAGCCAAGGCGGCTTGAGAGTCATGACCACTGAGCAGACTGAGACAAACAGAGACAGAGAGAGACAGGGCAGGGCACCCGTCCCCATACCGTCAGACGAACGACTGTGGAATTCCGATAAAGCCCCCGATCTGTCAGCTTTTACGTAGCGTCATCCGGGCAGTGTCACACAACACGGTGTACATATTGAACTGTGCCACGGGGTGTTGTGTTCAGCCAGCCCAGCCACTACAAATGGCACCATTCCCACAGCACTAGTCCCATGAGCCGCCCTCTTCAAGACCCAGCTGGACGGAGGGTTTCTGGGGCTTGCACATCTCCCGAGCCCTCGGGACCGTTCCGACCCCAGTTCCTAACCGGATACTGCATACGGAAAAAGCTTGAAGGGGTGGCCAAGTGCCTCAATATGTAGTGCTAATGGCGGAGCTAGAAAAAAAATCAGATTTGGATGCTGGGAGGCTGTTAGCTCCTTGCCCCTTGTTTCTCCTCCGACAGGTGAGAAGACACTGCAAGTACCAAATATCTCAAGAGGAATGGCAATTGCAGACAATGCCAGCGAGGACTTGAATCCCAAGGTTTAGTGAGCCTTGGATTCCAGCCGGGGAAGAAGCTCAGATCTTACCCGCCCAAGTAGCCGTCAACCTAGCTTGTTAGTGCAAGGGCTGGCGCCTCCAAGATCCATCGCAAAGCTTCTCCTAAGCCTCACTCCGAGAGAAAATAGGGAGAAATTTATGTCTTTCTCCGTGGGGGCAAGAGATGAGCAAGTGAGCTTCTGGTCGATCATGAGAAGCAACAGCCACAAGCCGAGATGCTGCTTCGCCTCTCTTTGGCGTATCATGGTTTCTTCTACAATAGCAACAACTGCTTCCACTTGACCCCAAGAAAGGAAAGCGCAACTCCACGATAGCTTCCAGATCCCAAGTGGCGGTTCTCCAGCCAGGAGCAGGCGCCTGCCCGTCCCGATAACCTGGCTGGCGGGCTTCTTTGAGCTTCATCTCTTTTCCTCGATTCAACAGCATTCGTTCTATCGCCATCACTACAGCCTTCATTCGCTAACCATCTTTATCAAACGGGATTCTATCGAGTCGCCTTACCCTCCTCATTCACGCCATTTTTACTCCAACTGTGCCCTCTTTGCCACTTATCTTGTCATGGAGTGTGCAGGCTGGTGCTTTTGGGTCAATGGATTTGGCGGAGGAGCTCTCCACAACCACGGCCCTCTCTCACCTATTGGTACGACAATGTACCACTGTCCAATCCACGAATGCCACCATGCCATATGGTTCTCTCACCATACGGTTCAGCCCCGATGTGGCTCATGTGCTGCTGTCTCCTTGCGCTATACTGCTTCAGCGCAATGGCTTCCATCCCTTGATTTACGGACCCATCTAATACATGGAGCAGCCCGCCGTGGAGTTGCAGAGGCAGAAATCAGGCAACTGGCCAGTGAGGCTGGCTTGGTGGAGGATCAAAGTGCTTCAGTCGATGACACGGAATTGGAGACTGAGTTGGAGGATTTGCTGCCCTTGTTATTACCTGAGGCATTCCCTCCTCGGAGCTACGAAATCGAAATCCCCGTTCACGACAGTACCTATCAATTCATATCGGGCGGCCTCATCCCTGATCCTCACATCCCCGGCATGTGTCTCTTTCACTTTCTCACCTTTCAAGGGGTCAAAGCCTTCCAACCATGCCACAAAGACATCGAAACTCTCGGGATGTTCGAGGCATTAGATCTTATTGAGAATGGCGACCCCATCTTCAAGGCAGCTCGCGAGTGGTCCTGTACTGTCCAGGCCATAGAAGATCTTCCCAAGGCTGTCAGATAGATTCTCGCCATCATTTACAACTTCGCCTGCGAGATGTTGCGCAAAACAGTCACGGAAGCAACCCTCTCGGCGAGGAAACCTTGGTTAATTCACTGGTACCAAGTTGCTGATTACTATTTCGACCGTTATGGCATTTCTGCCACCACACCAAATGCAAAATGGGTTGAAGAGCCCCCGTCAAAAACAGCGTCGCCAGTCGGAAAACGTGGCGAGATGGGTTGGATACAGAGAGACCGACATTCAGTTTCAAGTGACTTGAGCGACACTGGGACCATAATCCATCACCATGGGCGTGGCAGCCTTCCTTTGGATCTAAGTCCCGGTGGCGAGGTGTATCGTCGTCTCCAGAACGGTGCTTCGGTACAACACAATCAGCCATGAGGGAGGCGGATGACGGCCAGCGCATTTTGCACTGAAAGAGTGTGACAACCTTTTCCGACAGGATTTTGGAGGGCATATGCAGTCATTGAAAGCCAGTTAGGTGAGGCAGCTCCCAGGTAACCGCACAAGTGACGGGGGTGCTAGGAATAATGGGTTTTGAAAGATGCAACTATCAAGCGACCTGCTTTAGCTTTGGTTTATGTCTTGGCTTTGCTTATAGGCTAGCGTAGCAATTCAAGCACATGTTTTCTAGACTTGAAACCGTCATTTCCCCAGTCTAATGTTTACCTCGTAGTCAGTGACTATCCAGTTCTACCATTCTACCTTGCCTAACGCCAGGCTGTCCTTGCGATACTCTACCCAAGATATTTGCCGCCAAATGTTCTGCGACGAGACTCATGTTGGTCCATTCATTGAGCTGAAATCAAGCTCACGTAGACTCCCCAAGCAACGCCAGCAAGAGCACCCACCAGGTTTCGTCCCTCAACCGTCTTGATAGCGGCAAAGTTGACGAGGCTCACAGCAGGCCAGAGCTTCCAGCCAGCAACGACAAAGGGGACAAACTCGTTCTGCGCAGCAGCCCAGACAGTAGGCCAGTCGACGCGGGAAAAGTTCAGGGCTCCAGGGGAAGTCAAGAAGACCACGGTCTTGGGGAGGCTGGTGATGACGGGGACGGGATGAAGGGCCAGGCGGAAGGAGTGAACATAGGTACTAAACAGGAGCGTGTTGAGGGCGGCGCCAACTGTCTGGTCCAGGATGAACTTGATGGCCGTGTTGCGGACTGAAAACTTGGGCTTGGTGGTTTTTTCCTTGGAGGACTGTGGTTTGGGGTGGGCGGGGAATGTTGTCTCGAGAAAGTCTTGCCTGGAAGGTGTGAGATAAAAGCAAAGTTGGGGTGTTACACAAGCAGGGAGATTTGTGAGTGTTGGGGTCGAGTGAAGGACAACTCACCACATAAAGTTGGGCGGTGTGCAAATGAGGTTGAAGAGCAGGAACTGAAAGACGGGGATCCAGTCTATGGCGACATCGGACTTGGAAATCTTGTTAGCCTCTAGTTATTTTTTCAATATGGGAAGAGAGAAGAATCTCTGTCTGAGTCCTCATCTTACCTCTGTTCTGTAGGCCGTGATGAGCTGAGCCAACACGTTTGCAAAGGCGCCCAGCGTGGCATTCTGGAGGGCGGCCGTGAGCATGGGTGATGAGAGTGACATGGCTGCGATATTTGTTACTCTCTTATGAAGGTAGAGTTACGGAGAGAATAAAAATGTGTTCTAGAAGAGATGTTCTAGGAATGATGTAGGTCAAGAGTTTAGGTAAGTGAGCTTGATGGATAGATAGACGTGTCTGAGTTGATGGGCCGCTAGTCGTGCGTGCCAAGACCCGGTCAGTTTGCACGACACGGGGGCCATCTCAGCGCCTAACATTGGCTCTTGTTAGGCGCTCTCAATGTAGTACAGCAGCTTCACTTGGAAGAATTCATGCCAATGCTCAAATTCGTAGATATTTACAAACAAGGCGACGTGGTACATTTTGACTGGGACTTCACAGCGCTAATTCCCTGTCCGGAGCTGGGATCGGAGGTCTCAGTGTAACCAAACTCCTGTCCTCCACCTCTACAGCCTTGACATCACCAAGCGGCAACCTTGTCGAAGTTCATGCGTCTTTTGATTCTTCATTATGCAAAACAAGCTTTCATCGTACATCTCGCTCCAGTGTCATTACCATTCCAGCCTCTCCATAGTTATTTCCCTTTGTGCTTCCCCCGCAGCGCAGTCTAAACCCCGTCGACGCCGAAAAAGAGTCCCCCTTTGATGAAACATCTTTTACCAAGTCAAGTCAAGCCATTGTCTTTATCCTTGTCCTTAGTTCTTTTTCACTCTGGTCAGAACCCACATGAAAAAGAACTGCACAATGTACGAGTAAAAGAAGAGGAACTGTGTCCGCTGGTTGCGCTTTGCTCGAGAGTCGGTCTGCATTGGTCCGTTGTTGCCGCCCGACGTCTCGGGGAGGAGCACGTACTTGAGTGATCGCATCTAAAGAGTATTAGCGCCTGTTCAAAGCTCACAAGACAATGAAGACTCACCAAGAAGAGCGAGTTGGCCAAGAAGGTGTACAGAAACACTCCCCAGCCAATCCAGCCACCTGTTCCCTTGCCACCGTTGAGGATCTCGGCAACAACAATGGTAACAATGATGCCCACAAACTTGTAGCCCGAGTATGCGATCAGATCCAACAGCTGCGACTGGCTAGAGATGCTCAGGAGGTAGCATCCCAACTTGAGTGCGACAATCTCGACAATGACAACAACGAGGCCAATCGTGGCCGTCTTTCCGAGGAGCTCAGGCTGGAACTTGCCACCGAGACCGGCGATCAGGGTCGAGAGGAGGATATATGTGACGATTGCCATGACTGTTCCCGATCAGCTTCCTGCTCAATCCACCAAAACAAGGATCCTACACACCTGGGATGTACATGTCGGGACTGTTGATGTCGTCTCGTGGGGCGAGGTACCAGCCTTCTTGCCCATTCTGCCCGACGGCTTGCTTGCGCGACCAAGGCTTGTGCCTCCAGGGGAAGACGACGAGGAAGAGCTTGTTGACGACGTACGAGTTGGAGACGTTGAAGTAGTGCTTGAGCGCAGAGACGTTGACATATCGGCCAAACTAGTTAAACGTCAGCACTTGACAATACCGTGAAAAGCCCACCACACTCACATTCTGCTCCATGTACTCTTGTCCATGCTTGAAGGCCGTCTGGCCGAATTGCGCCGCCACCTGCGCCGTGGGATCATTCATAAAGTTTCCGTAGGAGCCAAAAACATTCCCGCTGGTACCTCCCTGCTGCTGGTAGGGAGTCGTCCCGCTGCCCCCGTAGCCGTGCGATTGCGCAGAGCCCGGGGGAGGAGGCGGCGATCTTAGTTGGGGCACGGTTGACACATGCTGAGGAACTGGATGGTGAAGGGGCGGCGATTGCGCGTACGTCGCTCGCTGCATGGCGGGAGAAGAGCTGAAGAGAGCGTGTTCGTATAAGGATGCGGCGGGCTAAAAGGATCTCAGGGCGAGTCGTGGGGAAAATGTGCAGGGGTTGTTTAACAGGTCGAGGTCGATGGTGATGACGGCGAAGCTGCAAGCTGGTGTTTATTCAGGAAATGTGGTCGGTTGCTTCTCATTGGGTGCGGGCGCGGGTCATCATGGCTACTCAGCACAGCCTCACAAGAAACGGGATACGCCACACCAGGACACCTTGACACCCCGCCCCCTGACGAAAGGACACGTGACAGAACAGTTTCAATTTGCGCTTATCTTATCGATAGGGCTCTAGATCTTGGGGAACCCTGAGTCCGCTGCGGCGTGTCCGGCTGCCATCCCATCCAGGAACTAATTAGCCACCTCCAACTTCTCTTCTTGCCTTGATCGTCCCACAAGCATCCTCCTTTCCCTCCCTCTTCTTTTTCGCCTAGAAGCAGAATCTTGCTCGTGAGCGCTCAAAGTCAGAGAGAGACAGGATGTTGGACTCGTTCGAGATCTTGACCACTTCGGGTGTCGTCGTCTGGTCGCGCACCTATACGCCCATCAACCCGTCCATCATTAACAACTTCATCGCCGATACCTTTATTGAGGAGAAGAGCGGCGCAGTCGCATTGAGCGACTCCAGATCTGCCGCCAACAACCCGGCTTACAAAAGCGACCAGCATACGCTCAAGTGGACATTGGTTAAAGAATTGGGCGTCATTTTTGTCGTGGGTCATACTTGTCATGATGGCTTCTTTCCCCGATCTTCGGCGCTGACATACCCACCTCACCCCTAGGCCGTCTACCGATCCCTCCTCCACCTGTCATGGGTCGACAAGCTCGTCGACAACATCAGGACCATCTTTGTCAAGCTCTACGGCGAACAGCTCACAAAGCCTCACACTACCCTCGTCGAGTGCCATGCCTTTGACGAATATTTCGACCAACAACTCCAGGAGCTGGACCAGACCACCGCCAAGGGCGTACCCTCTGTGACGGTCGGCGCACTTCCTCTTGAGGAAAAAACCATTTCAGGAAACCTAGGCGACGAACCTCCCGTTGCGCCGGGCTTGACTTATAGAGGTCGCACCCTCAACAATACCAATGAACCTACATCCCGCGACTCGACCCCCGCCTTGACGCCCAATGGATCGCGACCAACTACGCCCAGCAACAACCACCTCCTCGTGGCCAAGGGCCCCCTCAAGATGTCGCGCCGCGCGCGCAAGGCCAAGAACCAATCTTCTGCTCCCGTCTCTTCCGGAGACGAAGCGCCCAAGAAGAAGAAGGCGCCCAAGAAGGGGCGCAAGTGGGATGCCGACGGCTTCGCGGATGAGGATGACGACGTGCAGCTCGACTACTCAGCCAAGGCGCACGCCACTAGCGAGTCCGAAGCCGAGGCGACAGGCCGATCAACTGCTATCGACGAGATCGATTCCAATACCTGGGGTTCAAGGTCAAAGGGCAAGTTTGTGCTCAAGGATCTCGGTGATGAAGTGCACGAGATCCTTGCGTCTGAGGCAGAAAAGGCCGCAGACGCAAAGTCGCAACCCAAGGCTGGTCTCTTTGGGTCTGGCGTCAATGCCATCAGCGGTCTCTTCCGCAACGTCGTAGGAGGCAAGACCCTGACCAAGGCTGATCTTGACGCCGCTATGAAGGGGATGGAGGAGCATCTTCTTAAGAAGAACGTTGCGCGAGAAGCTGCTGTGCGGCTATGTGAGGGTGTTGAGAAGGAACTGCTCGGTGTCAAGACCGGTAGCTTTGAGAGCATCAACACCAGGATTCAGGCCGCTATGGAGGCGTCGCTTACCAAGATGCTCACCCCGACCTCCTCCCTGGATCTCCTTCGTGAGATTGACGCCATCACGGCTCCATCAGTCACATCTATGCGCAAGGCGCGCCCCTACGTCATGTCCATTGTGGGCGTCAACGGCGTAGGCAAGTCGACCAACCTCTCCAAAATCTGCTTCTTCCTCCTTCAGAACAAGTACAAGGTCCTCATCGCCGCCGGCGACACCTTCCGTTCTGGAGCTGTTGAGCAGCTTGCCGTCCACGTTCGCAACCTCAAGGAGCTGACGGCTCGTGAGGGTGGTCGCGTCGAGCTGTACCAAAAGGGTTACGGCAAGGATGCAGCCACCGTGGCCAAGGACGCTGTCACCCACGCTGCGCAGGAGGGCTTCGATGTTGTCCTTATTGACACGGCTGGCCGGAGACACAATGACCAGCGTCTCATGTCGTCGCTGGAGAAGTTTGCCAAGTTTGCCCAGCCAGACAAGATTCTCATGGTTGGCGAGGTACGTCACTCTCATAACCCCTTTTCATAACTGAATATCAACTAACTCTCTCAACAGGCCCTCGTCGGCACCGACTCTGTCGCTCAAGCTCGCAACTTCAACGCTGCTTTCGGCGCCGTCCGAACCCTCGACGGCTTCATCATCTCAAAGTGTGACACGGTCGGCGACATGGTCGGCACGCTCGTCAGTCTTGTCCACGCGACAAACGTTCCTGTGTTGTTTGTCGGCGTTGGCCAGCATTACTCTGACCTCCGCAACTTTTCCGTCAAGTGGGCGGTTGAGAAGCTCCTAAGTAATAATTAATGCGAGTTTTGGGTTCAAGGGAGGCATGAGTGATTGATTGATTGATGGATACCATGAAGCAGCAGCAACAGCAAGAGAAGGAATAGGGCAAGACAAGGACGTTCTCATGATATGAATTGGTTACTCTTGATATTATAATAGTAGTCTCTCACAAAACATCAAGCAAGAAACTCTCGTCCTTGAAAGCAAAGCATGTCAATCAATTGTTGCTCTCTGTGAGTGTGAATTATGATTATGTACAACTAGTAAAGTCATCACGCCCATCCCACGACCTATCGATATAAGTAGGTTGGGAAAGTAAGATATATACACCACACCGCTATGCAGGCAAGACCATAACAAGGAGAGGATAATGAGAAAGATCAAAAACAACTTTTGATTTTCAGACATTCATTTTTTTTGGTGTTTTTTGTCCTTTTTGTTGATGGTTTTCCCTCTTCCGCCAGCCAATCCATGGCCCCTTTTTTGGTGAATCCCATTTCCTTTCTCTCTCATAAACAGAAGCTGAAGCCTCATTTCGAAACATGACAAATGAATGACAAAGTAAAAAAAGAAGAAAGAAACAAGGTTAAAAAAGAAGAAGAAGAGAAAATCCCAATCTGTGTGGCATAAACATCAATCCAAAGGGGGTATCTTTGTAGGTTCGCAGTCTTGGGTGAAACTAGTGTAATAAGTAAGGTGGAATAAGGCAGCGCGAATATGCATGTATCGGCCGTTTTTCGATGCAATATTGATCTTGCTTGTAACAAAGGAAACAAAAGGAAAAGAGTTAAAATCATATGACAGAACAGTCCCTCCCGCCTCTTGCCGCCAAAGAAAGAACCGTACACGTCCGCTCAGTCCTCTTCGAAGAAGTCATTATCATCAAAGTCTCCAGGTTGCGCATCCGAGTCGTAGCCGCTCGTCCGCATCATCGGGGGAGTCATGGGCTCCTCCTCTGGTTCCCTGGGAGGCGGCGTGGTTACTCGCTCTGATCGATGCGAGGTATTTGAGATTCCTCGCGATCGTCCTGGCCCGCCGCTTGATGGGAAGCGACGTCCAGTGCTAGCGAAGGCGGTGGGCTGTGGTCTGTTGTCCACAGGGGGTGTTTGTCGCAGTCCAGAAGCTGGGGGCGTCATAAGACCACCCAGCAGGCTGTTCTGCGCATTCGAGTTACTCCTCGAAGGAGTGGCGTTTCGTCCAGCGACAGGAGAGTTTAGGACATTGGTGAAGCTGCTCAGAGATGGCGAGCTGCGGTTACCCTTGCGCCAGTTGCCCCAAGCGGCGGCGATAGGACCGATCGTTTGGGCAACCCGAGGAGTGGCATTCTGAATAGTCTGGGCAATGTTGGGTAGGTTGATGGCAGAGCCACCGTTCATGGCTCTCTCCCGTTCCTGCTCCTCCATCTGGAGGTTCGCCTTGAGTCTAATGGCGGCATCCTTCACTGCATCGCGATCAAAGCGGTCACTCTGAAGTGCCGCGATGATGTCCTGCAAGTTCTCGTGCCTAACTGCAAGGAGCTCACGAAGCCAGCTAATCTCATCATCTCGCTTGGTGATCTTGCTTGCGGCATCAGGATCCGCCTTGGACAAGGAGTGCTCGAGCTCCTCGATTCGCTGCTCACGGGCCTGCAGTTGCTCCTGGAGAACCATGATGGACTCCCGGAGGGCCTGCGGCGAGATCTTCTCAGGAGGGTCGAGGGTTCGCGAGGCATGCTTGACCTGAGGAGCAGCGATAGGCACCTCAGCACCAGCAGACTTGGCAGCCTGGGCAGCGGCAGCGGCAGCCTGCTTGGCAATCTCAAGCTTGTCCTCGAGGTGGAGGATGCGATCTTGAAGGTGTTCAGTCTTGGAAGCTGACAGGCTGAGACGCTCCAAGAGGTGTTGCTCGGTCTTGTGAGCATCCTCCTGGGCATTGTTGACGCGTCGCTCATATCGGGTCTGGAGATCCTCCAACTCGTTGAGGTGCTTGGCACGCAACTCGTCAAGCTCGATTGTCTTGCTGTTCTCAGCCTCCTCAAGAAGCATCTCGCTCTGGGCCTTGGCGGTATCGGCTTCAAGTCGGACGTGGTCAAGCTCGGCTCGAAGCTTCGAGTTCTGCTCCTCAAGTTCCTCACGAATGAAGTTGACTTGGTTGTTGGCAGAGTCGATCTCAGTCTGGAGGGCCATGCGAGTTCTCTTGACCTCGCTGGCACCAGACTCGCGGGCCTCCTCGAACTCACGCTGGTATCGGGCAGCCTTCTGCTCAAGCTTGTGGTTCTCGGTCTTGAGCTCGCCAATCAGGCTCTCGAGACGAGCGCACTCGTTGGTGGCCCGCATACCGGCACGTTCGTTAGACTGAAGACGTTCCATCTCAACCTCCAAGCGCTCTCGGGTCTTAGCCTCAGCTTGGAGACGAGCATCCAACACCTCCTGTCGAGCGAGCATGGCCTGGTCCTTCTTGATGCGTCGGGCATTGTCCTCAGCAATCTCGCGAGCGGCTCGGCCCATATCCTCTTGGAGAGAAATGAACTTGCCTCGCCAGGACTCACGCATGCGCTCGTTCTCTTCAAGTTGGGTGGTGAGGGTGGTGAGAGACTTGTGCATATGCTGGTTCTCCTCAAGGGCACGAGTCAACTCGGCACCCTTCTGTCGGGCAGATTCATCATAACGCTCAGCCTCGGCACGCCAGTGGTGGTTGTCTTGGCGAACATCCTTCAACTCAGCTTCCATAACCTTGCACCTGCTGATAGCCTCAGTCTGAGCCTGAGCCGCGTTGTTTTGGGCAGCCTCCAGAAGAGCAATCCGCATAGCAGTCTTGCTGTTGGCCTGCTCCACAGAGCGGAGCTTGTGGTCTCGCTGCTCAATGATCTCACGAAGTCGAACAACTTCCTCAGCGGCAGTTTCATGCTGGACCCTCGCTTCAGTAAGCTTGTCCTCGGCGGCACGGCGCACGATGACGGACTGCTCACTGAGCTCCTCGGCCGTGCGCAGTCTCTCCTCAAGGTCAGCTACGCGCTGGTCAAAGACGCTGCGGTTGATAATCTCAACCTCGACACGGGTCTCGGCAGCCTGAAGCTTGCGCATAAGCTCAGCAGCCAAGTCCTCGGCCATTCTTCGCTCAGCAACCTCGTTCTCGACCTTGGTCTGCTCAAAGTAGAGGCGCTGCTCGATCTCTGTGATCTTGGCCAGCAACTCTTCAGTCTTAGCATCTTGGACTTCTTCAGGCTTGGGGCCGGCAGGCACACGCTCAACCACTTCCTCCACAATCCTCTTCAAGTCATTGTTGCCCTTCATGCTGTCACTGATCTGCTTCTTCATCTCTTCGAGGGCCTCCAGAATAACCGTAGGAGGTGCCTCAACAGCTGTTGGTGCAGGGCCAGGAGCCAGAGCGGGGGCTGGGGAGAGTGAGGGTTGGCTGCGCTGATGAGCAGAGAGACCTTCGAGCACAGCCACGCGGATCTGATCCATGCGGCGATCCCTTCGGGGGCTCATAGAACGGCGAGGAATGGGCTCCTCGTCCTCATCATCGGCATCGCTCTGCTGCAGCTCAGCAGAAACGCTGCGCATATCACGGCGAGACGAAGGAGTTCTTCGAGCTCTAGTGGCGAGAACTTGCTGAATAGAGAATAAGGTCTTCTCCAGAGGCTCGAGGCGAGATGCCAGGAGGTTACCGACCACTTCGTTGACACGTCCATCGAAGAATTGAGCCCGGTTGTTGAGCTTCTCGTGTTCATCCTCGGTGAAGGCAGCTTCCCAATCACTAGCTGGCAAGCTTTCACCATCAACAACATCAGCATTATCAGGAGTGACCAAAGGCTCAGGTGGGTCAATGAAAGGATCTTCAAGCTCAGTGCTCAACATAGGCTGAGCAGAAGACTCGGGAAGAGCGTGGTACTCGCGAGGAGTGAGGCTGGCCTCGTCCCTAGCGTAGTGGTTAACAGGCTCCAGTCGGTAAGGCGATGAGTTGGCAACAGCTGCGATCGAGAGGTTGCGGGTAGGGCTGCCATGCTGCCAAGAAGGCTCGTGCTTGTTGACGCCCATGGTAGGATCGTCAAAGAACTGGTCCATAACAGCGTCAATCTCTTCAAAGGTAGGCTCAGTACCGTCACCACCAGCAGGGTTCGTAATAGTAGCAGAAAGCTCAGGCTCGAACTCGGCGTCGTGCTCAACGGATTCCAACACGTCGTCCTCGACAGGTACAGGAGGCAGGGGCTTCTCATCTGGCGTAGGGCTCCTGGCAAACCGGGAGGCAGCCAGGCCCTTGGGCTTGGGTGCAGGATCAGCAAAGCGAGAAGCACTGAGTCCCTTAGAAACAGTCCTAGGTTGAGACTGGCCAGAGCTGTATCGAGAACCAGCAAGGCCAACAGGGGCGCGAGCCGGAATGGGGCTGCCCACGGGAGACGCGTCGGATTCTTCTTCTTGTTCTGTCTGGGTGGCGTCCCCATAAGAAGCCGCACCGGGAGTGAATGGCTGGGCTGCAGCAGAAAGAGTCTTCTTGTGGCCGTGCTTAAAGTTGTCTTCACCGTATGGTCGGGCGTCGTTGAAGCTCTGAATGTCCACGTTGGATTCAAACTCGAAAGGCTTCCAGCGGTTGATGCCTTGGTCGGCAGGTGAATCCTCAGATGGCGCCGCCGAGGGAGCCGCGGTTGTGGCCTTGGTATCAATGGGGTCAGAAGTGACGATTGAGGACATGGATGTATCTGCAGGCAGAGTTTGCTCAGTCTCCACACGGCGGTCCTCTCCGAAGGCCTCATCCTTGCCGGATGCTTCAGATTCATGCAAGGGAAGCTCAGGCTCCTTTGGTTGCTCAGCAAAGAGCGGCACATCGTCGCCACCGGGCGCAGAGCTACGCGCGCGCTTGACTCTGTTTTCATCCACGAGAGGTCGTCCATCTGCATCCTCCTGCGTCTCATCGCCGCCGTGCGACCTCGCAGACGAAGTGCTGGATGGTCTGATGATCGGAATGGCCTTGGACTTGTTCAAGGCGCTAGATCTGAGATCAATGCTTCCGAAGATGCTTCCACGGTGACCCTTGCTCTCACTGCCGGACGCGACAGGGCTAGTGAACGAATCAGAGTGAGGCGTAAAGGTAGGCGCGTCGGGATTGAACTTGGGACCTGAAGCTGAGAAGCTGAAAGCACTCTGGCCAGGAGAGAATGACGGGGCGGTCGCGTGGATCTTGGCAGGCGTCACATGAGTAGGCGGGTTGGCTGGGGGAGAGCTGAACACGCTCGTGTTGGCCTGGAAAACAGAAGGCTGGAAGCTGGCGGCTTCAAAGTTACCAGGCTGGAAAGTGCTAGCAGTGGGCTGGAAGCTGCTAGCCGTAGGCTGGAAACTGGGTGCACCCGGCTGAAAGCTGCTGGCAGTAGGTTGGAAGCTATTCGCAGTGGGCTGGAAGCTTTCACTGGTTGGCTTAAAGCTGCTAGCATTGAAGTTGAACTGCCCGGGTGTGAAGCTGCTCGTGGGGTTGAACTTGAACTCAGGTGCCTGCACATTAAGCTTAGACAGCGAGGGCTTGCTGGCGTGGCTGGAGCGTCTAGCCGCGTTACCACCACTAGCAACTGAACCAGCATCGTTCCAGGGATTGCTGGCGGTTGAGAAGTTCTTCTGGTGACCAAAGCCAGCGGGGAAATCAAAGTCCTGAACAGGTGTACCCAGATTGCTGGGGTTTGTCTCAATCTCAAAGACTTCATCGCCCTTGTGGGTCTCTGGGATCTCATTGAGACTGCTGAACTTGGTCAGATTGCTCTCATCAGCAGTGACATTGTTCTCATTGTGATCACGGAAGTATCCCTGAGAAAGTGAATGACCACGGCTGTGGGGCCTGGGATGGTGCAGGACCAGAGGCTTGGTAGGCTCATTGGCAAACCGCTCTGGAACTGGGAAATGATTAGAGGCTTGTCGATCATGAGCAGGAACGAAAGGATCCGGCAGAGGTGCGGGCTCGTCGTTCTGAGGCTGAGGGTTGTAGTCCTCGTGCTCCAGCTCATTACGGAGCTGCTCCTCGAGATGGTACTCAGCGTCGTCAATCTCAGCCTGCAATGTGTCGGGGTTCTGCTGCGCAGGAGGCTCAGGCGACCTCACAGGGCTCTCAACAACAGGCTCCTCCTCATCTTCTCGAACTTCCTGCAAGCGAGGGGATGCCCTAGCTGGCTGAAGGAACGAGTACTGCTGGTGGGGGAGCATGGGATACTGCAGGGACTGGTGGCGCTGATGCATGGGGATGCCAGGGCTTTCAGGTCCAAATGGTGACTGAGGCGACATGAGGCCGTTCAGGTTCATAAGTGAAGGCGAATCATGACGGCTCAGGCCTTGCAGGATACCTGCCTGGTTCCAACTTTGCGGTGATTGGTGCTGGAAACCGAAAGGCGAGCTGCTAGCCGGCAGAGAGATGGACTGCCTAGGGTTGAATTTTCCGGGCAATGCAGAGAAGGAGAGTGGAGATGCGCCATGGCTGATGCCAGGGCTCTGAGTTGATGGTCGTCCAGGCATAAACTGGCCATGCTGGAATGCAGGGAGACCATGGTTGCTCGAGGCAGAGGAAGTCGGGAGAGGAGGGGAGAATGGAAGTGGCGGATACTGAGCTGAGGGTTGTCGGCTGAGATCAGTTGCCGCAGGAGAGATTGACGGAGGCGCAGGATCGTCATCACCAGAGAATACGCCAAGTGCTCTAAGCTTGGCCTCCTGCAGCTCATCCATGTAGTTCTTCCAAGCGTTCAGGTCAGGAAGTGTGACCTTGAAGGCTCGCTCCTCTCGCTCCTTGTCCACCTCGTCAAAATTGGGCCAAGAATCCCGAGTCTGAGAGTCTGCGGTTCCTTCTGCTTGGTAGCCATCTACCTCCAGATCGAAGCCCGAAATATCATATCCGAGCTCTTGCCATGAAGAAAACATTCTCTTAATCTCATCCTGGCGAAGCGGCATGGGTGCATGGCCGGACTGGCCTCGCTCCTGATCTTGCGGGATGAGGACCATGATGTTCTTGCCTCTCCAAGGCACCTTCTTCCTTATGCGGGGCGTCATAGCGGGCTCCTTGGGAAGAGGCTTCTGGCTGCCCTTGATGGGGGTCGCGGGAAGCTTGGGCTCCATGATGCCATTGACACTGGGCATGCGCTTCTTAGGGCTATCTGCGACAGGTACTTCCGATGGGGAGGCGGCCTGAGACCTGTCGCTCGCCGCGTCGTGGGTTGCCGGCGCGGCTTCGGAGGTCGCCATACTGCTGTTCTGTCCCGTGTTGTTGGGACTGAGGGAATCCCCTGGTCTGAGGGTCTCGATACTGGACCGGGCACGGGGTTGGTGCCAGGATCCTTGTCGAGACGTGGTGGTGGTTGTGAGGTTGATGGTCCGCTGGGGAGCTCGGGGTGTGCGGATTTCACCTTCTTCCTGCCAACCGGGTCCGGAGCCGCTCAATGAAGAGTGCTCGCTTTCACTGCCGTCACTAAACCAATGGCGACTCTCGTCGTTCTGGTCGTCGGTAGTATGGGTGCGGATCCAATCCTCGGTAAGTCCACGGGTCTGTCGGCGGACACGGTTCGCAAGAACGGCAGCGGCAGCGCTCAAAGGCGAGTTCCGATCCGACTGCGACCGCGAAAGTTCGGGGACTGGACGGAGAAAAGGGGTCTCGAGGTCTAAATGATGGATTGGTGAGTCGTCCGAAGCGTCGCTGCTGAAACTCTGACGGCGGAGGTTGCTATCTGACTGAGGGTAAGGGGAGCCCCAGCTAGCAGTGCCAAATTGGCCGTCCTCTAAAGCACCGGGCGGCGGTGTCCTCAGCAGCTGCAAAGCCCTGTCCGGGAGACGAGGAGCCGGGAGCGGAGGGAGGACGGGGGATAACTCGATGTCCTCTTCGCCGTCAACGGTTGAAGCGGTCGAGAGGGCGGGAGAGGCCGGGGAAGCAGGGCGGGATCGAGAGGGTAAGGCTCCGTGACCGTCCTGTGCGGGTGCACCAGGAGGAGCAACCGACGACGTTGATGGCGACGTCTTTACGACGACCTGTTTATTGGTGGAACGGGTCAGCAGTCAGTAATGCTGTGGCGTCTGGAGATGAATGTGTGCTCTGCCAGGCGAACAGATCATACAAGCTCCAGAGGCCAGCAATGAAAGGGTCTTTGGGGGCCACCACTCACCCAGGGAGATCAGTGCAGACAAGGACGTGCCGTCTGCAGCTGAGTCTCAAAAGAAGAAATTACGTCCTGTCTCTCCAAGGTCCGTCGCTTGGGTCGAATATCCTATTCTCGTCCAAGACCTGAGGGAGAAGGGGACGCAGGTTATGCGTTGCCGTAGCCGTAGGTATCTGTAACCTTCGGGAACCTGTTGGAGAAAAAAAAAACGGTACGCGACGCGTTCCCCGACTTAAAGGGGGCGGACGGAATGGCGGGTTTACTGTTGAGCACTGCGTGGGAAATTCCGGGGGGGGGTACCCAAGTGGGAATGAACCTCCAGGGGGTGGACAGGTACTGCGCGAGGCGACCGAGAAAGAAAAAAAAGACGTCTAAGAGAAAGGAAACGGCTTCATGAAGAAAAAAGGAGCGGCCAGAATATGAGTTGGGCAGGGTGACGATGCGGCCGGACACATCAGTCGGGTGTATTCTCCAAAGTTGGCAGAGTCGATCGGAGCGGCAGGGGGATAGAGGCGAGGAGGAAGGAAGAAAGGAAGAGTGGAAGAATAAAAAGTTGGCGTGGAGAAGGAGAAATGAAGACGTGGTTAGGGTCCGTCAAGTCGAGGGATGGGATGGGATGAGATGAGATGAGAGAGAGCTCCAGCCAACCTAGGTCAGTTGGGACGTTTGACAGTGGACGGGATGGAACCTCACGGTCTTGGTTCGAGGCTAGACAGCCGCGGGCTTGTTTTGTTTGGTCACCAGTGGTTCCAGGACTGACAATTGGACCAGATGTCAGGGGGGGAGACAGAAGGCAGAGACAGTGAACAGTTGGCCACTGGAACAGCTGGCAGCCGGCCAGCAAGCAGTGCGAGTGCTCCTCCAGTGCCACTGGCAGTTGATAGCTTGTTCCAAGGAGCGAGCTTCCTGTCCATGCTGTAATGAGACCCGCTCTCGAGGATACCGCATTGGCCCCGACGTAATCTCGCCAAGGGGTCGACTTGGATGAGAGATGGGGTGAAGGGTGGAGGATGGCACATGCTGTTTGATGAATGGTACCTTGACGCAGTGATTCATCTCGCGGAAGGAAAAGTACTCCCAATCAGTGGCCATGTCTCTGGACCCTTCAAACTTGACCCGCACCACGCTAGAACCCAGCAAGTGCTTGCTTCGCTGGCAAGAAAGGGTAGGCAGAAAAAAAAGAACGAGCCAGTTTAATTGCTCTCCGATTTGCTACAGCGTGGCCTCTTTTTTTTTTTTTTTTCTGTCTATCTTTTAAGCAAGCAATGCTTCCTCGCCTCTTCATCCTTGATAGTTTTCCCTTGTTTGCGTTTGAGGTGGAGGATAGATGCAGAAACCCATAGGTCGAGGCATCCATGCATGTTTTCCCCGTCTGCAATCAACGATGTGTGGCTTTCTTTTGTCTACCGGCGCCTATGCCCTTTGTAGTCGACCAAACTCTCTCTCCCATCATTCGAGGGATGCAGATGCCTGCAGGCCGGTGCTGGGATAGGCCAATTGCAGGATGCTATTCTGAGCCATTTCCCCGGAGTCTAGGATGCGGATGCAGTTCACGTCCTGGAGGCACCAAACAGCCTTCTCCATGACCGCGATATGTTTTTTTTTTTTGTCTGTTCAAGTTGATACCCTTTTTTTTTTTTCCTTCACTATCCACAGAAACTCAAAATGCCCCCCTCTGCCCCTTTACGGAGAACCTTGGATGGACGGGGCCGTAAAGCTAATGCCGGCCCCTCCGCTCCGCTCCGTCTTCACGTGGACCCGGTCCCCGAATGCCAACTCAGGAACGTTCAGCCCGACTTTGGGAGCTCCAACTGAGTGGAGGGCCGTAGGGTTCGTGCTAGGCTAAGGTTGCGGTAGCTCCCGTCCGTTGCGCCCCGGTTTGGAACTCTGATGACGGCCTACCGATGTTGTTCGTTGCACACCCTTTACCTCGATCTTTTTTGCATCCACCTCGAGTTTCACTTGCTGCACAACATCGGCTTTTGACAACGAGACGGGAGGAGGCGAGTCCACGCAAGGACTGTCCTTGTGCGCGTGCGCCGTGCCCGAGCTGTCGTGAGCTCCAGAGGAGGTCCACAATTGGCAGGGAGAGCGGGGTGTAGAGCATCATACATGCCGTCACTGGGTGCTCCGAGATGGCAGAGCAGAATGCTTGCGTGTCTGCGGTCGATCTCGTATGAATCTGCTCCGTTCATTTGGTGCTAGAGCCTTGCTGGGCTCACTCGCATCTCCATCAGTCCGCTGTCTAAGACATTCCGCCCATGCGTGGAATTCAGTCTTCAAGTTGTCTTGGGTCTAGAAGGCTCCAGATTTTGATGTCATCGAATTAGACTGAGCCAGACTGCAAGTTCAGCTGTCCCCTACCCTCAGTCCTTTAATTATCATAAGCTCTGGGTTTCTAAAGCCTGTCATGTATGTTGAGAGTGGTGTGTCATGTCTTTGTGCCAGAGGGTTGGGTTCACAAGTGGTGATGCTCTAGGTTAGGCCATGTCTTCCACTACATACATCCCAATCGCCAACGAATGGACGCTTGATGAGCATAAGACACCATGATCATCAACAAAATTGAAGGTCTACAATTAAACTAGCTCCCATACCACTCACCCCAAATCGAGATACATATTCAAGGTGATTGCCCAACATCCAGCGCTATCTGCGCTTACAAGACCAACCTACCTCGAATCTCGCTTGCACACCACCATCTTCAGCGGTTCATGAAAAAAGTGGCTGCAGACAGGAGCCCTTCGCCTCAGGGAAGAATTCATACAGCTGAGACTCAGCTCGTCAGGATCACCAGGGGGGCTGAGACGACCAAGCCTCCAAGGGCGCCAAGCTGATGTGGACTGCTTGGAGGAGAGAGCAAGTCTCGCGTCTTAATTTAGATGTGAAACTCCAAGCCACAAGAATAAGCTGCAATCCGACGAATCATACCAAGCTGAGCTTGGGGTCTTATTATTATTTGAGTTTCTAGATACAGGTTCACCCGCTTCAAGATGCCAGGCGGCTAAGCAAGGAGCCCAATAATTCATGTCAAGAAGTAAGATGCGATCATAGTCGCGACAAGGTCATAGTCCAGAGGGGAAACAAAATCCAACACTGTCCGAGAAACCAAGTCATAATACTAAAAAGGGGCCCAAAGGCCATGGTCCTGAGACCTCACTGGCCAGGGAGGTAGACAAATATATGCTGCTCCAGTCGATTGCAGCCGTTAACTTTCATGTCGTATTGATATCAAATTCGTCCAACTCCTCTATGTCCCCAATGATCAAGCCATACCGTGCCCGGAACGCCCCTGCCTCTTGCAAATATCCATCAAATTGGATGGGTATGAAATGATGGCTTTTGTAGTAAAGATGCGAAAAACAGAATCTCATCCTAATCAGGATGCTGATCAGAAGTTGGATGAGGCGTTCACTTGCGTGGGCTGGTGGTAGTTGTCGAGGGTGGCTTGGAACGGAGAGCGCCCAGGAGCAGCACCGCCAGCACTGCCGATGCTGCCGGGCTCAGTCTTCTCGACGCCGTGGTAGGCACCGTTGGTAGAGTTGATTCCGTGGCCGCTGCCGTTGTTGGTCTCGTTGAAGTCCATAAGACCATCGGCCTCATCATTGTGCTTCTTGCGGCCCCAGATCCTCCAGGCAACAACAGCGAGAGCACCGACAACAATAGCACCACCAATACCGACAACGACACCGATGACGGTGTTGCGGGTCTTGGGTGACATGCCGGAAGAGCTGTCGCTACTGTCCCCGCTAAGGCCGGGAGTCGAGGTCGTCACGCTGGTTGTGGTCATGGTCTCCAGGTCTCCGTCGCTGTTGGTCCTGGTGACAACATCGATGAAAGTGGAAGTGACAGGCTGAGCCGTGGTGCGGGTGTTCTTCTCCTCGGCAGTCTTGCTGGGAGTGTCATCGTTGCTGTCAGTGCTGCTCGTGTCGTCGTCACTGTTTCCGCTGTTGTTGGAGGAAGATGTTGTTGTCGCAGGAGCTTCCTGCTGAGTAGACTGAGCAGAGTTGTTGTCTTGGCTGGCAGCAGGAGAAGTAGTGGGCTCAGAGTCATCTGCTGCTGACGACGCAGCGGTCTCTGCAGGCTTGGCGGAAGTCTTCTCGGCAGTCTTGGAAGTGGCCTTATTGGTGGGCTCGGCAGCAGCGCTGGTCTCCGGGTCGGGTTCAGCGGCGGAGGTTTCAGGTGCAGGATCGGCCTCGGTGGCAGACGGCTTCGAGTCGTTTGTAGGCTCAGAGGCTTTGGCGGTATCGGCTGCAGAGGTCTCCTTGTTGGTGTCCTCGGTGGGGGAGGCAGCAGCGGAATCCTCCTCCTTGGTGTCAGAGGGTTTGGTCTCTTCGGCAGCGGTAGTGGGATCGGCCGCCTGGGTAGGGCTTTGTCTTCGAACGAGTCGGCGTTCGTTCTGGTGAACCTTGTCCATATCGATCCATGTTGCCTGGGCGACACAGACGACGGAGAGAGCTACCAGGAGTAGCTGGAAGAGTCGTGTGGCGTACATTTTGACTGGTGAGGTGAAGAATGAAGAGAAGTATTAGACGGCAATGCCGTTTGGGTGGTTGAAAAGGTTGTCTTGTCTTGTCGACTCGATATGGTGCTCACTCAGCAGGCCAAGCTAAGATGTCAAACGCGTAAAAGCGTCGGGTTGCCTGCTGGTCCAAACCTGATACACACAATCCTTCTACCGGGGTCGGCGATGACTTTGCAGTAATATCAGGACAGGATATCGTTTACGGGGTGGCGAGCGAGCGTGTGGTCGGTATAAGAGAGATGCTATAGGTGACGTTCGTTGGGCGTCTGGTAACGAGAGTGAGGTCGATAGCAGACCTAGTGTGATGGATATTAAAACGATGGTGGGAAGAAAAAATAAATAAAAAAGAGGTTGCGGTAAGCGAGAGTATTGATTGAAGAAAAGAGTCACGAGAGGCGGGAAGTGGGCGATGAAGTAGCGAGAGACTTTTAAAGGAACAAGGGTCGAAATGGGTGTGAAGAAGAGGAAAAGGAAGAAGCGGAAAGAAAAGTTGGGTGAGAAAATGGTGAGAGTTCACTTCTCGTATTCCGGCGACAAGCGTGACGGGGGTTCGACATGGATGGAATCCATCTGGTGGATGAGGCTGTGCTGTGTTTGCAGTCCCGTCCATCCACGGGGGACCTGATGGGCCCAGGTGGCACTCGACGGGACCATGCAGGGGACCGGATAAGCACCAAGACCCTTCCAGCAGCAGAGGCTCACTGTCTCTGTCTCTGTCTCTGTCCGGGGCGCGTCCATCGAGACCTGGGCCGCGCCGCTGAGACCGCCTCCCGGGCCCCGAAGGGTTTAGCCATCGAGGGCGTCCAGTCGTAGTCGACCAGCTGCTTCAGGTTTCCCGCAACAGCATCAACGTCAAAAGCCACAGCGAGCCCCTAGTTCATTGGCCGCAAGAGATTGCCAGAGTCATCAGACTTTCAAAGTCTCTGACAACGCATTGAACAAAGGCCCAAACTCTCGGCCGCAGCAGGGTTTTACGTACGCGCACGCACGCACGTACACAAACGTTTTGTCCCTGACATGAGACAGGCATAGTCGGGCTTGGCGTTGAATAGAGGGGATTTTCCTAGTGGGTGAACAAGTGCCCTCTTTCTTTTTGTGGGTTTGACTTTTTCCTTTCTTGCTTTTTGAATCTCTACGGAGTGACCAATGATGGATGCCTGGTGGGTGAGTCGTCATCAGCAACTAGTCCAAGGACACACGAATTGTGCATGTTCATGTGCCGTAACTTGGATGGCTGCCTCTTTTGGCGGTTCGTTTCGCCCTACTTGAACTATTACAGTAATACACCGACAACACAAGAACAAAAAAACACCTGGTGGTCTCTTGGCGGATAATAAATGTCCATGCCCCAGAACCAAAAAAAAAACAGGTGGTTGGGTGTCCGTGGGATGGATGCCCCTAAAATAGCATCACACCCACATCCCACATCCATGGAACAAAGCCGTGCCCCGTCTCTCAGAGAATGAAAGGGCAAATCTCCATCTCCCATCTCTTCTAAGTCAACTCACCCGCTTCATTGTCGTCATAACCTCTCTTTACAGATGATCTTATAGCCCCCCTTCGCTTAGAATCAACCTTGTTCCATCTCCATCTCCCCCCTTCCCGCGCGCCAAATGAATGCTGCGCATCTGTCAGAGGAAAGCTTGTTCTGATGGATGTCTCTGGCCCGCATGCACTGAAGACTATGTAACCCCCCTGATTGCGCGTCTCGCGGGCTGTTTCTGCTGCATGCCTGTGGTGGGCGGTTTTGAACCACATTGTTTCGTCCCGGCCTTACTGACTGGCCTCGTCGCTAAACTCGGCCCATGCAGCAGTAACAGCATGCTTCTTTGACCTACAGCATGCCTCACGTGGATGGATGATATTCTCACGTTTGCCGTGATCCAGTCATTCCCTTCCTTCAAGCGTTGTCCAAGACCGGCCGCATGGTTGCATGCCTCGAAAGGAGGGTCCATGTCACGTCACCCGGACCCTCTGTCGATCTATAGTGAGGCTGTGTCTGCTGTCGGACATCACCAGGATTGCTTAATTTTTCTCTCTTGCTCACACTCACATTATTCATCCAAGGGGCCACTATGGATACATGGTCGCTTATTGCCCGTCCCGTTCCTTGGATTCTAATGCATATCGACATGTCACTACCCGCAAGCCGTTCTAATGCCAAGTCCCCTTTTGCCACACCTTGACAACTCACCAAAAGGGTCAAGTGACTTAAACTCTCTTGAATATTGCTATTGTTGAGCCATACAAGAAAGGACATATGACATGAATTAATATGCTAAAGTCATGCATTATTGAATAGATTTCGTCACAGCAGGTAGTTAATATTCTTCAGCCGGCCATCGAGTATTGAATGTCCATCGTCCGAGGTGGGTCCAAAAAAATGGAGTCTGGCATCTGCATCACGACCAAGTATTGCTTCCTTCATACATGCACTGAACCTTCTAGCAATGAAGAGACTTGGTCCTGGACGTCAACATAGAGCAGCAAACATCTTGTACAACATCAAACGTGACTTCTCATTGACTAGACCTGACTGGCGTATTCTCTCCGCTTCATGTTCATTAGATAAACTCGCCAGACCGCTACACTACCACGCTTTTCTTCTGTATGAGCAACCAGTAAAAGACGGCAATGTTGACTGTTAACAGGCCGACAACTAAGAGAAGGAATAGCTAACACAGATGATGTTGTCTCAAACAGTCCCGAAATGCCAAATGCAAATCCCTAATACAGTCCCTAGTTCCCGGAATGAAAGTGTACAACTCGAGTTGATGCGTGTGGACGCAGTGGGCCAATTCCATCACCCTGAGGAAAGGCTACCTATAGAAACGCCAAACGAAAACGAACTAAAAGACCCTTTGCTTCATGTGGTATCTTAAAGGGTGTAAAAACTTGAAAAAGGGAGCGAATAGTTAAACACTGTCCCATCTTATCAACCCCAGATGGGAGCGCCTCGATACGCGGGCGAGTTGTAGCTGTGGAGGACCCGGAATGGCGGGTTCTGTCCGTAAGCGGACCCCTGAGAGCTTGCCCTACGGTGGACGGGGTTCGTGACGTAGATGTCGGGATGCTGCTGGATCATGTTTGGTGTTCCGTAAACCACACCTGGGTTTTGTAACATGTAGTTCTGCTGCAGCTGCTGGTTGAGGTTGTATGCCTCGACGGGCGTCCATGCCTGCAGAGATGGCTGCGACTGATGCCGTACTCGTTGCTGGAGTTGTTGCTGCTGGATCTGCTGTTGCTGAAGCTGCTGGTGCTGAATTTGAAGTTGCTGCTGATGCTGCTGGAGCTGGATCTGCTGTTGATGTCGTTGCTGAATCTCAAACTGTTGCTGTTGTTGCTGCTGGATCTGAAGCTGCTGCTGCTGCTGTTGCAAGAGGGTGGAGTGGCTTCTTGAGCGAGGCACATTAGCAGCCTGGAATCCCTGAGGTGGCGCCGAGGCTCGTCGATGCTGCCTCACTTGGGAAGTGGTCACGACTGACTGCTGGACACCGGTGCTGGAGTAGGACAAGACTCGTGGCTGTTGAGCAGCCTGCACTTGCTGAGGGCCAGCATCCAGGGCCATGGCTTTGCTCCAATTGGGACTACGTGGCTCGGCATAACCCTGTGCCGCTTGCGTGGAATGGCGGCTCTGGAGTGTGGAACGACTGAGGTCTTGTGGCAACGAGAGTCTTCGGCTAGAAGTAGGATGGGACGAGTTGCGCGAGTGAGATGGAGCCATTGATCTAGAATGACCTTGCACCTTGCCCCGAGAGGGCTTTCCGCTTCTAGTCTGCATGCTCACAGGCGGCGAGGTCCTTGTTCGAAGAGCACTGTTTAGCTCGCTACGAGCAGGACTGTGAGGCGATCGACGAGTCTCTGACAGATTGGGGGCTGAAACGTTTGTTCGAAGGTGAGCCAGCTCAGGCTTATCTCGCCTGTCCCGCAATGCTGACCTTGGCATGCTTGCCTTGGTCGGGGAGCCTGAGTTGCTGGAGCTGCTAGAGTGTTTCCTAGGCACCTGACGGGGACCAACGTTGCGCGGGCTGCGAGTGATGCTTGGCTGGGTGGCACGACGCTCGACACCGCTTGTTGGGCGCGGCTGGATTGTCTGAGATGTCTCGGCCTCATGCTCTGCAACTGTGGCGACGCTTGGGCTTCGGGAGCCAAACATTTGAGCAAACGACTTACGCCATGAATGACGCCTGGAAATCTTCCTGGGGGTTTCCGGGTTGGCGCCTCCCGCAGCATCCTTCTGACGTTCAATCCCATTCTTTGGGTCCTGGTTTCCCTCACTAAGGATTGTTTGCAGAGTATCCTTGCTTGGCTCTCCCCGGAGACCAGGGGTCCGAGGCGTAGACTTGATCCCAGCAACAAGCCCACGCAGTTCTTGAGCAGGAGGCGGATTGGTCGGGTCTTCTCTCTCGATTGTCCGAACCTTTCGGACCTTGGGCGGCCCCTTCTTACGAGTGCCGCTCAGGAACCGGTATAGCTTGCGTCCAGTGGCATCATCGCTTCTGGTTGGAGAGGACAGCTGCGTCTCGGCGTGGTCATCGGTGATAATGATGGGGACTGGGACCTCTTGGCCGGACTTCGATGTGCGAACATCACTCTTGGTCGATGTCAGCGAAGAAAGGCGTCTCCGGCTTCCCAGAGCAAAGGACGAAAATGAGCGAGTAGTCTGGCTGGTCGGACTGGTGGGAGTGGTTGGGCAAGTAGAAGCCTCATCATCGGTCGACTGTAGAGGGACTTCGAGATGAATTGGGAGGCGATTGTGCGTCTGCGATGGCGCCAGAGAGGACGTACGGGTCGAGTTGGAGTCAGACGGGGAGCTGATGCCCGTGACATCAGAGTCGAGCCTGTCAGAGGTCATGGTGCTTCTCTCCGTTGCAGCGGATCTCAAGCTGGGTAGTGATCTAAGAGAAACATTGGAGCTGTAGCCGCTGTCGACCTTGGAGGCGGCCGGGCGAGTGCTCTCAAACGAAGGACATGGGATGAAGCCACTGTCAGTCCTGATCAGTCCTTTAAACATGTTGTTCTCGAGCTCCTGTTGGATTTTTTCCGGGCTGGGCTTCGCATTTGGATCTTCCCTCACATCCAGCACCTCGGCAACGGGGAATGAATCAGCATTCCCCTTCTCAGACATCTCGCTGCCGCATGTTCTAGGCTCTGCTGGGCCGCTCAATTGCTCGGCAACAGAGCCTCGGGCGGCAGTGACGGGCTGCCCAGACGTGACAGGCTCGCTAGGCTCGGCCACGTTGGGCTTCGCCAAGGTTGAAGGGTCGACCACATCATCAAAGTAGCCCTCGCGGGGAGACACCCACGCCGACTCAGAGACCCCTTGGACCTTGACGTCATCCTCAGGCACAGGAGTAGCCACTGGCGCTCCATTTGTGATACGCAGGGACCCAAATTTCATGCCACCCAGCTGTCGGTAGTCTGCCTCGGTTGGGGTCGTGACTCGCTCTGGAGATTGCGTCCTGGATGGGATTGAAGGTAGGGACATGCGCCGAACCAGGTCCGACTCAATTGAGTTGTGACGCGTCTGACTGGGGGATGGTGGATGACTATTGCGGAAGCTCGACTTGGCCGAGATTGGGTGGTTGGAATGGTGAGCTCTGGTTGCTACGCCTGGCTTCTGAATGGCCGAGCGCCGACGCATTGGCATGTACAGGGAGACGTCCGAATTAGTTCTGCTGATGGGCGTGCCTGCAGATTGGTTACCGTTGTTGGTGTCATCTGTCACATCCTGGCTGATCTCAGAAAGGCTCTCGAATGTGATGATGGGTTCGCTTGGGAGCTTTTTGGCGTTGAGTAGCTGTAGCTGTCTGCCCTCGGGGCTTCTCGTGTCGTAGCTGGCAGAGCCACGCAGGGCAGTCATTGGCATGCTACTCAAGGGAATCAGCTCTATTTATCGATACGAACGGGCGTCGTTACACAAACCTTTCGGCGCGCGTCAGGGAGCAATGGGTTCCGTCGTGGGCAATGGAGCTGGCCCTGGAGCGGTTGACCGAGCTTGGCATCCTCGGAGGCTGCTCTGACTGGACTGACTGTGAACGTAGGACGCCATTGCGCGGCATTGAATCTCGTCGAGCATCTCTGCACGTCGGAGACGACAAGGGACTTGGGACATCATCGACTGGCACGGCTATACCGATCCCAGCAGGCGCCACTCTCGTCGAGGATGCCTGTTTGGGAGGCGGTGGCAGCGAACCGACAAGATACGAGTTGGAGAAGTGCTCATGATGGGGTGTCACAGCAGTAGCATCGTATGGCAGACCAGCTGCCGATGTATAGGTGCAGACTGGTGGCTTGGATAGCTTCCGATGCCTGCGAGGGGCTTCGGCCGATTGGGTATTGCCCATTGAGCTGGCCTGCCTCAGGTCCTGAGCTCGTCTCGTGGGAGCTACCTGACTGAAAGAGGAGCAGCAGCAAAGGGCTGGAGGGCTCGGAGCGGGAGCGTGTGAGGCTCCCTCAACGAGTAAGACGACCGTTCACTGGCACATAAACGCCTCCATGCCGCCAAACAAGGTGTATTCTCTCGCGATCTGCTTCGCTCCCTGGGCGACGCGATGGATGGAACCTGCAAGGAAGAGGGCAATCAATCCGGATAAACGAAAGTGGGAGTGACAGGGAGAGGCTGAGGCTGTGGGTTAGAAGAAAGAAACGAGGGAAGAGCCTCAAAGCAGAGGAGCAGAAGATGAGGAGATATGAGAGATTGGGAGAGGAGGTTGGAGGAGGTGGAGCCGGAGTTTAAAGATCCATGAGCCTCTGGCGACGGATCAAGGTCGCAGGAGGGGAACTCCCGGACAAGCATGAGTCCATAGGAACCCTGGTGGTGAGGTGTGAGTGTGAGGGGTGAGACCAGGGGATCATGTCCAAATCCTGGACGGATCGAACAAGAGGAGGAACCCAGTCCAGCCACAACCGAGAAGGCCGCCGTATCTTCCATGTCGGGCCAAGATTTTGTCGCGTCGGTAGGAAGTATAGTATGGATGGTGTAGCATAGAGGTAGACGAGCGATGTTCGGAGGAGACGATGAGAGGCAATCGCACGTGTGTCCGTGTCCGCGTCTATCTGCGTCCGGAATAGACGAAGACAGAGTTTCTCAACCGCCCGGCACGGCTTGGAGCTGGGCTGGACTGGGATGGGCTGGGCTGCGGATCTGAACGCAATCATGATATGATGGAGGTGAGGAGAGGAGAGGAGAACCCACCTTCCTACCACCTACCTAGCTAGGGGAGGGGGAGAGCTAAGGCAGCTAGCAGATAGGTACCTCGACTAGGCTCGATGCTTCCGATCCCAATACGATTGCACCAAAGCTTCACGTTTCGTCAGCCGCCCGCCACGACTCGGAAAATGGCCATCTGCGGCGCCAAGGTTGCAAAAGGCATGGGGGAGCTAGACGAGAAGGGGTAGGTTGCCTCGTCCCAGGGGCTCACACACCAAAAATCAGGGAAACACCAAGCTGACCACGATATGAAGCTCCAGCTATGGACATGCATATGTTCGGAGCTCCCAGAGCTACTAAGCATCCAACTACTGGAGGTAGAGTTCTGAGCCGCAGCACACACTGCAGCACCCGGCTTGCAGCGGGCTCAGCGGACTCCAGCTAGAGCTCCAGTGGGCGTCTGGAGTACCTGATGGCTGTGGACGAACCATTGGATCCTCACCTAACCTCCACCCTCGTGCTGGGGCCACTCGCTGCTCTTCTTCCCACTTTCACCTCACCCGATGGAATGTCAGACCCAACTCAATCCGGTTTTGGATTTACGCATCATCATCACACGCGAAATTATGCCTTTCACCCCGTGTTCATCGCCATCTCTGGTTTCTCGCATTCTAGTCTATCCATCCGGGCAGCGCCGCGCCGCACCGCACCGCACCGCCATTGCACAGCGGTGTTGCGTTGCTCTCGTTTGCTTTGTTATTGTTATTATTACAGGGTATTCCCGCTGGCGGGCCCATCCCGGTCTTTCTCTCCCAACCTCGGAAGCCTCGAGAGTTCAGTTGCTCCGCTGGCTTCTTCTGTCTTGCTCGACTCGTTCCCGTCTCGCATCTCCCCCGCCGGACTTGATCGAGGCCATCCACCCGACCCGGGCTGACATGATGCTGTCCCACCATGAATGCAGCTTGGGCTGAGCTTACAGCGTCGCAGAGCATGGCAGCTTGTCTGTCAGAAGGAAACGAAACGCGCAAGCCGTCCGAGCACATTTGGTCGATACGATGAATGCTGTATGATCGGGACCGGAAATCCACCTGTTGTATCAGTAGACCGATACGATACGGATGCATCATGATCGCTCCATGCCGTCATCTCCCACGTCCAACAGTGCTCCACCCGCGCACCCACCACCTTGCACGCCTGGTCTACTATAAACAATGTAGCAGAGCGTTTCAGATGGGCCTAACCCAGGCCAACATACGAGCAGCCAGACCAGGAGCCGATACCGCCCGCTTGTCCATGGCGATGCGAGTTGGCAGTCAAAATCTGCTGCATTTGCCTTGGAAGGCTTCTTGCTACTTCGGAAAAAACCTGCTCACCGTTGCAATGATTGCACTCTGACATGCCATTGTTTATCGGCGTGTTAAGCCACGCCCTCGCCGTCTCCGTTGACTTCCCTTGTTGGTCGCCGAGCATGCCGGCACAAGTCCAGCCAGCCTCTGTGCCTTTGAAGCACAATTTCTCGTATGCACATTTCTGGGTGCACCGCTTATCACAAGCACAAGGCTGCCCGATGTTTCCGCCTCCCTCCGTGAGGAAAGACTACCACTGCTAGGAGACAACTTCGGAGACCGAACCGAAAATGCTAATGCGGGCGGCTTTGTGTTGGTTTCTATCTCGGCTCCACGGCTGTTCGGAAGTTTTGGTTCTGGACTACGCTGATCATTCTCTACGCGATACCAGCCGTCCGCTATCGAAGGCAAATCAGATCACCTACTGCGGCCTCATCAACACCAAAAGCAGCATTGATGAGAGCAATTGGCCCAACCTCTCGTGATTTCGATGTGCTGGATGACGTTACACGAAATGAGACTCCAAGTGTGGGGAAACTCTTGTCTAGGTTCAAGTCGAGCGGAGATATGGACCCATCGACAGGGTTCAGGCGCCGGAGCTGGAGATGCGGGCTTGATCATGGCATCCTTCCATCATGGCATTTACCATGGCTGTTTTCCTGTCAGCCAGGGTGGCACTCGATACTGTCCTGAAGCCAGGGCTCTTTGGATGTTCTGCCGGGATCGGTGATGCTGTTTCTCGACATGGATCTCGAGATGCCGTTCCCGGCCAGCGTTGGACCAATATCGGACCGGAACACAGGACATGACTTCCATCACGGTACAGGATCGGGATTTGCAGGTCCGTCACATCAAATTCTCCGGGATCGTCATGTAAGAGTTCTCGCCGGTCAAGACATGACAAAGTTTAGCTCCATGATTGGCCATGACGCCAGGACAGGGAACTCGTCAACTTCTCAGCCCGATACTGAGCTTACGAATTGTTTGCATCTTCACATGGAAAATCAGCTACAACGTCCGTACTTGGCTGAGACTTCTGCACCACCAGCGCGCCTTCTTGCGGCTTCTTCCCCTCAACACACCACGACGGGTTTGTTTATCCAACATACTCCCAATTGTACCTCAGCTGGTCTTCTCACAACGAATATGCAGTCATTCCGTCGTCTTTATCAAAGTTACCCTGCACCGGTCGAACCGCTTGGCGCCACGGCCCACCTTTGTCTCCAACCTCCGTGTCTGTTCCACATCGTCAGGGTCCACCACGCCACGCGCGAATATGCCGCGTTTTCGTCCGGAAACACAACAAGAACCGGGCGAATGGTTTAGTGGTATAATACTCCCTTAGCATGATCGTTCCACGACATCTGGGAGTGGTCCAGGGTTCGATTCCCTGTTCGTCCAGCCGTGGTGGTTAGATCCCATCATGTACCGCACTTCTCTCCGGGCGAATGGTTTAGTGGTATAATACTCCCTTAGCAAGTTTCTTTCAAAGATCCTCGCCTCTGGGAGTGGTCCAGGGTTCGATTCCCTGTTCGTCCAACTTCGGTGGTTAGAATCCACCATTGTCCACTCTTTTTTTTGTTCTTGAACAACACGATACGAGCATTCAAGTCGTTGGGTAAACTCTACAGTACACCCACGGCGATATTTTTTGCACCTAGACCAAACCTGGCACTCGGAACATGCTATTTCATTACTGCACACGTCTTACTGCATTCGACAAGTTCTGTAATGACGGAGACTGAAAACGGGATTGCAAACATGCCAACTCCACAAGAGCTCCCGCGTTTACTCATTCACCAATGACCATTGTGCAGCCGGCCTTCCCAACAATGACTTCGTGAACTCTGCCGGCCTCAACGTCTATACGTGAGCCAACTCCGTACGTCTGCTTCTGCGAATTCTCCTCGCGTGGGTACCACAAAGTCAATTCACCTTCGACGATCAAGTGGGTCGTCAGCGCAGCATGCGAGTGCGGCGGATAGTGGGTGTTTCTGCAGCCACATGTTAGAGCGTCGGCCTTGACGATGTCTGCAGCCACGGCAGTTCAATGCGAAGGCGAATACTCCGCAGGGCACAGTGAATTGGGCGGGGCATCAGCAGAGACGTACGGAGAGTCGCTCCAGGTGAAGACACGGTCAAACCCCCATGCTCGTACCTGCTCTTCAGAGTCGTTCCTGAAGCTCATGATGGCTCTTGTTTGCTCTGGTGGACCGTATGATCAGCAGCCGATTTGTTGTACGACACTTGTGGGCAGGGCGAAGACTGTTCCTGGAGACTATTTGGGATGAAATGTTTGTGTGTTGTCTGAGATTGAGGCCCAGGCCCGCAAGGCTGTGCTATCTTGTCACTTGTCAGCAGCCTGTTTGCACATTCAACAATCAACGGTGACGCTGATATTGGGTGGTGATTAAGCTATGACCTCACCGATGCTGTTCCGGAGCCTCGGCCGGCTGCGCCCCGCCCCGCCCCACTCGCCCCGTGCCGAGTTGGTCGTCCAGTAGAGGCGGACTCGGGCCCGTTTTTGATCTGGGCGTTGGCATGAATGGAAAATCTTTCATCAACTCCAGGTTATCTAGACTGTATCATCGACAGTGTGCTATACTTGGCCATCGTTGTCAGACAATAATCGACATGTACGCATGACGGCATTGAAAAGGGTACCTACGTACCTGAAGCCCAAGACAGCGACACAGCATGACACAGCCCCCATTCCACCAGACCGCTCTCGTCTCTGCTGCTGCTCCCTCATGTAGCAAACACGCAACAAAGAAGCAGTCATCAATAACCGACAGGGCATCGCCATGATCGCCCCCGTTTCACGGGGACCATTCCAGCAAACGAGCAGACCCCTTCTGCTCCCCTGGCAGATGTGTTCTCCAATCATGGCCTCTCCCCAGCGGAACCAAGCCTCCATCCCCCATCCCCGGGTGGCCCTACAGGGCCTCGGCCTCTGTCTCCATCCTAGGGCTGTGCTGGGTGCAGGGCGCTAGTGGCGGGCCATTGGCCGTGTTGGGTTGGCTCTTGACCCAGGCGAGGCTACGGCCACGTCCGTCTGGGTCGCTTCCTTTTTTCCCGGGTCCGTTTCTCTGTGTCTCTCCAGTCGGTGCCGCCTATCACACTGGCGTGCTGACATCCATGGGCTGGTGGTTGTTGATCATGGATCCTCTCTCTCGCCCTGACTCGCCCTTTCTCTTGATATCCCTTCCCTCCAACATCGTCACAACCGTCTGGAGACTCGAGACTTGTTCAGACTCTCCAGACTTCATAATCAATTAATTGCGCACTTGTTCCTCCCATAACTGGCCGACCGACGGGGAACCCATCTGCGCCAATGATCCCCGCCGTCTGATGCTCGTCCGGCCCCGACATCGCCAGCTGAACTCAAGGTTTCAAGGTCTTCTTGAACACCGCAGCTCGCAACCATGTCGCGCTTCTGCGGGCTCTTTGTACGTGACTCACCTCTCATCTAGCTTGTCCAGCTCAATCGAGTCAATCGCTGACCTTTGTAGCCGAGCCGTCGCCGGTCTAGGCGCGAGAAGCCCCAGCGCACGCCGACAATGTCAATATTTGGCAACAACATCCACTCCCTTGGCGACCTGGCGAATCTGATCGGAATAACCACCGTCGCGTCCCCGCGCCAGGCACACGGCTGGCAGAAGCAACCGCAACCGCAACAGAAGCCGAAAGCTCCCGCGACCGATGAATGCTCCAGTAGGAGTTCCGCCCAACCAGCCGGTCCCAATCCTGAATTTCACCTCAGCGTTGCCATGCATGAAGCCCTCAGCCGTATCTTCGACGAATTGCGCGGCGCAGATGCTCTCCTGACCCGAGCCAAGTTCGCCGAGTTTCTACAAAATGTTCAAGGAGAGACCAAGGTGGACCTGAGCAAGGACAATTACGCTCTGGGCGAGTTCCTCTACATATGGCACACATGGTCTTCAGAGGCTATCGCGCCCTTGCCAGAGAAGGATCTGTCCAAGCCTCTCACCAACTACTTCATCAACAGCAGTCACAATACCTACTTGGTCGGGAATCAACTGGCCTCGAGAAGCTCACCGGAAGCATACAGAAACGTATGTTGGATACCACACATCTCCACTCGCATCTTCACACATATGATCAGCCTTTACTGACTGGAAATCCTGCAGGTCCTTCTACGAGGTTGCCGTTGTATCGAAATCGACGTGTGGAACGGGGATGCCGTTGTTTCGACGAGCAGATCCAGGTCCCCTAAGGCGGACCACAAGCGCGGTCTGTCAGGTGAATCATTGCCCAACGCCGCCACGACAGTGCGAGAGGCCATCGAGGACTGGTCGGGCAATCGATCTCGTAGTGCCAGCGCCAGCAGTCGACGGGAGACGGAACCCTCCCCGCGCTCAAGTACCCACCAGTTGCCGTTGGAGACACGCGAGTCTGGAGATCGCCTTGATGTTTCAAAGCCCGCGCGGACTCGACAGTCGTTTCCTAAGAGCGAGCCCATCGTGACGCACGGATGGACTCTCACCACCCCTTGCGGCTTTCGAGAGGTGTGCAAGGCTGTACGCGAGGTTGCTTTTGTTGACAATGACCTGCCCATCATCGTCAGTCTTGAGGTACATGCCGATCCAGACCAGCAGGAGCTCATGGTTCTCATCATGAAGGAGGAATGGGGAGAGATGCTTGTGGACAAGCCATTCGAAGGCTGTGACCCCAGGTTTCAACTTCCCAAGCTGAGCGAGCTGCGCAACAAGATCCTCGTCAAGGTCAAAAAGGCCCCAGCGAAGATTGTCGTCCCACCCAGCACCATAGACTTACCTGCCATCTGCGCGAACGACGAAGATGCCTCGGGATCTGAAGACGAGGAGGCATCCCAAGGATCGGGCGCCTTTCTCCTGAGCACAAGCAGCAGCGCTCCTCCGCAGCCCAAGAGCTCTAAGGTGGCCATCTGTGAGAGCCTCGGAAGCCTGGCAGTCTACACACGAAGTCAGCACTACAAGAGTCTCGCAACCAAGGAGGCCAAGATTCCCCCTCACATCTTCTCCATTAGTGAGAACCGCATCCTCGAGCTTCATCAGAAGCAACATCGTGACATGTTCACCCATAACAAGGGTTACTTCATGCGTGCCTTTCCTGCAGGACGGAGGATTGATAGCTCCAACCCAGACCCAAGTCGTTTCTGGCGTGGCGGTGTTCAGATGGTGGCTATGAACTGGCAGAACTTGGACGAGGGCATGATGCTCAATGAGGGCATGTTTGCCGACGAGAAGGGTTGGGTTCTGAAGCCTGAGGGCTACCAGAGCTCCAACAAGTCTGCAGAGACCCAGAGCGAGGCCACTCCTGGTCGCACGATGAACCTGAGGATCACTGTCTTTGCTGGCCAACGCATTCCCGTCCAGGCCGGTGATGCTGCGGACCATAATCGTTCCGCCAGCACCATCCGCCCGCTCATCAAGGTGGAACTGCACGTCGACAAGCCAGACGATGTTGAACGAGATGGGCAGATGCAGGAGTACAACTACAAGGGCAGGACGAGGTCCAGCAAGACGGATCATCCCGACTTCGGCCCCAGCGGCTCGACGCTCGAGTTTCTCAACACACCAAGAGTGGTGGAGGAGCTCAGTTTTGTCAGGTGAGTTGCCAATTTCTTTCCCGCTGCACGGCGCTGTGCCATGTCCGTCCGTTGTCTTCCATCTGCCGTCCCCCCTCCGAGCTATTCCGTCGATACACCGCCGTTGGTCTCACAGGGCCGGGCAGCCTGCATCACGGGAGCGTAAGCCACCATGCAGAAGCGGCGGCCCGCCGTCGTTTGACCGAAACTTCGGGGAGTGAGTTGTCAGAGACACAAGCCGCTGCGGGGATACCGGTCCCCGTGTCCTTGAGTGAGGATCTGAGCTGCATTGTTCAATGAGACGGGCCTAACTCGAAACGCGGTAGTCGGTGCTCCAGGTCTACAGACACCGAGCTGTTGTCTTTCCCCTCTGGCCAGTGTCACATCTGTTCCCATAGCTCCTTGACGCCATCTCAACAGATGTGTTGTAGTTATTGGTTGCAGTTGAAGATATACACGCACGTTAGCTGCACAGGGCCTTTTGCTTGCATCATGCTAACGTCGCCTGCTTTTTAGGTTTAAGATCGAGGACGACTCTTCCAAGCTTGGCAGCTCGCCACTTCTTGCTTGGGCTTGCATTCGTCTAGACCGCCTGCGCCCAGGCTATCGATTGATCCGCCTTATGGACTCGACGTGTCACGCGGTGCCCGGTGGGAAGCTGTTCGTCAAGATTGACAAGACCTTTGTCGGATGAAAGCACTTCACCGAGTCGATCTGCGTCCCGGCATATGGAACCTGCCCTTGGTAGATCCTCATGCGCTAGACCGACTCACTGATGTCGTCTTCTTGCATTTCGTTCGCAGAGCAGTTTCCGAGGCCCGCTGTGAGGGATATTGTCGATCCTCATCCCTGACGTCCTACTTGCCACTTGATCATCCAACCTAAACTGGTGGGATCCCAACGGTGTCCTTTGCGCATGTGCCTTTAATTGCCTTTTGACTTTCGGTCCTGTTGAAAATAGCGGTGTTCTTAGGGTCCTTTCATCTTCAGCGTCCAATACACGCGCAGGTGGTGGAAACAGAATGACGGGCAGTTGCATCCGAAAATTGATTTGGGGCGGGGGAATCCGGCATTAGAATTAGACAGGAGTTCAGAGATACCCATGAATAGTGAATCTGATTGATGTTTTTCGCCCCCGGAGTGTCCTCAGAGTCCTCATCTCATCTGCTAGCCGCCTGGTCGAGGGGAACCCTCCACCGACTTTCAGATATCACAGACAGGAGTGAACCAGACTACCAGATGGCTCGCTGATAGGATCAGAACCAGTCTTGAGTGGCTTGCATGTCTTCTGATGACCCGCTGCAGGATTACATTGCGTGCATGATCCACGGCCAGATGCCCATTCGCAGCCTGGTTGCTTCCAGTAGGACGGTTCCAGCCAGCCATTGCGCACGCACAGCGGGCCGAGCAGGAGCGGGAATCCCGATCCTCTGCCATGCATTCTGTCATCTATCAACACACCACCGAGGTCGACCGAGTTGTCCTGGAGAGTGAGTGGATGAGTCGACCAGCAGCAAGTCGCCATTTTCACCCATGACGTCCAAGTTGCTTTTTAGTTCAAGGCTTTTTGTCCAGGGGGCATCAATAAGATGCGGTCGTTCTGGCCCTGGTCCCAATAATACTGTAGTCCAGGCCTCGCCTCTTCTAACCTCGAAAGCATATGCAGCGGTAGGGAGCACCAAGAAGCTTGGTTCACCCGGGCATGCTGCGTACACGCCGTTGTGGGATTCCCGCCGCGGCTCGTCTTCAACGGGCGCTGATCTCGACCCCTGCGCCTATTCCTCTCCTACTGGTCTCGGCTTTTCGGTAGATGTCCCAAGTGGCGGAGGGCGGTTGACGACATCCTGTTCGTCTAGCTCCCAATGTATGTCTTGATGAAACTGTTTCATAGAGGTACTATAGGAAATGCTGGGCCGTATGAGATCTCACCCGAGAGAGTCGGTATCTGCTCCATGGATCGGTTCGGCATATCTCTCTGGTCATGGATTACAATGGTTCGGATAGGAGATTGTGAAGCTAGGGAAACAAAAGGAACAAGCCCAGGTAGCAAGGCGGCGCATGTCCTTGGCTCCTTGCAACCTCATCAAAATGCCTCGCTGGGACCAAGTCTAGACGATCGCCGTGTGGGTTGTCTTTCAGCGACGGGGTGGCATTCTGTACTCACAACAGCAGCAGGCTGTGGGTTATCGCAGCTGTACAGTACGTGTTAAGTGATGCTCCAGAGCAAAGTTCCTGGCTGAGGCTAGGAGCCGCGGAGACCGGAGAACACCCCTGATCAATGCAGGCCGGCTCCGTAATTGGGCGTGGCGCGGGGTGTTGAGATCGATAGTCGCCGCGGCTAGATGCGACCAGCCTGCAGGGTGCAGGTGTGGCAGACGCGTGTTGAACTCTGTGTTTGGAGGACAAGGGTTTGCCCTGTCAGTTGCCAAGATGCATCGTCCACCACCCTTGTACCTTGTACATCATCATTGACCTCGGCGGTGCATGGATCGTCCATCATGTCGAATCTCCTGTCAGATGCGGAGAGGTAGTCTTGCGGCACAACCGGGAACGCGTCCACTACCGGTGGAGAAGTCCGTCATGTCTTCGCCGGGGGCCAGAAGCTGACCTCGAAAAAGAAAATAGGCCTTCCCGCCCCGGACAACGATAGTCAGTCAACTTGAGCCAAGATAGGGCATTCGGGCGCATTGTCAGCAAACAAATGGACTCGACTCACCCATGAGAGATATCCACAAACCTGCTGTAATCCTCTAGTCATTTCTGCGTCATCAGGCAGATTGAATGGAGTGCATTGTCTTGCCCACCCACCGTGATATCTGAGCCCCCTAGGCGCGGTCCTCCCAACATTCTAGTTGTATCACGAGCCCAGGATCGTGATCGAGCTCCCCGGGCATGTTTGGCCGAGCGGCTTGATTCGACCGCGTCCATCACATCTTGGGTGACTGCCTTGTAAGTTCCAGATTTAAAAGAGGGTCAAAAGAGACATTCAGGGGTAAACCCGCATGACGCAAGAAAAGTACGCCAGGGAGTGGAAGTTGCAGCCAGAATGTTTTCGGACCTTCGACGAGACCTCGGCAGTTGCAGTACCATCATCGCTCTGAATCAAGGTTGAGGTTTCTTTTTTCGTCATGGGGCTAAATTGTCCGAGCCGTCAGCAGTTGGTTTCTGCAACTGGTCCCTCCTGTTGGGTCTTGTGTCAACCAGGGGTCCCGCAGACAGTAGCGGTCTGATAATGCGCAACTTGGCTCGCATGCTTCGATACCTAGGTCTGGACCGAAGTGCCAGGAGGTCGCAGCCAAAGGGTATTAATCAGCAACCCACCCCTCGGTGCTAAGCGGCGCGCATGGCTGCAGTGGCACTGGTCCCGTGATGATGCCTGTCTGTGGTGTCTGTGGGTCTTTGCTACCAGTCCTTGGACTGTCCCGACATGGCGAATCAACTAGTATTGCTGATCTAGCGATAGATCTTGATCTCGGAACAGGAAGGCTTGAAGATGTAGACGTAGACGTTGGAGTGGGTCAAGGATCAATAGTCCACTGGCTCACACTGTTTGCGTGGGGTGCCCGAGAGATGCTTCTGAGGGAGACAGCCACTTCCGTCGGGTGTCTCTGATACCCCATCACGGGTATCATACTTTAGATCAAGAGCGTCGCCTCGCATTTACTTGGACACAACAGCTAAGGCTCTTGCAGGTTGCCTCGGCGCAAATCTGCAAATGTGCTGGTGACAGGACTTCGGCAGATGGTTGTCTCTACTTGCTGTTGCCTCCCAAGGCATCATTGCCGGAATGCGACTGGTTGGGTAAACCGGCAGAAATAGTTGCATTTTCAAAACGAGACCAGCTATCTGGCTCTGGTGGACGAACGGGAGCAGCCAAGTAGGCAACCGGGATGTCGTTAAGCCGAGGAAGTGAGTGCGCCGTGTGCGTAGCAACAGACGTAGATCGTGGGCTTGAGATGGTGCAGTGACACCGTCAGTGGAGGGTTAAAAAAAGCAAGGCGCCTGCAGGGCTTCAGCTACCAAACGTCGAGGTAGCAGATGACAAGGTTGGCTGTCCAATGCTTTTCTTCGACTAATCGAGGAGCCCACTATTGATGGGTACAGAGGTGTTCGCAATTTTCCGGCGGTGAATCGTCCAAGGAACCGGGAAGACCGCTTTGCGGTGCGGTGCACTAAAACACATACTGTACTCCGTAGCGGCCCATGAAATTGGGAGTTAAAACACGGTTCCGACACCCATGATTACTCATCATGAATCCTTGGTTTGAAGCCGATTGACTCCCCGACTTTTGTGATATCAGACACAGCACCGCAAGAAGGTGAAGGAGAGATCTGCTGGATCGGCTATGTGGCGCATGCATTCTGGGGATCTGTTGCTGGGACCAAATGAGCTTGCTCTGAGATGAGATCGCGCCCCCGAGATGAACAGCCAGGGTTATCCTGGATAGAGAGTGGGGGGAGTGTTGGTGATGCGCCCTTCTTGTGGGTGTTGAAAGTGTTTGGTATTTTGTGGGCATGCCTTGCTCGCTAACCCCAGGGCGAGTCAAATAGAGCTCTGGGGTGGTGAACTAATCGAACCCGTAGGATGGAAGGATTTCCTTCTGGTCAACTGCGGACCATGGCAGAAATTCGGGTCCGGCTCGATCGTGACTTTCTAGTGCAGGAATGGCCATCGGCATCAATGGGGCGCGAACGAGTGACTGATGCAGCTCCCTATTAACTGCGTGGAAACGGTCCAGTCGCCAGAAACAATGGCTTGGTCATTGGACGCCGCAAAAGGTCTCGACCAGGCAAGATACCCGAGAAACGCTGTGCAAGCTCGGCCGAAGAGCTCCCTCCTGGCTGCGCCTTTGCAGTTTAATGGGCTATGGCGTCAGTACTGGGGAGCTGTGTGAAGCCGGTGAATAAAAAAGCAACGCTACCGAGCTATCGACCAAACAGAAGCAACGAATGTCTTAGCCGGGTCACTCTTCATCAGGGCAATCATCTTTGAAAGGGGGAGCCGCCGAGAGAATGAGAGACGTCTGGAGAGGGACAGGGACGAGGGAGGAGTGGGGGTTTGTTTGGGTGGGTGCCTGAAACCCAGCAGCCAGCTTCGTGAAGTGGAGGGGAGGGAGGGGCTGGAATTTGGAGAAGATGGGGATTGAAATTCCAGATTTGAGATGAGATCGATATGATGCGATGCAGCGAGATGGCATCTGGGCGTACGTAGTGCAGAGCAAGGCGGAGGAGTCGATGGACACCTGAGCAGGTAGATATTGGAGGGGAGTGTTGTTGAAGGTGGATGGATAATAGGTACTAATGCAGGGTGGATGAACGTCGAGCGCCTTCCTAAAATGAAGGATTGTTTAGAAGCCGCCTTCCTTTTCAAAGTCACACTCTACCCAAGCAGGCTGGGCTATTCGGGGTGCCCCTTCCTTGAGTCGTGAGGGGCTCAAGAGTAGCACACCCAGAGGCACATTATGAGTCAATTAGAAAGGTTAAAAGACACGTAGGAGGTAGGTAGCTGCATGAAAGCGAGGGAGGCATGCGCTGTACTGTAAGTAGCATTGCGCTGTAAGTCGAAATAGATAGCGCACCTCCCCCTACGTAGTTTCCAATCCGTCGTGTGCAGAGATCCATCCGTGGATGAACGGATGGGATCTTCCAGTGCTTCGGAGACTCGAGACCCGCTCACACCAGTAGAAGCGGCCGCTAAACAATTCTGTAGTGCGGAAGGATAGACTGCTCACAGCATGTTACTGGAAGAGTTCCAGATTTGTTCGAGGTCTTTTGTGTAGGTGGCTAGCTGGTTCGCGAGGCCTCGCAGAAAACTACTGTAAGTCTACGCTGCAACACGATGGATGCCCGCCAAAGAGTCCTTCGCGGAGGTGGACGACATCTGCCAGTCCCAAACCGGAATGGTAGGACAGGACAGGACACGAGCAAGAAGCGGAAAAAGAAAAGTTGAACAGACGCGGCAATCAAAATTTCTCATGAAAAAGCAAAAGCCGCCAAAAGCTAGGCGCATGAAAATCCTGGCCTGTCATGGGTAAGGCATCACAATCCGACAAGGGCAGCTGGACGTAGCGTCTTCTGATGGGTGCACCAAAGTCGGAGCACGGAGCACATGCCTCTTACATGCAGCAAGGCGCACCTTCCTTCGCCCGGAGAACTGGCAGATGGCTGGCAGGCGCGCAGCGGCACTTGGCGGCTCAGATGCCGATGGGACCTATGCAGCCAATCCCAGCTGCAGCCTCCTCTCCCATCCAAATGGGAGCCCATCACAACGACGACAAGCATCCAGCACCCAGCATGAATCCTGAGACCTGATACCTCATACCTGAGACCTCACCCCTGAGAGGCTGACAATTCCATGGATGGATTGTCCATTCACGGGCCTCATGGACCTTGACGGGCTCCATCAACCTTCTCTCCGTCCCACGCCGGTTTTCCAGTATTGTCTACCAAACCTGCTAGCCTTACACGCAGACGCAGCTCGTATCTGACAGGCGTTGGTTGAAGCCGCGGGATGGTCCAGCCAGCCATTGGATGCCGCGAAACGTCCACACAGCATTGCCACCGACCGAGTTGCACGTCTGACACTCTGACACGCCGTCGTCCCGCGGTCGAGCGTCCGAGAAGCGGGATAGGCATTCAGCTTTTGATTCCAGCCCCTTTCTGCTTTCTGGCTTCAATTGCCGCGATAAACCCCGATAATTTTCGGCTCCAGCTCACAAAGGAAGGCAAAGGCGTACTGGACAAGGCGCAACGGCAGCATAAAGACCCGACAGACATGGGAAGTGGAGTACAAATCCATGCCTGAGGGCACCATGTGGAATTGTGGATGTGTGGCCCTCCACTCCTAATCGCGCCAGCTCCAGCACGTCGGTGAGATAGCCCGATGCGCCGGCGATCGCTCCAAGGGAGGGTTGCAGTGGGCTGGCGGAGGGGCCTCGTGCTGGCCCTGGAGCTGGCTCTGAGGAGGGACCAGGGTCCCGTCATTCCAGTGCCCCGGTGCCTTCCTGGCTTCTAGGTTCTGGGGTTATAATGGTATTGGGTGGTTTGTGGGCAACTTGGGGTTTACCTAGATCGCGGTTTTAGGGGAATTTCCATCCCTGGGATCTTGGACTCAGACTGCGGCTTCTGCGCGGCGACTCAGACTAACCCGAATCTCACTCGTCCAGAAGACTAGGGGTACCTTTACTTTGACGGTCGATTGCGCACCCAAGCAAGTCCCTGGATGATTAATTCCCTCGCCCACAAGTCAGCGTCGTGGGCTCCTGGTCATCGTGACCCCCAGAGACGAGCAGTCATATCTTTGCTTTTCTCTGCGTCAACGCCGGGCAGCAGGCCACGCACCGCACCGCACCGCACCTCGCAGTACTGCACACCCCGGCGTCCGTCCACGCTCACCGCGCCCTAATCGCCGGTCCGGTCCTCACTTCCATCCTTGCCACTCAACAAAGTCTGGAAAATGCAGTGGCCAGTGTTTAATTACACGTCAAAGGCGGCACAAGAAAACGATTCAACTACCTACGGTGGGACGCCGACACGGACACGCATCCATCCTGGAAGGGCGGACCGTTGGCCTCGGACAAGAAAAAGCAACGTCGCTCAACTTGTGTCATCCAGAGAGGCATCCATGGTTGCTGACCGACTCGGAGGCAGCATTCTCCAGACGCTCCCAGGCAATGAAAGAAGGCAGCGCAGAAAAACCAGACGCAAACACAAACTGACCCCGCCCCCGTCTGGGTGGTCCACAGTGTTTCTCGAGGGCGGCGCCACTAAAGCTCCCTAGTAAGTAATGACAGCTTGGAGTCTTGCAGAAGTCGATATGACAGGTCTGTTGCTACTGCCGCCGCCGTCGCCGGCCCCCAGCATGCCCCCCGACACGACACCACGGCCGGATACCTACCGATCGTCAAGGAGCATGGCAACCCACATTGGCCTTGTCCTAGGGTTACTGTACTCGTGCCTGTCCTGTCTTGTCTCGAGCAATACCCATCCTTTGTGCTCCGTCCCCTTGACCATACCCTTCCTGGACTCCCAAGGCATTCCTAGACGGCATCGCTATATTCGGCTCATCCTCCAACACCTCTTGTCAGGAAACCATAAAGCCCATCTAACCCCCACATCTTGAACCAGCTCGGACCTCCTCAAGCCTCCTGATACATTGTCTCTTGACACGGACATCTCTTATATCCCATACCATCCCGGGTCCACCCCAACTGTCACCTTGTCTTCATCCTCTTCAACTTCCCGAAAGCACCATGGTCTTGTCCAGACATCCTCGGCTTGCCCCCTCGCCGCTCAACCAGGGCCCTGGCAACCAAGAACAAGACCCGTTCCCTCTTACGTTGCAACCTTCAGAACACCAAGTTATTCAACGGTCCGGGCTTCCTTGCTCGGCCATGGATATACACGAGGACGTGGCTCGTGGCTTCATCTCCCACAAAGCACCCGGAACCCGATGCCCTACCTGTGCTCTTGCAGGGAAAGAAGTTTGGGTTATTCCTGGTCGTTGTTGCGGATATTGTGGAACACCCTGTTGTGACGAGGCTCATTAACGACCACGGTAAGTCTCTAGAGTCTTTTGAATGTCAGAGAATGGACATCTGAACGATACACAGCTCGACAGTTGCGGTTGTTCATGAGTTGCCAAGAACTCGACAAGCCCTGATGGAGCCAGGGCCGAAACAACTCCAGACCTTGGCCAGGCATGGCACAGCGCGGTGGCTCGCGTCCTTTCCAATATCAATTCGAGAAAACATCCGACCAAACGGAAGGGTTATGAAAAGAATTGCATAGGGATCGCGACAACCCTTTGATGCGGCCGCGAGTTCGAGGTCATCCCACAGAATTAAGTTGACCAAACGAACTGGGCATTCTGATTGGCACAATGGCGTTTTAAAGATGCTTTTGCGCCATCAAGCAAATGTCTCAGAAAACCGTGGGTGTGACCAGGGTCACTTATCCATGGCTGATGCCCCTGGAGGGCCTCAGAAAAAGGTCGACGGAGAACACCAAAACGGGACTGCCGAGGCGGAAGAAGATGTGGCCTGAATGACCTTGCTGGTCTTGGTTGAGGGTTAAGCTTCTTCAAGGGATGATCATTTACAAAGGAGAGGGACGTGCTAGGGTTGATGGGCAGGTGACCAAAGCAGCACTCTTTGAAGTCCTCGCTCGGGCTTACTAGGATGCTGAAGTGCATAGTCGATCAACTCACATCAGCCACCCTGTCACCACATGGCTTTACCGGAGTACGGGAAGACAAGCGTAGGCGATAATTGCCCGAGGCTTGCCGGTGGATGGGATGGGAGCCAAGCCTGGAGGCAGGCAGTGAGCGGTGTAGGGGTAGAGATAAAAATAATGTGCGGAGTATTTAGTTGCGATATTAATGATAATGAAGCTTTTGAGGAGCGTTTGATGGTGGAATCCCTCGTCTTCTTTCAATTACTCGCCCTCTTGGCACCATGGCGGCTCTCGAATACCCCAAGACAGGTGGTGGATGAAGTCGGGTTCCAGACTCTCGGCGTAGCGCCCAACAGAAAGAAATCTTCGATAACTGACCCGTATGACGCAACGAGGCTGCTAGGGTAGGATCTAAAAGTACGTACTTAGATCAGATGCAGAGGACCCAGAAGTCATCCCTGTTTAAGGTGTCAGTTCAGCTGTCAACTCTCATTTGCAGCCCGAGCTGGAGACCGACCACCCTCCGGCGATCCCCGAGGTATTTTTCGAGCCACCCAGGATAGGCAGGACAAATTGTGTAGCGATGTGCTGATAAACAGCCGAAGGCAATTCCTGACGTGCCAAACAAGCTGAATAAAAGGCAATTGTCGGCCTGAACTCGGTCAATGGGGGACTCGGGCCCGGCCTCCGGGGTCGGGTGCCCACTCCCCTGAAAGCCCCCGGCCGAGGGTCGCCCGGCCGTTGAATTGGCCCGGCTCCGGAAAGTGGACCGTTAATTTCCTGCGACAATTCGCGGGGATGTCATTGGCTGGACAAGCGACCCCAGGATTGATTGTCCGCCCATCACCCGCCCCCGCCCCCTCCCTTCCGAATACCACAACGGCTTGTCTCGCGATCCCCTCAACGCCGCGCTCCGATCTCAGTCAACCTCTGTGCGCTCCCGCGGCCGGACCCCCGTCTGTCTGGCATCCATTGCACCGTCATTGTCCGGCCCGCCCGCTAGTTAGAAACAAACACACGGCACGGCCCGGTCTAGTCTGCGCACCGCGGGCGCTCAGGATGGCGGCCGCCGAGCAGAACGGCATCGACATCCTCTGCGATGCCGCCGGCTCGGATATGCTGCTTTCATCATTATTTGCCCTAGCAGCACCGGGACATGATCAGCAGCGAGCACAACCGCAGGATCAGCACGAATTACAGCACTCGCTGCCGACAGCCTCACCTTCGAAGCAACCCCACCAACAGCAGGTCTATCACCAACAGCTAGACTCTGCGCTGCAGCCGTCGCAGCAAGAAACTCCACGGAAGACCACGTCGTCTTTACCATCGAAGCGCAAGTTGTCCGACGCGTCCGCCTCGTCGCCGTCCCACGTATGCCACATCTGCCGACGCGTCTACGAGCGAGCCGACCACTTGACGAGGCACCTGAGGTCGCACGAGAACGCCCGACCGTACCAATGCTCCCGATGCCCTAAGCGCTTCAACCGCGCCGACCTTTTGACGCGGCACGAGACCACGCACGACCGAGATGGCGCTGCAAAAGACCGCCCGTTTATCCGAAGAAACGATCGCGCTGCCGAAGCTTGTCTGAACTGCGCCGCCTCCAAGGCCAAGTGCGAAGACCAAAAGCCATGTAGTCGCTGTCGCAACAAGAGCCTAACATGTCAAATGCCGGCGAGGCGTGGGAATCAATATAGAACTTCGGAGTCACAAGCAGGAGTTTCCCCTTCTGATAGTTCAATGGTGGCTTCGACCACAGGCAATGACAACCAGGTTTTCACGGCAGGCGATGCCGCCTATGCGCTGTCACAATCAGCTGTCGCACACCAAGTCCAATCGATCGATAATACTGCTGGATATGCTGGTTCATCCTTCCTCGGTGCGCCAAGTGTGGAAGCTACGCCTGATGAGACCCTGTACTTTGCAGTGCCGCGGAAACTGCTTCCTGATATCGAACTCTCCTGGGACATGGACTTTGGCGGCTTCACTGTTCCAACATCAGATGTGAATGGACCAAGCCCTCGGTTGGGAAATGGGACAAAGCGTTCATCTCGTCAACCTCGAAGAGACATGGCTCAGGAAGACGCGGCTCTCCAGCGTTCAGCTTGGGTGGCTGATCCAGACATCAATGGCCATGCAGACGCCTCGGCCTTTACTTTGAGAAAAGTGTCGTCAGTTGTTCGTGACGGCCTCTTCGCCATGGTTCTCGCCGATATCTCGAACTCGCGGCAGATTCCAACATTTCCCTCGGCCGAAACCTTGAGCTACCTGACTGAAACGTTCTTTACCCAGCAAGACCAGAAACGGGATGCCTTCATTCACAAGGCTTCTTTTGATACTTCTACAGCTACCTTGGAACTCACCTCTGCTATCGTCTCGAGTGGAGCTACATCTGCGCCAACAACCTGGCAATTCGGCCTTGCTCTTAACGAGGTCTTGAGAACTCTCCTCAACAGTCTTGTAAGTCTGGCGATCTTTTAGTTCTTTCTGATAGTACTATACCACTATGCTGGTGTGCGTGACATAGACTTGGACGAAGACAAACTAACGAGGATAGCTGGAATCCTTTGATTCGACAACGAAACCCCTGATGCTGCTCCAAGCGTCCATGCTTCATCTTGACATTGGGCAGTGGTGTGGCTTTAATCGTCAGATGGAAATGGCACAGACTTTTGCCCAGCAAGTGTTGACAGTAAGCCTGCCTTGAACACTTGAACATGGTTGTCCGTCAGCGGGCTAACGAAGAAAAGCTGGTGCGAGGAACTGGGAGGATTTCTTTTTCGTCAGACTCGGCCCTCTATATCCCAAGTGCAGGAGACTCTCCTGGAGACTTGGAGTTGAAATGGCAGCAATTTGCTATGATTGAGTCCTACAAAAGGTCTGGCCACTGCTCCCGTTATGCTTGATACTTGCTGACCGTGTTCAGGTTGATGATACGCCTGTTCATTCATGATGCGCAATCCTCAATTGTTTCATGGAGGAGTTCAAACATGGCATACAACGAACTCGACTTTACCCTACCGGCGGCGGCTGATCTTTGGAGGGCCCCAAGCTCACAACAGTGGCGGGAGCTGCACTCGGTAAAGAGGTCCACAACTGTAGGCATTCCGCGACTCCTGGATGTGAGAGACTGCATGTCCTTCATCACCGAGCCCAACGACTGTGTCGATATCGAACTCTGTTGCATGGCCGCTCTCTCGGGGATGTGGGGCCAGATTTGGATCTATCGCGATGCTGTCACGTATCACAGCAACCCGGATCGACGCAGTACCGGCTCTCCAGCTTGGACTAATGCTTTGTACGAAGATCTGTATAGCAGGCTGGTGAACTTCTCCAACCAAGCTCAGGGGCTGCAAACGTTCAGCCCGGAGCTCTTGCTGTTTTGTGAGCTCTTGATGATGGCACTCCATGTCTCGTTTGACGAACTGCACCGACTCGCTGGCTACAACGGGGAGGGAGGGTCCCGGAGAGCGGCACAAACACTGGAGACCACCTGGTTTTCAGGACCAGAAGCTCGCCATGCCGCATGGCACGCTGGGCAGGTACTCCGCCATGCACAGGAGTGTAAAGCAACAAGTCTGCAAGGGTTCAACTCAATGGCTGTCTACTTTGCTGGCCTTACCCTGTGGGCGTACGGCATCATGTCAGCTCCGGGCTCAACAAACGGCCAAGGGATTGCGGACGACCATGTGCTACTCAATGGACAAGAAACGAGGGAGTCGAGAGCGTTTCTCGAGCTCGGACAAGGCACACCAGCCTTGACGTTTCCAGCAGGCCTACGTCTCCAGACAGAGCCATTGTTGAACAGCGATGTCGCCCTGTCACATGCTCGAAATATCTTGCGACAAAACTTCCCCGTTCTCAGCGAGCCGCTGCCCCAGTTGGTTGAGAGGCTGTGGCGTCGACTTGTAGAGCTGCAGTCGGGCCAGAACGGCCAGGCCATGGCCAACACGGATGGAACCGTGGCAGGAAATGGTAGCCGTCATGTTTGAAGTTGTTTATTCCTAGGTATGCGGACTATAAAAGGATGTTTGCGTGGGTTTGCTTGTCTAGAACTCATCCAATTGGGTGTTAGCGAAGGAGTTGGGGCGGAAAACGGGAAACACAAAAGGGTCATGACTGGTAACATGTTACAAGGGAGGGTTCTATAAGGTGACATGATGAACTTATCATTGTTGGAGTGTTTAGCTTATTGTTTATTGCCTATGATTCGTGATGGTCTGGGAGCTCATGTTCAAGAGTGAGCATCATTGCCCGTGTTACGTTCACGTCTACATGTACAAACCGAGTGGACGGCACTGAAAATGACTAGCATGGAGGGAAGTTGCACTGGAGATGATTACTTGCAATATCACTTTCCTTTGTTCACATCTCACTTCTGGAAGGAGGGCTAGGATGTGCCTACTGCGAGAAAGGGAAACCCTTTGCCAACTCTTGCCTGCTTCACAACCACTCAACTATTCTGCTCTCCTTTTCATTTGGTGCTACTCACTCACTCATTGAATTACTGCGTTAACAACTCTTATCGTCGGCTTGAAGACTTAGTCGCGGCGTTTCTATTTATCTTCAGGCTTGTCCTTCATTACTATCCCACGGCTTGGATAACTCGAACCGTCCCGATGCCTCCCATCTAGAAGAGAATTGACATGCCGCCAGGTCCTTTGCACGATGAACTCATCTTTGAACGCCTCGATGATGTACGCCTCCTGCGGCACTACGAGAACAATGCCATGGCCTGGGCTGGGCCGCTCTCGACAACAGACTTCCTAGATGTTCATTTCAGACTGAGCACTATTCCAGGAGAAGCCTCCGCCTTTGAGATCTGGGCACTCCGCAAACCCGACGATCCTTTGGGTATCATTTCGAGCTGCGCAACACATCTCCGCGACGCAATCGCGAGCCGCGGCAAGGGCGTGAGGATGACTGGTGCTGTCGTCATATCCGAAATCTTTACCGATCCCGAATACCGCGGCCGCGGCTTCGCCAAGCTGCTCCTCAAGAGAGTACAAGACCACTTTGATGAGCGGGACGATTTGGATATTGACTTTACCGTCATCTATGGTAATGGTTCCTTGAACTGGTACCGAGAGCTGGGGTGGAAGCCTGTCACAGCGACCCAGCTGACCATCAATGTTGAGCGCTTCCGGGCTTGCGCTGGGTCTGAATGTGAGAAATTGGAATTTCTCACATTCCGGGAAGTCTGCAACATTGCCAATTGCGACGTCAACATCAGCAAGCTGCGTCTCTCCAAGGCTCAAGGCCCCAAAACCCACGTCCAACTTCTACCCAGCGCGTTTTTGGCCCGACGGCACCTATACCGCTCCGCCTTACTCGCCTACAAACTGCGTCAAAGTCACATTTAGTATCATGGGGTTTCGATTCTCGAGGGGGCAACAGAGGTAGCAGCATGGTGGACCCGCGACTTCCAGAACAGCCGGCTCATGATAGGACGTTTATTTATGACGCGCCTGAACAATGTGGACAGACTGGTAGTTGAAGTATTGGAGGCAGCAATGGAAGAGGCACTCCGGCGTGGGCTGCGGGAGGTGATGCTTTGGGATCCGAGCCCTCAGGTGGTGTTGGCGGCCATGACAATATGGGATAAATATGATGCGGACGTGCAAGTCATGACTGGGGAGAGAACGGAGATGGTACCATGTGTGAGATGGAAGGGCGGCGAGGAGCGGGATGTTGTGTTGGATGAAGGGCAGTTTGTGTCATGGAGTTGATGTGCAGGACAGGGCAGGGTTGGCTTCGATTGGGGGAATAATTCGGGGCCGGAAGAGTCCATGAATGAAACAGCGACGGACATTGATTGCGGCGTATGTACCTAGGTATGAGCAAGGTTGTTCTCATCTGGTAATGCTGGGGTATCCTAACCCTGGGGGGTTGGAGTTTATTCTGTGTATAATAGAGACAGCGAACAAAGCCGAGATTTGGGATAAACGGTTGTCAATTCCGCTGTGCTGATGCCACGGCAATCATTCGTTTGCCGTCTAGAGCCGGGCCTAGTCGGAGCTCGGGACTTGAAGCTTGGCTTGAGAATGACGGCTATGCTATTGAGACGTCGTTATTGGGTAGTCAGGGACATGAATGAAGCTGTTGTGGGGGAAGAAGATGACAGGGAGGAGAAAAGGTGGAGTACAAGTTGACCCCGCGATGATTGAATGACAAAGCATGGGATCGGTTGTTCAACCCCCGAGGGGGGCGGAACTTGATGCCTGCCATGCAACCACACAATCCATGGTTATTCACACTCACCTTTAACCCGCATGCAACCGTTGGCTGATCTGTTACTGTACCTACCTCCCTATCTTGAACATATATGAACCCAAGGCTTCTCCTCAGAGTTTCCCCTCTGATCCGACAATCCACTTCATCCCAGGTCCGAGCGAGACTCTACACCACCAAGATGGCGAACCGTGTCCACCGAATCACCATGTTCAAGATGCCTAGCGAGGCTGACCGGGCCGTTCTTCTGGAGCAGTACAACAAGCTGAGTGCCAACCAGCAAAAGGTGAGCTCACAAGTCACTCCCCTCACAGATCCGTCACTAACTGCTTCCTCTTCTAGGACGGCAAGCCTTATATCCTGTCCATGGTGGTCGGTGCCGCCGATGAAGATGCCCGATCTCAGGGATACCACTTTGTCTCCAAGACCGAGTTTGCCAGCATGGAGGATATGAAGTACTACGACGAGGAGTGCAAGGCTCACAGCGACCTCAAGACGACTGTCAAGACGCTGGGCGTTCAGGGTGTCTTGACCATTTACTTTAAGCCTCAGGCTATTGGTGGTATTGACAATGCTTGAGAGATGTGGGGGTGAGATGAGACAAAGAGATGGGATAGATGAAGACAAATAAATAAGAAATAAACAAGATCTCTTCACGATGTGGTCATTACGCACTTCTGCTTCAGCTTATTGCTTGGTGTCTGGCTTACCATTGTCCGGGCTGTTGGTGTCATTAGGCTGTGGAAACTCTCACCAACGGCACTTGGCGATATCGTGGCTGACCTCGTGGATGTACTGACTGCATGTGACAAGTTCAGGCGCTCACATGGCTGTGCGCCACTTAGCACCGCCTGTCCTCGTTCTCAAAACAACATGCTTGTTGCGCTCGGGCCTGCCGCTGGGATCTAGGCACATGGTGAAGACAATGCCTGTGCACTTTTGCACCGAGGCCAAGGCTCAGTGCGGGGCAAGGTTGAGGAGAAGTCAAAGGGACCTTTGCGTTAGGGATTAAGACCTGCGGAATGAGACGCTCCGTTAGGTATGGGCGTGTTAGTGTCAATGATGATCTCAAGCCCATGGAAGACAAGCAAGTGACCATGAAGCCGTAACCAAGATACGAGTTGGAGCTCCCGGAAGAATTGAGATGTGTTGGAGGAGAAGGACTCTGTGATATAAGATGGAGGTTAGACACCTTTTACTTGCCAGTTAGGGCTGATGTGACCCGGACAATGGCAATTGACACCTGATTGCTCAGAAAAGAGCAGACTGAAGCTCGAAGCAAAGGGCGCTGCTCAAAGGTTTCTCAAGGCTTTGACATATTTCGAACAGATGCCAGTAAAAGGCTGAGTGGCAGCAGAGGGATGGACTTGTATTAGCTGATTGACACAAGTATGGTGTGATTCTATCTCTTTGAGTTGTGCCACATGCCCAAGAGACATGATTCGTCAAACCCAGTTCCCAACCTAGCCACTTCATCCCCCTTTTAACAACTCGCTCGGCATGTCACGCTCTGTACGTCTAGACCGAGGATAATGTGTGGGGAAGACGAGGCTGTCAAAGATGGACTTTCTGGATCATGAAGACCTGTTGTGAATGTGTCGAAGAATCTGACGTGAGGGAGCGTGAGAGCATAGGGCACAGCGTTCTGATGGGCCTGAATGCCAAAGAATGTATGAAGATGTTCACCTTCGATAGATTTTCAATAGCTGTTAATGTATTAAATTCGCCCAAAACGAAGCGGGCCCTTCGCAACAACATGATATCGCGAATGTCTTGTAGCCTGCGGGCACTGTGGGTGCGCAACACGGCCAGGGGAATTACTCCCATATTGCACTTCTAGAGCTTTAAAGGTAGCCAAGTGAATGATCAAGAAAGAATAATGCCATTTAATAATTTCCCAAGTTTAGATAAATAATACTTCTATCGCAAAGTATTGCTATTACTGAGGTGCCATGTGGTGATTTAGCTTCGCCAGGTGATAGCCAGTGTCGCCATCTAACTACCAATGAGGAAGTATTTCCTAGTAAACAAAAGACAATGCCATTGTTTGTTATTGATCAGTGGTTTTTTTCTGAACACTGATGTTAAAATAGCCAAGATCTTAATTCTTCTCTTCCACCCAACATCTGCAATCATCTGAACACCACAACTCGATGATAGCTTTTCCTGACACCTTTCTCTCAATACAAAAAAGCTACTTCCAAACCATATCGCATATCTTGAATCAGAACGGTAAGCCTCATTGTTTCTCTTTCCGATATCTCAAAGACAAGACAAGGAGTCTAACGATTCTTTGCCTCAGACCGGCACAACTGTCTCCATTTTCCGTCACAGTTGTCGGCAGCCTCCAAAGCACAAATATATATATATATATGTGTTATCCTTTACGATATTCTCGGAATCGATCACAAGAAGTATTTGAAAGCGGGACTTTCAAGTTCTCTTGTTCATCCCGATCTTCAATATATATATGCGACCTTCGTACTCAACTTCTACAATCTTCAGAGTTACGACAAGCCACCTCTCTTAATGCCGAAGAGTCGGGTTCAAGATACCCTCCAAAGCACCGATCAAAGATTCTCGCAAACAGACGCATACCATATCCGACAGTTTCGGAAGTCAAGACCATTCTCGCCGGCCGAGAAAGGAACCTTGACTCCCCTGGAACAAACGACGAACCATTTCCCTCTTGGGTTAGAGCAGTTGGCAGCTCAAACCACAAAGCAATTCGATCGGCGTGCAGAATCTTTGAGACGGCGAACAAGCCATGGAGAAGCAACGGACAAAGCCCAAGCAGAAGACCTGGCTGAGATTAAGTAAGTCGCAAATCAACGACATGTCCCGGGTCGGAAGCGACAAAGCTAGATCCGACAGGACCAAGTTCCTCGAAGGGAAGCGGACGCTCGTCGAATGAGGACGAGTCGCCACGACCTGAAGAGTTGAACGTCTGGAGCCAAGGCACACGCCACCTTGTCCCGCCTCCCAGTCTTCAAGTACAATACCCTAGGCTAAAGTATATGGACAACCCCGAGGATGAGCGTGTGATACGGGCGGCTCTCGCAGCTTGCAGAGACAGCCAGTACACACACCTCAACCTCGAACGACACGTGCTGTCGGGAGAACAAATACCGATCCAGCGTTTGAAGCGCGGTGACGTTGTGTTTCTCTGCACGACGCACGAGCTGTACGGGCCGGGCCAGAGGAGATATCTTTACTGGGGTACAGCCAAGTCTGGGCAGGAGAAGTATCTAGTGTTCTTGACACTAGTTACAAACGGCGGCAAGGGTGTGGTCCGGGGATCGCATAACTGGTTCCTAGAGCCGACAGCGTATCGTTTCGTGTCTGAGCCGCACCATGGCCGAAACACGTACGTTTGTTGGACTCAGGCGGTGGCGATCTCCCCTCCTCGACGAGACTCCATTTTTGGACGTATCGATGAGGAGGAGCAGATCACAAAAGGTGACCTCCGAGAACTAGGAGAGTTTGTGGTGCACCAGATGGAGCACCACAAGAACGACGTCAGCGACCTCTGTCAAGAGGCAAGGGAGCGACATCGTTCTGCTCAATCAGCGAACAGGGGGAGCCGGCGTGGGGATGCATGGTTGGAGACAAAGCACTGCGGCGTCGACGGCTGCGCATTCTACAGGGAGATCATAGACGCGTGAAAACAAGACGGAAAGAAGGAGGTGTCGCAGAAACAGAGTGTCGTCGCCTCTTCCAAAGTGAAAAGTCGGCCACCTGAATCTGCGTGTCGGTGCCTCGGGGGTGAGGCTCGACATTTCGACCCCAGACTCTTCTGGCTGGAGGGGTGAGAGCTGGAACAGACTGGAGCCGGAAGCACCTGTCTTCTTGGTCAGGAGTCGGAGACGTCATTGTGATATGGTAAGTCTTCTCTTGCTCGGATGTGTTCAGATGTGTAACTAACGCCCCAAGCAGCACATGACTTTCTCCCCCGTGTCTATAATATCTCCATGGTCCTGCTTCATGGTTTGTGACGAGGGGATGCAACCTCGGCGGATGATGGATCGAGGTGCTTCAGCATTTTTTGCCCACGGGGGCAGTCGACGATCGGCGATGGGTTCGAAGGGGACGGCTGAAGCCGATCGAAGTTCCTCAGCGATGGCCCGCTAGACGTGCCCGCCGGATGAATGACAAGGGGGAGATGAAGTCGCGCAGAGATCTCGACAGAGGGTTCCGGTGAGCCAGGGGAGAATGGGCCATGGGAAGAGCGGTTCCTATACGCCCTCGTAGTGATCGTCCGAGGAACACGGCAAACTACGCTGAGCCTCCTGTGAGCGAGCGAAGCGGCACAGGGAGCCAAAAGGACAGTGAGGATGAAGCAAGCCCAGAGAAAGAGGCCCCCGACAAAGAATTCATCAGCGATTCCGACCAGCCCATGAGAGATACAGATAGAGACTTCGTTGCCGAAGAATCAGAGCAGAGCACCACCGATGACGAGGTCCTAACTACTCCGGACAGGACTCGGACGGGGATGACCCTATTAAGGAACCCGAAGACGACGAGGGGGAAGACCCTAGGGCACAGCTTCAGGCGGAACTGGTGGACTTGACGGGTGATGACTAGGTAGGCAGTCTGCTGGCGTTTCAACTACTCAGTATGCGCGGCCAGGTCTGTGGCGGAAGGCTTGTTGTAGCTGCCGTCCGACTTTTTGGCAATGTGTCTCTCGTCGGATCCTGCGAAGTTGGAATGTCGACACCAACCGTCTATCATGGTGCTAAACATATACGCAAGGCGACCAAATCAACCATATCACCCTCACCAGATCGGATGCCCAAAGTGGCGTACTTGTGGTCAATGAATTGATGAGTCGAAACGACCTCACCCCCAAACATCAACGGCTCTATATATCAGAGCTTCTTTGGCATGCGCCATGCTGTGGTTGTTTGTCTCGTCGACCAAAAGGAGGCGACAACAGTGCATGGAAACCCGTCGTAGATCCAGTATGTCTAGGGTCCGGCGGTCGCCAGACGACTTTAGAGGGAGAAAGGGGGGGAGGACGGCGTATTTTTGGAGCAAGTGTTGGGGTTTTTGGTTGTGTCGATGAGATACCTAAGGTGGACGATGGTCGGAGTCTTTTTGGTGGCCTCAAGTCTGGCTGGTCCAGATATAATATACCATTTTTTGCTTGAACCGATACTGTCTGATCGACGACGATTGCCGAGTGACGGCGACAGCGCCGCACCACCGATCGATTGTAGTTCTTGCCATTGTGTTGAGAAATTGCAGAAACCATTCGAACGTGGAAAGGGATGCTTCTCGTACAGGTGGTTCAAGCAGTTTTACACCCGCCGAGAGGTCCAGTAACCTCTACTGCCAAAGAAAGTCTGAAGAAGGTAGTTGAAGAGGGCTAGATAGGTAGGTCGATTGGCTGTCGGTACAAAAAGCAATAGGGCTCAACAGCGCCTTGGAACCATCCAGGGATGGGTCAATGTCCCATCCTGTCAAGGAGGGTTCGACAGGCTGGTCATTGGGGCTTGGCCGGCGAAGAGGCCTGTAGTTTCGAGCTTCGGTAACTCATCGTGTCGTACGAAGCGCCTGAGCTCTTGAGATGGATGCCCCTAGGCTCTCTGATGCTGCGAGGAACGCCTCATAGCCCAATATGGCCAATTCGATGTATTGTTTTCCCTTGAGCGTTATTCGCTGGCAGCTAAGAGGTAGTGTTGTGTCGATGTGGTCGATTGGGAGCTGTGCTTCGTACGATCTGGCTCTGTTCTAGAAAAGAGAGAGGACGAGGAAGAGGGTACTGGTCCCTATAGTCGGCGGTAATGGCAGCAGCGGCTGCTTTTTCAAGCTCGTCAGGGTCATACGACCGATTGACTGTGGTTCTCGTAGACATCGTGTTGAGAGACTGCAGCCTTGAGAAGGTGGAAAGGTGGAAAACTTTCTCTTGTTTCTCATATGGAGGCTAGAGTAGTTCCTATGAGAGGCTTAACCTTTCATAACGATGTGGCTAGGTGTGACTCTTCTGCTCGGTAGTAAAATGTTCAAAAAAGGTCACTGTGTTAGTATCAAGGCATGATGCTATGATGTGTTGATAATCTGTCCGACCCTTGGTGGGAACTGAGCCAGAAGATCGAGGCCCGTGGTGGTAATGAATACTGAGTATCCAAGGCACCAACTGGGCTTGGATGTTGGCTCAGTACCGCCATAGTCGACGAGAGAGGGGTGAGGTTGATGTGAGGAAGATGATGAAGAGGAGAAGTTGAGAGACCGAGGAGCGGGAGGGAAGGAGCGAATTTATAAATCTCTGAGAGAGAAAACGGGTTCTGAAGACAATAAGGCTCCCCAACAGATGGGAAAACAAACAAATACAAGAAAACATGTGCATGTTAAAGTTTTCCGTTGTTCGCAATCGGGAACCTTGTTGATGAAGGTTACGGCGTTGAGGTGTAAGTTGAGTTTTCCAACTGTCAACGTTTTGTTGAACGGCCCCCACGTGATTCCAATTCGTTTTTGCAAAACGGGCAGTCGCATAGGTAGTGCTCTGCCTGTTTGGTGTTAATACTGTTTGGCTAGGCTTGCGTTTGATAGGGATTAGATGCCAACAATGAGGTCATCATCAAACATCGGGTTTCCTATGGTGCAGTTTGCATCGTCAAACTGACCTTGGAATCATCTAAACCTAGGTATATCCAGGCAAATACCTCCACGGAAGCTTTTACAATTTGCGCGAAGGAGGAAGAGCAAGGTCTGTTGGAACTTCCAGGCTCAGATCAGTTTGTATGATGCATCAAGCGCAGCCTCAATGACACTGCGCCCCAACTTACTCTCCTTGGGATAAGCTTATTTGCTTCAACCTTACGAATGGATCTGAGATCCGTATTACGATTCCTCGAATTTCCATGTAAACCTCTCGCGTCGATCAGGGCCGAGTCGCCCCGCCAGCGGGCAACAAGAACCACCATCACTACGACAGCAATAGCAACATCAACGGGAAGCAGAGTCATGCTACAGTTACGCCATAAGAAAATATCGGGATTAAAATGCTAGGAAAGATTGGTCCACGGTACGTACGGACCATGATGACCAAATGGCATGCGCGAGGACAGTGGTCGTGCCGGAAAAGGGGTGACCGATGAAGAGAGACTTTTGCGACAGCCCGCTCGTGACCAAGGCAACGACCCAGAGATGAATGACCGGTCGAAAAGACTGAGAATGAATATTCTTTTGATCGAAAATAAACTTACTCTAACCCAACTCTGGTGCAGTTCTACCCTCACCTCTCACGACTGATCGGTACATTCCCTCGGCCGAGTAAACTTGGGGAAGAAACCGACCGTCGCCACCGAGAAATACGTCAAGCTAGATCTACCACCGAGCTGCGGAACCCAAACCTTTAGCCAAAGGGAGCAGAGAGGACACCCATGTCGCCGCATCCATCTTGCATAAGCCTACCTGCCTGCCTGCCAGATCTCGATACCCTGTGCGTCACACGACATGCTTAGCAGACAGATGACAGATGAGAGGTCTCGCTGGCAGTGGCGTAGAGGTGGGTGACACCCAACAGCCAGGCAGAAAGCCTGGAGCCCTCTCGAATCAGACTCTCGAATGCTGGTCTGTGGAATCTTCCAACTGCGACAGACAAGAGCTCACTTCATTCTCTTACAGACACAGCCTGAGCAACCCCATCGTCTCATATTGTTGCGACTCGTGCCAGCAGTCTCATCACAAGGTCTCTCGAATCCCCTCGTTTGTCGTGCCTAGAACGACTCAGGCCCAAGACAGCCCCGTCACACCGTCGCAACATGGTCCTTTTTCCACGGCCAGATGATTCATAGCGGTATCATGGTGCAATATGAGAGTGCTACAGTGATACACGAGTCATGACATGACTCTCACACTTCAGGGGCGTAGATGTCTGGTTGCCTCTCTGGCTCGACTTGCCTGTCATCAGAGACGAGGTGGCACTGTATGGCTTCACTTGAGCAACCTGGACCATGTTTCATATTTGAGCATTTGTAATCTCTGCCTAAATGAAAGTTGTGCCAAGAAGTTGGCCATGAAGGGTGGTATCATCGACTCCGGGAACATTCCGCATTCTGACCATCCCATCCCATCCCATCCAGTGCCAACAAGAAAGCAACCAAGAAATATGAATCGTCAAATCAACTCCAACTGCTTCTCGTTCGTATCGACCCCATAATGATCCATATCCACCGCCATGACCAACACCAAAATCCTGCTGTTGTTGCGTCGCCATCCCAGCATAGATAGTATAGTAACGCCATATAATGCTCGAAACGCCTCCATAGCGCCGCCCAAAAGTCCATCAAAACCTTCTTGTCGCATGCTAGCTAGTAGAAACATAGCAGAGTGTTGGATAGATCAGCGTATCCGCTAGACACATCTTTCAGCGCTGGAAATGTCAGTCATTTCTGTTGCTGAGTCACTCCCTCGCCTTGAAGAAAGCTCATCCTTCGGAAAGGCTGTCAACCGCTCCAGGGGCTCAGGGCGCCGTTCCAAGGTGAACAGAGATATCACCACCATGACAGCGCAGACGAGCATCATGATTTTGATCTCTTCGGCAAAAGCACCGGCATAAACTTGTTTGACCAGGTCCTGAAGGCCCATCGGAAGGTGCAGACTTGTCAATGGTGAGCGATGCAGGTTTTCGAGCTGCGTCGAGGTGAGATGCTCCTGGAGATATCTGTTGACATGCGAGTTGAATATGACGGTGCAAATCGACAGCCCAATGCAGCCTCCCAGTACTCGAGCTTGCGCCACAGCCCCTTGGGCAGAAGCAAGCTCGCTACGTTCGGCAGCAAGGATACTTGTCATGATGGTAGCTGCAGAGAATGACAGGCCAACTCCCAGTCCAAAAATGGCTTGAAAGGCGTACTGAGCTTTGACGTAGCCGTCAGGCCTAGTCATCGTCGACATTAGCCCAACACCAAGCAGCTGAAGGCATGATGCACCCAGTAGAGTAAAAGATGTGTTGTTCTTCTTGCTGGATATTGCGCCCCCTAGAAACGATCCTATAGCACAGGCACCCAGTAAAGGGAGAATGTGTAGCCCTGCCATAAGGACTCCTTCGCGGTTGACAATTTGAAATCGTTCGGGAATGACAATCGAGAGAGAAATGTATGGGAAGCCTGTAAACATGGTCACGCTACTCGAGCGTCAGCAGCTGTCTCGACAAATAGAGCCGAATATCACTTACAGCAACCCCGCAAAGTACACTCGTCGCAACATTAACCGTATAGGGAATATGGGCTCGATGCGACGGTGTGGCTTCGTCTCTAGGAACACCTCCCAGCACACAAACACGATCCAGCTGACACCTGAGATGGCCAGGGCCGAGATGATCTCTGGGCTTCCCCAAGAAAATGTCTGCGACCCGGCCTGTTGAACGGCAAACACCAAGAATCCAGAGCTGCTGAGGAGTGTTGCACTGCCGATGAAGTCGATGCTGGTAAATGCCTTCCAAGAAAAGATGTGTGCTACGTCCTCATGTGGCCATAGGTTCGTGATAGCGAGGATCGTCGCAAGGCCAAAGGGGATGCTGCATTTGTCAGATAAGACTCTGAGCAAGGGGTTCCACCACTTACTTCATATTGAACAACCATCTCCAATCCGAAAGCTGAGAAACAGCACCGCCGATAATAGGGCCTAGCACAAAGGCAACTGCGAGAGTGGCTCCAATCATGGCCCCGATCAAGCTCGGCCGGTGGGAGGGTCCAACTTCTACCAGACCGATCTGTGTCAAGCTGTACAAGCCGGAAGCCCCCATTCCCTGGAAGGCTCGGCATACAATCCTGAGCTTCGTCAGCTGATGACCATGGCACAATCGAACAGGCTACGTACAAAGCCGTCATACTGGTAGCCGATCCACAACCTTGTGAGAAACCAACAAAGAAGACCCATGACACCACGAGCATGTTGCGCCTCCCGTAAATGTCACTGAGTTTCGAGACACAAACTGCGAATCCTGTGACGTTTGTCAGACGACCTTTGTTCCCAGATATACGCCCATGGAACTTACCCATATAAGTTAAAAGGTAGGCCAGGACAATCCATGGTGCATTAACAAAGTCATTGAGATCGTGCGAGATGGTAACGAGAGAAGTTGAGACGATGGAAGTGTCGAGACTCGAGAAGAGCAATCCTGTGAGCAGACTGAGATGATTAGTAAGAACTTCCAACCGAGATCCCCATGTGTCTTACGATATTACGAGGACCGCCTGTCGAGGTCCAGTAACAGAATGCTTCCGTAGTCCAGAAATAGTTCTTGTCGAGCCCATGTCTCCGCCTCTTTGTTCCTCCAGTATCGCCATCTGGCCCAGAGATGGATTGGGGTAAGATAGGGGCATGGGATATTCATTTGGCATTCTTTTCGGAAGATCTCGGTGACGTTTACCGAAGATTCTTGGCGACGAACTCTGATCAGGTGTATTTTGGTGCCAATGGAGGCCGTCGTAGAAGTAGAGGTAGACGTGGAGGTAGACGTCGTGTCAGGTAAGGGTATCGGGGCAACTTTGCTTGGCCGAGTAGGTCGAGATGTGGACAGTATAGGACACAGTCGGCTCCGAAATGCAACGATAGCGAGTGCTTGAAGGTCTTGAAGGATCTTATAGATAAATGGTATAAGCTGGAGGAGACGCGGAGCTGGAAGAATCAAACTGGTTTTGCTGAAGTGGAAAGGGGCCCTACTTTTCATATCAGGTCAGAAGTTGCCGACGCCGAGAAAGAATATGCGCAAGGAGAAACCAACAGGCTGATAACATGATTTCCCTGAGACAATGTACCAGACGAGGAAGTCAAGATGTGCCTCGCCGATAAAGGCGAAGGGTCGAATAAGTATTTGAGACATGCCGTCCTCAACGGTTACACGGCCGCAAGCGAACGACCGCCGGATCGCGAACGCTTCAAAGGTCTGCTCAGGTAGATAGTTAGTCAGGGGTTATGGGGAGGGATGAGATCTTCTCTTACAGTAGTACGGGCCAAAGAAAGGGCAATGACGGGTGTTGTACTACCCAGAACATGGCTCCAAGGTAGGACATGGTTGTCTATGACCAACTGGTTCGTCGCACACTGGATGCAAAAGCGCCACTCCTGGTATCGGAGCTGAAGGTCGATCACAAGAGTGAACTCGGTATCGAAGTGGTATTCAATGAATGCTGCCCTCTCACCTCGATGCTGGGTTGGTATAGGAGTGTGGAGAGACGCTTCGACTTGAGAACGGCTTAGACCACGACGACGTCTCTTCAGCAACCAACTAGGAGAAGCGATGAGCTTCGGCAAGTCTGTAGGGTCCCGCTTGTGTCGTGGTAGCACATGGCGCCCCTCTGGGGCTGGTCACAGGCTGGAGACGATTCCAGCCTTTCCGCTTCCTGACCCTATTTGTGTCGTGATGCGAGAAGTAAAGCGCTGGAAGCCGTGGGAACCCATCGCCGCTCGGGTATCCGACTCTCTGTGTGCGGTATCGTGTTCGATGGGGTTGTTGTCGTCGGATCTGTGCCTCTTCCTATCCCGTCGGGCAGACAGGCTCCCTCAGAGGGTACGAGGGTCTCAGTAAGACCTGTCTATAGATTGTCAGCTGGGGGGAGAGAGACAAGTCCCAGAATGGTATACCGAAGCGCTCTCATGGACAGAGGGAGATGTGTGGTACGGTTGGGAACTGAGGGGCGTCTTCAAACTTAGAGGCCTCGCAGTCCTCGCCTCGCGTTGCGTTGGTGTCACCACACCCCGCCACACTTGCCACATCTTGAGACGGACGGTAAGAGATCATGGCGACAGGGGGATTGTTCGAAAAACGTGCCTGTGTAGTTGGTGTGTCCCAGTCAGAAACGAGCTAGCTGCACTCGGGTGAAGCTGCTCAGGGGGTCACGTGCGTCCCAACTGCTTCCACGGCCTACAACTTGAGCCAGGACGAACTTACGATGTGCATTGATCGAGGCAAGAGCCAGTTTGTCTGGCTATTTCCTTGGGGCTTTCCGGAAAAGGTCACCCGACCTGTGCTGTGATCGTAGGAGAGTGCTGGTCGCCGTCTTGCCGTCGCCAATTACGGCATTTCAACTGTGTTCGTCGCAACGCGGCTAGCTTCCCGTGTCCGTACAAGATTGTTGCTTCTATTGATAACCACTGGACACAAGGATATTACTTGGTAGCGGCCCTTCCCGTGTAGAAAATCAAACAACACATGGATGCAAACAAGCTTGATCATTAGGCTGGTGCCCCGGGAGAGCTGCCAAGATGCAATCACCCTTGGCTCTTGGAGATTTCGCCGTGTTTTATTGATAGAGATTCATATCCATGTTGACCGCCGGAGCCTTGCAGATTGATCAATCCATCAACGGCTCTGTTTGCTGCCAAGCTGTCGCAACGGCCATGCCCCTATCCGCACATTCCCCGCCACTGACAAGCCACCCAACGACTTTCTTATCCAACCAAAGCTGTTTGTTCTCGACATCAAAGACTCGATCGGACTAAAGAAACATTTTTCTCCTTTTGATGCGATCAATATCAATATAATCTTCAAGTCCGAGGTCGAGTCAAACAGCCTGGTCCTCGTTCAGAATCGTCACCACTTCGCCAAAGGCGCGCCGCACCGTCATTTCCCAACCACACGTGACTAGGGTCAGTACTCGCAGTGAGGTCTATATGGGAAAGAGCGTAGCTGGGTAGGTAGGTACCTTCAGGTTCCAGAGCGTGTGTTGGATGACGATGGCGTTCTCGTCCCAAGCACGCTGCCGGTCGATCTGCTCTAGAAAATGCTGTGCTCGTCCAGTTCCGTCTGCTGAGAGGCATATACATATCCAATCTCCGTGCTTGCCCCTCCATAGAGTGCCGTGCCAGACATGTAATGCCTCCTAGTGTCCAAGCTTCAAATGACACACTCGACTTGGGCCGACAGTCAGCCCATACAAACAAATGCTATGGAATGCTGCTTTCAAATTCCGTAGATAGATACCCATGGGTCTACATTTGAATTTCTTGGTCCTGGTAAATACGCTATCCATAGCCAGCCGCCAATAATTTCAAAGGGGGGAAGCTGCCAGCGTTTGTTGGGACTCCCCTTTCCTACAAAGGACCCCAGGACCAACAAGGTGGGTTCCTAGATTGTAGAGCAGCGAGCTGCCGTCCTCGAGGATGGTAGTAGAGTATGCCTTGTCTGTCTGTGCATCTCCCAAAGGATAAAGAGACGAGGTGCTATTGTACATGAACCATTCACTATTGTGCCCCCTCGACAGCACCCTCGCCTCGTTTTCCTCCTGTTCATCGTTCTTTCAGCGTCCATCCGTTTACATGCGCGCCTTCTGCGCCTGGTAATGCCCCTCTCCTGCCTTCTACAGACCTACCTAGCCGCCAGAAGCCAACCGTAGTCTCTGCAGCTCCAGCCTCAACCATTTTTCCTCTGGGTTTTCACTGGCCGTGAATCACGCTCAACCCACTTCCTTACCTATGCCTTAGGGGCTAGCCAACCCTTCTACCTTCGCTTCTTTCCAAAACCAAAATCCTCACTTCACTTCCGATTTCCTTTCCTCACCTCTTCATCCGCACCTCACTACCCATCATACCTACGCTTAGCGACCAAGGAAAAGCTTCATTAACTTCAGCATACCTACCTTCTCTTCCTGGCGTTGCCAATATGGACGACATTGCTGTCGTCGGCATCGGCCTTCGCTTCCCGGGCGATGCTTCCTCGCCTGAGGAACTCTGGAAAGTCCTCGAGCGAGGTGAATCCCAGTGGTCCGAGTTTCCCAAAGACCGTCTCAACATCGACGGCTACTATCATCCCGGCGGTGATCGTCAGGGCAGTGTAAGTCGACGTCGACATCTCCAGCGAGGAATACGATGATGCTTACCCATAACTTCAGATCTCCTTCCGCGGTGCCCACTTCCTGAAAGGTGATTTTGCCGCTTTCGATGCTTCAGTGAGTCCTTCTTCCTTCCTTGGGACTTCATTCGTCACTTCCAGTGTGGCAGTGACTCGTCTAACTAAACTCTCCCCCCTTTAGTTCTTCTCTATCGCCGCAGAAGACGCGAAAGCGATCGATCCTCAACAGAGAATTCTCCTGGAAACCTCCTACGAAGCGCTAGAAAATGGTAATAAACCCTCTCCCACTCGGCGGAGCTCGTATTGACACCGATACCACAGCTGGAATCAGAAAGGAAGACATCGACGGAAGCGACACGGCTGTCTACGTCGGCTCATTTGTCAAAGGTGAGTGAAACCTCCTTCAACCATGTACGAGCCTAGCATCTGACCCTCTTAGACTATGAGCAGGTCTGCCTACGAGATCCAGACTGGCAACCTCAGTATGCCGCTACTGGAAATGGCATCGCAATCATGGCAAACCGTATCTCCCACTTTTTCAACTTGCACGGGCCCAGCATGACCATCGACACTGGCTGTTCCGGCAGTCTGGTGTCTGTACACCTTGCTGCGCAGAGCCTCCGATACGGGGAATCTTCACTGGTACGTGTTGCAGTCTCGGAACACAATGAAACTGAGAGATGCTGATGTCTTCAGGCTATCGCTGCTGGTGCCGGAATGATACTGACACCGAACACGATTATGCCTATGACGGCACTCAACTTCCTTAGCCCAGATGGCAAGTGCTTTACGTTCGACGCCCGGGCGAACGGCTACGGCCGAGGTGAGGGTATCGGCGTCGTAGTCCTCAAGCGTCTTCAGGATGCTCTAAAGGACAACGACACCATTCGAGCTGTCATACGGGCCACCAGGGTTAATCAGGACGGTCACACTACAGGTAAGTCAAGTCTCTCTATTCTCTTTTCCCCTTACGAGGCGGCTAACGATGAAAAGGCATTACTTTGCCCAGCAAAGAAGCCCAAGTCGCCAACATTACCTCGATCTACGAGTCTGCCGGCCTCGACTTCAATCAGACTGCCTACGTCGAGTGTCATGGCACAGGGACGCAAGCTGGAGATTGGCGAGAGCTCAAGGCCATTTCCGAGTCGCTAGCCTCCATACGAACCGTCGACGATCCCATTATTGTCGGCTCCGTCAAGCCGAATATCGGCCATCTCGAAGGAGCTGCTGGAATTGCTGGACTGATCAAGGGTGTCCTTACTTTGGAACGTGGGAAGATCCCTCCTAATATCAATTTTGAGAATGGCAATCCCAACATCGACTTTCAGACCTGGAAGGTCAAGGTAAGTTGATCACTTCACTCTACCACCGTAGCTCTTGCTGACCTACCTACGCCAGGTACCAACAGAAATGATGGAATGGCCTCTCCATGGCCTTCGTCGTGTCAGCGTCAATTGCTTTGGCTTTGGCGGCACCAATGCCCATGTCATCATGGACGAGGCCCCCAAATACATGTCGGCCCGTGGGCTTCAGGGCAACCACAGCTCACTTGTTGCCAGCTCAGCGAATACCTCAACTCCCGAGCACAGTCCTGACACCGGTTTTGGTCCTTATATCTTTTGCTTCTCATCTCACGAGGAATCTGGTCTTCGCCGTGTCATGGAGTCTCACCTCTCTTACCTGAGCTCCCAAGAGGGAAACAACCCAAACTTCCTTCGCAACTATGCCTACACACTTGGTTCACGTCGCTCTAACCTCGAGTGGAAGCATACTATTATTTCCCAGTCCCAGAAGGAACTAGTTGAGAAGCTTCAAAACGTCAATGAGCCCGATTTCATCCGACCTTCGAAGAACAAGAATCTCAAGATTTGCTTCCTCTTCTGTGGCCAAGGCGCACAGTTTGCGCAGATGGGAAAAAACCTTCTGCCCTTTAAGGCGTTCAAAGACAGTCTAGTGGCCGCTTCATCGTACATGAAGAATAATCTTGGAAGTCCCTTTGATCTTTTCGAAGAGATACTCAAGAACGAGGACGAAAGCAGCATCTCTGACCCCCGGATTGCCCAGCCAGCAACCACTGCTCTGCAGATCGCACTTGTTGAGCTCTTACACTCATTCAACATTTCTCCCAGTCACGTTGTGGGCCATTCTTCAGGGGAAGTAGCAGCAGCCTATGCTTCAGGGGCTCTCACCAAAGAAGCCGCTTGGGAAGTTGCCTATTACCGCGGTGAAGTGGCCGCTTCCATAAACCTCAAGGGTCCTCATCTTCACGGTACCATGATGGTTGTCGGTCTTTCAGTACTCGAAGTGAAAACTCACTTCCGCAGCAGCCCATGTCAATGTGAGGTTGCGTGCATCAACAGCCCTCGTTCCACGACGCTGTCTGGGACAGAGGACTGTATTCTGCAGGCCAATAACTACTTTTCGGAAAAGAAAATCTTTTGTCACATCCTCCCGGTCCAAGTTGCCTACCATTCTTCGCACATGAGGTTGGTCAAGGACGAGTACGAGTCGGCACTGGCACTCGTCACTCCTCGAGAGCATGTCAGGGGGGTGAGAATGTTTTCTTCGGTCACCGGGGCGCCCGTTGACGGCTCTGGTCTTGATAAACACTACTGGGCTGAGAACCTGATGTCTCCAGTCAACTTTCTGGGTGCCATGGAATCAATGATGAAGCTACCGGCAGAGGAGTGCCCGGATGTGATCATTGAGCTCAGTCCTGCCGCAGCTCTGCGTTCCCCGACTGTGGACATTCTGTCGAGCACTGTCCCACCATACCACTCAGCATTGCCAGGAAATGGGAAAGACGAAGCCGCGCACCTCCTCTCTACCTTCGGTAAGCTCTGGGCTCTGGGTTATCCTATTAGCATGGAGAAGATTGTTTCTCGAGGATCTTATCAGGTCCCGCTCAAGTGTCTGTCAGACCTGCCTCCTTATCCTTGGAACCACACCAAGTCTTACTGGCATGAATCACACTTGGGCCAGGCCAACAGATTCAGGGAGTTCCCACGTCAGGATCTAATCGGCGCTCCTACGGCTGATGCCATCTCATTCGAACCGAGATGGCGGGGATTTCTTCGCATCTCGGAGAACCCCTGGATTCAGGATCACCGTGTGCAAAATACCATTATCTATCCTGCTGCTGGCATGGTTACAATGGCCCTGGAGGGCATCCGCCAACTTACCAAGGATGACGAGAAACTCCTTGGATACGAAATCACCAACATGCGGGTTGACAAAGCCATGATTGTCCCAAGCACAGCGCATGGACTAGAAACGGCTCTGAACTTCAAGCGCGCATCTCCCGTTGCAGCTAATCAGAGTCAAAGCCCCCTTTTCGAATTCTCCATCTACTCAAAGCCACTAGACTCTCCATGGGAGCAGCATGCCACTGGTTTGATTCGAGCTCGGTACCAGAAGGGTAAATGGAAGGCCCATTTCCGTCAGCATGAGCGTCGGTACGTGAGTATGACATCTGACTGTGAGAAGCCCATTGTTCCTCGACAGCTCTATGAGCTTCTCGACACTGTCGGTATGAACTATGGTACATTGTTCCAAAACATTACACAGATTTACAAGGGCGACGATGGCTGCGTGAGCCAGGTCCGCGTTCCCGACACAAAGTCGAAGATGCCAGCCAAATTCGAATACGACCATTTGATCCATCCAGCCACTCTCGACTCCATGTTTCAGACTCTTTTTGCCATCGACAACGAGCCCATGATACCGACTTACATCAAGCGCATCTTTGTGTCATCAGACATCTCTCGAGACCAGGGCACTACGTTCACTGGGTACGCGACTGCGACACGAAGTGGCATCCGCGACGCAAGTGCAGACATTGCCATGGCGCAATCCAGTTGGGTGAGGCCTTCTGTCGTCATCGATGGTCTTCACTTGACGGGAATTTCCAGTCCAATCCCTATTCAAGGCGGATTCCTGCCGAGCCATCACACCCTCTGCACTCACGTCATGTGGGGAGAGGATATCATGATGACACGAGCCGTAACTATCGATTTCCTCGTCACGAGGATCGCACACAAGTACCCAGGACTGTCCGTCCTCCAAGTTGGGGGTAGCATGGAGCTTGCATTTCATATTGCATACTATTGCGGAGATTTCGAGTGGGAGAGACTCAGAAATGAGGACGGGGTTATGGCTGACCGAAAGAAATCATCGTTGTCGCGCTTTTCCCTCGCCCAAGTCTCCGAAAGCGACGACTTGCTCGGCTTGCTTCCCGTTTCCAATGGACTTTCCTTTAAGGGGCTCGTCGAAAAGAGATCTATCGATGGCTCTGAGCCTATGCCGAAGTATGACCTGATCGTTGTCGGCAACCGAGAAGGCGTTGATACTTCCAGCCTGTTCCAGCACCTCAAACAACCTGGGTTTCTTCTTGAAGCTTTCAGTGAGGCCACGGGAGTATTAACTGATGAAGAGGTGGTCTCTTTTCCACCCTCGCAGGCTGGAAGCATTGGGAATTTACAATTCCGAGTGCACCGTCATGATCCTGGTTTTAAGCCAGACACTGCGGCTGATGTCATCGTTCTGCTGCCCACCGACCCTCAACCAGAAGCCACAGTGTTCATTCATCAACTCAATTCCAGATGTTCTTGGTGGAAGATTGAACCTATGCATCTCTCCGAGGTGCTTGAGAACCCTGCGAAAGCGAAGGATAAGGCAGTCATATCCCTTCTTGACTTTGTCTTTGGCTTCGCCCAAGACGCCTCAGTGTTCCACTGGAGCGAAGACGACTTCAACGCTTTTCATGCTCTCCAGAAGAACGCCAAGGGGATTCTCTGGATCACTCGCGGCGCAAATATGTCGGGCAAGAACCCCAAAGGTGCCCCTATCATCGCCCTGAGTCGCACCCTGGTCTCTGAGGACCCCCTCAAGATCATCGTGACGTTTGATCTTGACACAGGAACATCTCTGAACTCTGACCATGTCATCAATTGCGTCTGTGTCATCTTCTCTCGGTCGTTCAATTCGGACAAGGGCTCATTCCCTCGTGAGTTGGAGTATGCCGAACAAGGGCACTTCCTCTTCGTCCCACGTCTGACCCCCCTCCATCAGCTGAACAACATTGTCGAAAATGGTATTTCGACCCGAGTCCATGAGGAACCTTTTCATTCTCACCAACACCATCTCAAGCTACACATTGAGTGCCCGGGCCTCGGTAGCGATGAGATGAACTTTGTTCCCGGTGTTCCCGGTGTTCCCGGTCACACATACCTCGAAGCTAACGATGTTGAGATCGTATTCAGCAGTGCTACCCTCAACCACACGGACTTGGAGATTGTCATGGGAAGAACTGTTGAATCAGTGGTAGGAGCTGATTTCCGCGGCACTGTTGCCCGAACGGGACGCAACGTGCCCAACGTGTCCGGTTTGGCGATAGGTAATGTTGTCAGTGCTCTCGCTGTTGATGGTGCCTTGCAGAATAGGGTGCAGATCGACAACCGCTTCGTCAGAAGGTGGCCATATGATCTCCCTATTAGCCAATGCGTCAGCGCGTATTATTTACTTGTCGAAAAGGGACGACTAAATGAAGGCAAGACGGTGCTTGTCCACACTGGAGCCAGCTCGTTCGGCTTGGCTGCTATCGCTGTGGCATCTGTCCTGTCCATCGAAGTCTTTGCAACCATCAAGGGGCCGGACATGGGTCTCCAACGACTTGAACTTTTGAGGCGTGGTGTGCGTTGGGATCGCATCTTTGTGGCCGAGTCGGATGACTTTGTCGATTGTGTTTGCGACAGCACGCACGACGAGGGCGTGGACCTTGTTTTCAACCCGACTCAAGACCACGTTGAGGCCAACTTCAAGTGCGTCCGGAGAGGCAAGTGCACCATACCCATATCCTATTACGCAAATGCTAACTCGTTCCAGGCGGCACCGTTGTTCAGTTTGCAAGCAAGTCATCTTGCCCACCTCCTATCCGTGTCACGCCAACTTCTGCCGCCTCGTTTATCAGCTTTGATTTGAAGACCCTGCTCAAGTATGATGCGGATTACGTCTCTAAGCTCCTCGATATGGTTGTCAACCTCGCGGAGTGTGACGAGGAAAAGTTTCGTGACAACCTCGCGGAGTGTGACGAGGAAAAGTTTCATGTCTTTGATGTCAGCAGAGATATCCTCCGTTATGTCGAGCTGCCCAATGTCAAGCGGGCATTCGAGCTTGTTATGGAGAGCCCATATCTTGGTCTTGTTACAGTCACTGGAGACCCCAGCTCCAACCCCCTTGTGCCGACCCTGGCTCCCAAGCCTGGCAAGTCTCTTCGGGAGGCCCTTTGTAGCAAGTCTACATACCTTCTAGTAGGGGGGTTGGGTGGACTTGGCCGCAGCATCTGCGAATTACTCATCGCCAACGGGGCAGAGAATATCGCCTTTTTGTCACGTTCCGGCACCTCGTCTGAGGCCTCTCGCGTTTTCATTAAGGACCTCGACGACAAAGGTATCTACGCACAAGTCTACGAGGTCGACATTTGTGATGCAGAAGCTCTAGAGAGGGTGATAGAGCACGGCGTCTTGGAGGACATGCCACCCATCAAAGGTGTCTTCCAATGTGCTGCCGTCATCAAAGATGCCGTCTTCGAGAACATGACTTACTCGGATTGGAATGCCGCATTCAGACCCAAGGCGATTGGTTCTGACAATCTTGTTCGAATCATCTCAGCTCATACCGACGACGATCCCTTTTTTATATTCCTATCTAGTTCGGCGGGAGTCATCGGCAACCGAGGCCAGGCAAACTATGCCGCTGGAAATTGTTTCCAAGATGCTCTCGCTCACAGATACCGATCTGAAGGCAAACATGCAGTTTCTATCGACCTCGGGCCGGTCCTCGGCGCAGGAATGCTCGCAGAGGATGACGCGATGCTCGACAGGCTCCGAGCGAGTGGCTTCTACGGAATCCGACACCAAGACTTTCTCACGGTGATCACACAAGCAATCACCATGGAAGTTGAGATGCCTCCTCAGGTCATTATGGGCTTAGGAACCGGTGGTCTCATCCGACAGAACCAGCCAGCTGACCCATACTGGGCCCGGACTTCCCTCTACAGTCATCTCAACCAGGTTGACATGCCACTTCCTGACCTGACGGCGGTAGATGACTCTGAGAAGGCAGACATGAGATCCTCGCTCTCTCGCTGCGCCAATGCGGAAGAAGCTGCTCGTATCATCACCACAGGCCTCTCTCAGATGCTGGCCAAGGCCATGAACATGCTTCCAGAAGAGATCGACGACGGAAAGCCACCCAACGTGTACGGAGTCGACTCGCTCGTTGCTGTTGGGGTCCGCAACTGGATTGTGACCAACTGCGGAGTCGAAGTGTCGGTATTTGAAGTCCTAAGCGACAAGGCAATTGCCGGTCTGGGTGCAGAAGTTGCTATGAGGGGTCGTTTTGGGTTGGGCGAGAACTGAGTGCATGCACATTTTTATATAATGTATAATTAAGCAACTCACAGTCGCGAGTAAGGCAACTGTTTAATACACATCAACCAAACCAAGGACAGAAACGAGGTGACACGATATTACTGATACCAGGCTTCCTAGGATTACTATATACTCATTATCGCTCGATCTACAACCTCAATCAGTCATGTGCGCCGTTGATGGCCTCGGGCTGCCAAACAGCCTCAACAACACCCATACGACATCCATCCGCCCTTGTAACACCCTAGAAACAAACAACGTCAGCATACATACACAGGCAAAAGACAGCATCGAGGATGAAGTGGTAGACAGACCTTGAACACAAAGCGCTCATCAGCAGCCTTGAAGAGGTCCTCAAACTCCTTCTCGGTCCGTTCCTGGGCGTTGAGAAGCACCATCATGACCATGTCCATGCTGCGCATCACCTTTTCGTCCCACGGGTTCTCGGACCCGGGAATCCGGAGGCAGTGATCATTAATAACAATGCGGGCGCCGGGCTTGAGGGCCGGGATGAGGTTCTTGAGGATCTTGATGGCGTAGGGGGTCGAGTAGTTGTGGATGATCCAGCGGAGGAAGTAGACTAGAGATTTCATGTTAGCAAACACTGCTTTAATGATTGACTGCTGGTGAGTTTCATACCATCGGCGCCCTTTACAGGCTGTTCTGTGAAAAAGTCATGAGCCTGCAAGGTTATACGCTCGGCAACATTTTGATCTTCGCAAATCGGCTTGGGAGCACTCTCGATCGTCTTTTGCAAATCCTGCACCACAAACTTCATCTTCTTCCACTTCTTGCCCAAGTCGACGCACACGAATCCATGACTACCTCCAACATCAACCAGCGTGCCCTCGTTTGCGTCGACATCGGACAAGTCGTAGTTGTCGACAAAGTACGAAACTTCATATCCCTTGCCGCCAGTCAAACTGGCCATGGCTTGACCCATACGCTTAGCACGTACAGGATTCTTGCCAAAGGTTGCAAACATGGGCTCCTTATCCACCGTGTCAAAGGCAACGTTAAAGCCAGTGCGCGTGAGCGAGGTAGCCTCTGGGTAATCTCGAATAGCCTGCAAGGAGTGGGCAGCTGCAGGAAAGATGTCCTCCGAGTTGAAGCCAACCCAAGATCTAAGGTTGGCGTCCTTTAGAAGCATCTTGGAGGCAGCAGTATGGGCAATGTATCCGGGGGTTGGCTCCTGGAAGATGGCGTTTGTCATGGCATGGCGAAGGTTGCGGGCCAAGTTGATGGGATCAAGTGTAGTCTTTGTTTCCAGCTCAGCCAATGAGATGGGCCTATCCAAAGGAACAAGGCTAGCTACAATACATTAGAACATGTATAGATTGATCGAATAAAGTTAAAAAAAAAAATGACTTACGAATGTCGTAGCTGTTGAGAATCTGCAAGCTTACAGTATCCAGAAACTTTTTTGCAAACGGGGTGTCAGCCCTCTCAGCCAAAACTCAAAAAACAAGCTTACTTACACTCCAAACACCCCATCTAACAGATTCCCTAGGTCCTCTAACAAGGAGACCTAGTTCATTTGTAGCATATACAATTTCCTGGCGGCTCTTTTGGATATCGTCCGGGATGGCGGGAAAGTCTCCAGGAGCATCAACGTCAAAGCCAGGGTCAGGGAGTCCATTCTCCTTGAGGTACTTGTCAAGCTTCTCAGTCTCTTCGGTGATCTTCCTGGCCAGCTGGATCATATGAGACGTTTCCGTAGTCCGACCCACTGGTACCGCAGGCTCGGATCCCGACTGAAGTGAATCGTTGGTCATTTTTGGAGCGTCTCAGCGGGTGAATTGATCTCGGATGAGTTGCTTCTCTCTCTCAACTGTGAGGGTGACCTTTCTGTTTCGGATCAGGGTCAGCAGTTACAATAACAACAAGACAAGGTACAATTCAGCGATGCAGAAACAAAAGAAGGTCGGCTTGCGATCTGCCCAAGAACCAAGGTGGGCGAACCCGCCCACTCGGGCCTGGGAGCCAATGGTTTGCCCTGGCGAGCTAGTCGACCGACCGACCGAGTTGATAAAATGGGACATTATCGCGCGCCGCCGCGCCTGAAGCGACTATGGTCCCGAGTCGTGCTGGTCCTGGTCCAGTCCAGTCCAGGCCCAGACCGTCTGGGCAAATCCCCGCCGCCGGACCACACTCCGACGCAGACCAGACTGATGGGACGGGGACAGTTCATGTAGTATGGCATCATTCATTAAGCTCAACCACTCAGTTGCCAGTTATTAAGATGCCACTCAGTGTTTCCGTTGCACGAAAACAGTGGTGCATCTGCTGTGACACCCCAGCAATTCCCCGATTGGGGCTTGACAGGAATAACCCATGCTTGTGTCTGTCTCACTTGGGACCAGTTGCCCCAGACGCAAGCCATGAGAGGATAAAAAAAAGAGTAGTGATACATACTTTGATGTATGGCCGCAACTCGAGACGGGCACAAGATGTCAAAGAAACTGTTAAAAATGCTTTGACCTCGAAAAGATAGCACGGTCGAGGATTGTATTGTTTATGGCGGTGAGCTTCTGAATGCAACCAAGCGAGGCACACGTGCAACAAGATCTCGAGAGAACTATCACACCATGCTTCAAGTCGCCTGAAAGTTGCGAGACTGCTGAGTAGAAAGAGAAATGGGGTCATAGATGGGATGTTCTGGAGCAAGCCCATGTCCATATCTAATCCGACATCTGCCCCTTGCCTTGCCTTGCCTTGCCTTGCCATGTCTTGCTTTGCTGGTATATGCCCCGGCAATCTCGGACAATCGTGGCCAAGGATGGCTTCCTCTGCGAACTCCTCGTGCTGGGTCTGATCCCCCGATAGTTTCCGCTTCCATTCCATTCCTTTCCCCATAGCCACCCCCGCGGCGCCATCGTTTGCCCGGCTCGGCAAGCTGCGCTCCAAACTCTGGTTGCTTGGCGCCTGAGTTATCCTCAGTAAACGCCATCACCTGCCTAATTCTACCGTGTTTTACTGTACCTTTTTCCACACTCCTTTTATAGTGGCTTCTGCCCGTATACCATGTGCATCGGCATGTACAGCAATGCCGAGTTGTCGTTGTATGCCCTTCGAACATCCATCAGAAGCACTTCCACACTCTGGCGATCCCATCCCAGACCTCGTGTCAGTGGACCCAGTGCAATTGCCTGCAGCCCATCTGTTAAAATAGTGCGCCAGTATAGTCCAACCGTCTTAAGGACCTTGTTCTTAGGCCAGGTTCCCAGAGGGACGTGAAAGACACGCTCAGTGACGTTGACGAAGCCTGCCTCTCGCATCTTTGCCGCCAAGACACCTCCCGCAGCAGCATGGAAGTTGACTCCCAGCGAAACAAGTCCTTGGGTAATGAGTGACCAATACTGGGCGACAGGGTGCGCATCCGGAGGAACCATGCCCCCATGCTTTGCGCTGTGTGGATAATGATGGATTTCTTGAAGTTCAATCCAGCCCCCTGGTTTAAGATGCCTTGCTTGGTGTCAGCACTATACTATACAAATCATGCAGATGGGAACCCTACTCGAGAGCACGTTGAAAGAGCCTCGGCCAATCTTTGACCGCCATTACGGTATGCCGAGAGTGAATGTAGTCAAAGTGGTTTCGGGGGTGTAGCCAAGGAGACTCGACATCGTCCACCATAAAGCGAACATTAGGTGGCAGCCAGTCTGGCTGTATAGGTGAAAGGTCAATTCCCAGAACGTTTGCGCTCGAGTATTGGTCGCCCACTATTCCAGTGTTAGTTCAGCATCATTCAGACAGGCATCGCTCTTCTCTGGGCTTACTCTCAATCGCCCAGATACCAGTACCGGTCCCAATATCAAGGATTTCCTGAGGATGGTCCCCAATAGGTGCAAAGTGGAGGTTCTGGCTGCAAAGCAGCTTCACCATAGCATGCTTCATGTCCTCCCGTTCCTGTTCCACATCATCGTTGGGGAAGTTATAGGTTCCCTCGCGGAAGCTGTGATAGCGACGTCCGTTCTCGTACATGTAGTCTCGAACAGATGAGCCAATCGAGGTACTGGCAGAAGTGACACTGTCACTCTCATATCCTGCATCAGACGCGCTGTCGCCCACGGTGCTAACTTCGGCGCTGTCGGCAATGATGTTTTCTTCGGCTTCGGCCAATGCTTCTCTCGACATAACATCTTGCTCCACAGTTGACAAGTCGGGGAACATGGAAATTCCGTTGGGATGGGTAAGGGGCGACATGATTTGAGAAGATGGTCGCTGTTTCTTGGGTGGCGGACTCGAGCTGTCGGTTTTGGGGGATTGAGCTGGTCCCTGTGCAGCACCCTTCTCTTGGGCCATTGTGTTGCGAGTCTCTCCCGACGGTGTTGGCGTTGAGGGGTCGGTAGAGGTAAGGCCTAGGCCTGATGGATCCGCGGATGGTTTGCTTGTCTGGGATTGAATGGGGCGGGTGCCTTCCTCAGCTACTCCAGCTTTCGACACGGGTTGAACATAGTCTCCTCCTTGCGCATGACCTTGACCGTCGAGCGCTCCAGATTCTATTCGGTTGACTGGCGCGGAACTCGAGCTGCCATCTGCGCGAAAGTCGTCGGGCTGTGTGGTTTCTCCGGTCGAGAGCGGAAGTGTCCGTCTCGTCTCCCCCTTTTGTTCCTGAGTCATGTTGTACTAAAGAAAGTATGCGCCGGCGGGAAGACGGATTTAAGCTTGTAGACCTGTACCTGGAGTATAGGAGAAGAGTGGGCTGCCCAGGTAGTCAGGGCAGTGCCAGGAGGACAGCTAGAAATACAATGTCTTCTGATGCCTCCTCACACGCGTCTGTCTGTCTCGACTGTGCCGATGCCCATCGGGGGGTCGCAGTGGCGGAGGCGCGAGACGGCAGCCCGAGCGGAAGACGATGCAGCTCACACGTAGACAAGTTAGGCTGTCCAAGTTGCTTCGATTCAGCTTCCCGGATTTTGGCTCTGATTCTGACTCTTGCTCAGGTAGCCTCTGGAAGGAAAGCAGGCGGGCAAGTGGGAATTATTGGCGGTGAACCTGACTTTGGCTGGATTCCTGGTCATGTAAGAAGCAAGTTTTCCAGCCTCTTATCAAATGAGACGGGCCGGGCTTGAGGCGCCTGGAATCTCCGTAGATTTTACAACCTGCACGAGGTAGGTGCGCTACACGCTACGCTACACTAGCCCGAGGGAAGGAGCGGGTGGGGCAGATCAGTCCAGGTCTTGGGGAAGGAGCCGTGGGAGCCCGGGTTTGTGGAACGGGCCGGATTGGACCTAGGGATGGGCTTGAGGCATCTCGCCAAGAAGTGGCAGAAGATGGCGAGTGAAACCCCTCGTAAATCGAGCCTCACGGATTGACGAGAAGCCTGTGGAATCCCCTTAGCGGCCAGGCATTTTACCTTTGTGTCTTGAGCCGTCTTGGCTGGCGTTGTGGTCGGGAGCCTCGGGGATTGGCTGGGTCACTTGCCATCCATTTATATTGGGTGAGTGACAAGTCCCTTTTACGAGCTGGTGCCCTAAATTGAAGTGGTGGGCTTGGGATTGATTCATATGTAAATCTTCATTTGCCCGAGGCGCAGTTGCCGACGGGAAATGCATGAGACAAATCACCTAATACTCCGTAAATTATGTGCCAAAGCTGCAAGTCCATCGTGGCAACCTGTTCTTGGTTCGAGATGCGGCTGCGTCCTGCAAATGTGCAATAAACACACAAACGTCAATTCTAACCACCAAGAATCACCATAACCCTTCCATCCTTGCAAACCCCTCGTCTTTGCCTATCTACCCACTCAAAATAGGCACATGCATGCATACAAAGATGATCTGATGGATCTACGGATACAATCAATCCATATCAATCAGTCCCAATGTCTACTTTGTTGCTTAGCGCATCCGTTCCCATTTTGGTGTGTGTAACGTGTGACAGAGTCAACGCCATTCTGTCACTGCTGTTACTTCCACCACTACCCTCTCTAACCTAAACATCAACACGCCTCAACATGGAAGGCAAGCCGTGAAGCTGACATGTCACGTCAGGACCCTCTCGCATTGGCATTGTTCCAACGACATTGGGATCGAGTCAATTGATCCCTCCACTTCCATGGTACTTTCCATGCAGGGCAGTAAATGCAAAGCCACCGCTCAACCCACAGTTGAGGTGGCTATACAGCCACACATAAGATACCCGGCTCGGGTTCTTACCAACTCGATCCTTCCTATGGCGGCCACTACGAGCATCGTGCTGGGGGTACATACCGGTACCTAGTGGAGAAGCCCCACTAGTAGACTAACCAATCAAAAATTCAAGACAGATTTTTGTCTTTTTTTTTAATATTACCACGGAGAGGGTGTCCATATGTAAAGATGTGGGGCGGCCAATGGACACACACACACACACCATGCGTATCCACTTTTGCTCAAGATATCCATTCCAACGTCACCATCAACCATAAACCAGGCACTTTCTTTGATGCGCTTCAGCCTCCGTGGCTGCCCTCCCCGAAATGTCTCGACCTGCAAGCTTCACCCACTGCGTCGGAAGCCCGGCCTTTAGCCCCGAGGACCTCATCCAGGATGTCGACCGCCAGAAGCAAGCCCTGGATCTGCTGGCCAAGGATGATCTCTACAACGCCAGCCGAGTGTTGCTGCAGCTCCCCGAACAGGATCTCTATACATACCATGCCATAACAAGCGTGAGGCTCGCTCAAGTGCAGCGCGTCGTCAGTCTCGGTGCTGTTAACAACTTACACACCTGGTACCGCAACGAAGATGGTTCGCCTGTAAGCAAACATGCCTCTCGACGCTATAAAGATGACAAGAGGCTGAAAGCTGCCGCAGAGAGATGCGCCTTCGCAGGCTGACATCGAGGCTTACATCTCCATCTTCAATCCGGCAACGGCCACGGCCGCGGTGCTCAAGAATCTGGGGACAAACGCCAAGAAGGGCTCGATCCGGGGAGAGGTGGCGGCCAACTTGGACGGGAAGAGATACCTGCACCCGGCGCTCACGGAGAAGCTCACGGTTCCCAAGTGCAAGAAGCCCCCGAGTGCGAACCCGTATTATGATTTTTGGGCGTGGTCATGCCGGTCACTCGAGTGGTGCGGCCCTTGTCCGGCGGCAGAGCGTGTGGCCACCAGTCATCACGTCCTCCCCATCTTTATGCACCACTTTGGCTGCGCGACGCCTTCGCATGAGAGCCTGTCCATACTCAAGACGTTGGCCGATGGGCGGCCCGTCGCCGACATTGGCTCAGGCAACGGCTACTGGGCATTCATGCTGCGCCGTTACGGCCTGACGGTGCATCCGGTGGACAACATGCAGAGCGAATGGCGAGTCAACTGGGTTGCCGACACGGTCATATCGGACGGCGTCAAGTGGTTGCGCAAGAATGCAGGCGGGAAGGACATGGTCCTCTTGCTCGTGTATCCCGTTGTTGGTGGCGGAGTTGGCGGAGGCACCGAGGGAGGGTTCACGAGGAACTTGGTGACGGCATTCCAGGGCGACACCATCGCCGTCGTGGGCACGCAGAATCACAACAGCTACACGGGATTCAAGGGTATGACCATGGACGAGTTCATGGAGAGGGAGCACAAGGAATGGGCCAAGGTGGTGCAGATTTCCCTGCCGAGCTTCGGAGGCAAGGATGAGGCTCTATATGTTTTCCAGCGAGGAGAACGAGTACCGCAACAAGAATAAATACATCCAGACTCTTCCAGGTTGCCATTCGTCGCCTCTTCAGCTGGTGCAACACTGCCACTCGCCCAGCCCACGTCAAATTCAACCTCGGAGGTCAAGATAGTTGACTAGGACTCACCCAATGATGCGTTGGGTTTGCAAAAGGTTGGTCTTGAGAGTCAGAGCTCAGCTCAGATGCTGATCAAAGGCGTCGTTGATATGATGTCACGGAAGCGTTCGGATGGAGCAACAGGTGAGACACTCGAGAACTTTGGTCAAGGGTTGATCAATGTTGACAATGATGCCTACTGGTCTGAGTTGACCTTGATCAAGGGCGCAACACAACGCAACAGTCACGCCACAGAGTGTTTTTCAATCCGACATGATACATCTCAACCCCGGGTTTTGGCCCCCAACATGACCATGACCATCTCTCACGTCTAAAATGCGTCTGAAATGCCGTCGTCAGGTCACATCGTAATATCCATCCAACCTCCTTCATCCATCAGCATCCGCATGCGTCAATACACCCCGCCAGCCCCGCCAGACAGCTTCTGGTCCCCTCCCCTCCTACCCTCCCCTGCCGTCAGCCTCTGATTCTGAGGTGAACAGCCCCAGCAAGCGGCCCGGTGAACTCTTTTAGCGCTCGGGGTCGCCCGCGAGACTGCACGCCATTGGTCTGCCCTGTGGGCATCTCCTGCAGACGCTGCATCGCCGCTCCAGGCTGCTTCCCTTGGCGCCTCGGCCTTGACCCTATGACGGGCAAAGACGCCTGGGATGCCCTGGGATTGGGATTGGCCTTGGCGCAAACTGCTCCAGAGATGGCCCTAAAAGCTCCTGCGGGTGAGGTTTCAGCCCGGACCGCCCGCCATTGACGTTGGCGTGTGACCCAACGAGCGAGAGGCAGGCTTTACTGCAACGGGAGCTCAATCGGGCGTCTGCTTCGCGAGTACGAGACGTTGGATTTTTCTCCTCTTTATATTACTCCATCTTCTTCTCTTCTTCCAACATTGCCATTGTCGCAGTTTCTCTGCTTCGCTTCTTGTTGTCAGAGAACGTGGGCATCGTATCGCGACCCCACGAACCATCCCCCGCTTTGCGCTCTGAGATCGCCGTCCAAGCTAGATCCTTGAGTGGTCGCTGAGCCTGTGCGCTGAGCGAAAAAAAGAGAAGACATCATGTCTCTCAACGTTGACGACCGCTCGAGAAAGGGCCGCTCTAGGTCTCGATCCCGTGATCGCCGCTCCAAGGATGAAGTTCCCTCCGAACGCCCCGGCTACGGCGACCGCGAATCGAGCTACATCTACCCCGAAGACGACCTTGATGATCGCTACAATCGCCCCGGCGACCCCAAGGCCAGCGGCGCCCTCCCTTACCCTGAGGAGGGCGGCCTCTACTCAATGGTTCCCGGCGAACAAGGCGACTACTCTCAGCAGCCGACATACCGAACAGCTTCCCCGCCCCACGACTCGCCGTACCGCGCTTCGCATGAGAGGGTAGACAACAATCCACCAGGAGCTTTCCCAGAGGACAATCGTCGCGAAAAGGAAAAGGAGCCCTATACACGCACTGTTGAGCCCCGCGACGAGAAGCATGACCGCCGCCAGGAGGAAGAGGAAGACAAGTTCAAGTTTCTCCCACAAAAGTACAGTCGCAAGATCGCCGCAAAGATCACTGGACAGTCCTCGGACAGCGATAAGGAAAAGGACAAGAAGGACAACCGCAGTCGCAAAGACAAGTATGATGATGACCTAGCTTATGGCAAGCCTTCGACACCTGCGCGCCCCAAGGGCCCGTCGGACGACTTGGCTTACGGCAAAGCCACGGGAATACCCTCAACTGCTAGCCAGGCTGTGTCCGGTTCTTACGGCGGCAACAATCAGACCACAACCCGTGGCGGTGTCTACACTGGTGCTGCTCCCACTCGCGACCAGTACTACCCTCAAGAGCAGCAGGGTAATGTCCCTCCAACTCAGGGTCAACACTATCCTCAACAACAGCCTGGTGGTGTCCCACCCCCCAAGGACCAATATTATCCCCAACAGCAACCAGGCGGTGTTCCTCCCTCCAAGGATCAGTACTATCCTCAGCAGCACAGCGGTGCTCCTCCTCCCAAGGATCAATACTACCCCCCGCAGCAGCCCACGTATGCGCACGGCGAGCACGAGTATGACCCCGACCGACGGCGTCCACATAGCCCGGCCGTAGACGAGTATGGGCCTCGAAGGTCAAGGGAGGACGCATACAGGACCGAGTACAGCACAAATGTCTTGACTGTTGAGCCCAAGGACCGTGATCGCGACAGGTCCCGCGACCGCCGCAAGGAGAAGGATGGTCGAAGCAGCTCGGACAGGCTCGGGGTTGACTCCAGCAGCCGAAAACGTGAAAAGTCCCGAGATCGATCTCGCAGAAGGGAGAAGTCGCCTCATCACCATAGACACAGATCGCGATCCAAGGACGGACACCGCAGTCGCAAGGACAAGTCTCCTGCGCCTCCGACTGAGAAGATGTCATCTCTCAGCGTAAACACTGCGCTGGCTGGTGGACTGGCTGCGGGTGGACTAGCAGCTGGCGCATCACTTGCCAATGCCCCGCCATCGCCCATGTTGGAGTCGTACTATGGCACCTACCAGGCCTGCTCTCCCATGCCCTCGCCTCTCATGCTACCTACTGCTGATGACAAGGCCCTTGTGCCACTATCTCCTCTCGATTCCGACAACGAGGGTGACAGCAGACGTCGCAACCGACGCGCTCGCTTCCATGATGCCGAGGACATAACGACCCAACTCGCGCAAGCTCTCAAGAGCAGCCACCGACCTGACACGGCGCCTCTCATCGAAATCCTGCCCAGTTTGACGCATGAGCAGGTCATGGAGTTGCGCGCCGAGTACAAGCGGCTCGTCAAGACGGGGCCGGAGCGCAAGGGCGTTAACCTCGCCAAGCACATCCGCGCTCGCCTCAAGGACGAAGACTCGCTGCTCATGAAGGCCTGTTATTCAGTCGCCCTGGGCAGGTGGGAGAGTGAGGCCTACTGGGCCAACTTCTGGTATCAGGGTGACAAGACGCGCCGTGAGCTCCTCATCGAGTCTCTCATGGGCCGTACCAACGGCGAGATCCGTCTCATCAAGGATGCCTTTACCGACAAGAAGTACGACAACAGCCTCATCAAGTGCATGAAGGAGGAACTCAAGGAGGACAAGTTTAAGAAGGCTGTCCTCATGGTCCTCGATGAACGCCGGATGGAGGAGTATGATCACTACGGACGCCTGCAGCCCATCGACTATGGCCTGGTTGATCAGGACGTTGCCGACCTGCGTCGTGCTATTAGATCCGAGAAGGGTGGCGAGACGGCCATGATCACCATCATTGTCCAGCGCAGTGACTCTCACCTGCGTGCCATCCTCCAGGAGTATGAGAGGCAGTTCCGCGCCAACTTTGCCCGCGATGCCCTCAAGAAGAGTGGAAACCTAGTGGTGAGTGTCTCAGAAAACCCCTATCTGACGTCAACGGCTAACATTGTCTCAGGGCGAACTCCTCGCACACATTCTCAACGGTGTCATCAACCGACCCGTCCGAGACGCTCTCCTGCTGCACCACGCCATCAGTGCGTCTCGCAAGGACGGTCTCCGTCGAGAACTGCTCATCTCTCGTCTTGTCCGATATCACTGGGACCCTGACCACATGCGTGCCGTCAAGCAGGCCTACCGCGAGCGTTACAACAGAGGCCTGGGAGATGCTGTGCGAGAGGCCACGAGTGGCGAATGGGGCATGTTTTGTGAGGAGTTGTGCATAGCGCGAACGCCCCCTGATGTGAGGAGGTTTGACAAGATCAGCTACAGTACGAGGTGAGCGTGATGCTTGTTGAGTTGGGTACATATCGAGTCAGGAGGTATATGTGGGATTGAACAGCATGTATTTTGGTCACGTCATGAAGTTGCATGTTGCAATAGCGCAGCCACAGCCTATTTTGTTTTGTCATTGTCATGAAGCGTCTGGATAGGTACCATCAGTTCCATAGATATCTCTAATCCATCTCCTTTCTGGCTACCTCTTGACATATTAATATCCATGACTACGATCTCTTGGAGCCTTTGCCTCCTCGACCTCCCTTACCTTGCCCCTTTCCTCCACCACCACCCTTCTTCCCGCCGCCGCTGCCTCCACTGCTGCCGCCAGACATCATGACTCTCACTTTACCAACTGGCACGACGTTGAACGTCTCCTCGGGCTTGAGTGCCTTAATCAGCTCCACCTCGCGCGGCCACATGCGCTCCGAGTCACGGCTGGTCTCATCTACAGCCCCCTTCTTGCTCGAGCCGGCCTTCCACCTATCGAGAACCTCCTTGACAGCCTTGCCCTTCTTGGTTGTACCAGGCTGAAGCTTGGCCTTGTACTTGACACGTCCAAGGGCGTTCCAGGGCGCGCAAACAGGGATAGCTTCAAGGATCTCGTCGCCGGGCAGTGGCGTGCCGACGAGAGCATCTAGTTCTGTCATGTGGCTGGCTTCGTCAACGTCGAGCATGTCAATGCCCTCGTCCATCATGACACGTCGAATTTCCTCGTGCTCGGCAGTCTCCTTCTGCTGCCGTTGATGTTGTGCCCGCCGTCGCTCCTTGGCGGCTGCGAGTTCTGCCTCACGGTCCGCTTTGGCCTTTGCCTCGGCTTCGGCCTTCTTTTGGCCGACTGTTGCACCGATCAGGGCCTCGGCGGCTGCACGGTCGTCTTCGTCTTGGTCCCTGTACTTTGCGGCAATCTTCTTGGCCTTGCCTTTCTGACCTCGCTTGGCGGGAGCTTTCTTCGTTGAGGCTGGGCCTGGGGTGCCGGTTCTCGATGTCGCGGTAGATGCCTCGGGAGACTCGGAGAGCTCTGCGATAGACTCGGTGGGCTCTGGCTCCTCGGCTTCAACCTCTTGAAGCTCAGTGGTTTCCTGCGTAGGTGTTTCTTCAGGAGTTGGCTCGTCTGAAACCTTGAGTTCAGAAACGCCTTCCTCAACCTCATCGATGTCGTCTTCGTCATCTTGGCCTTGTCCACGAGCGAATGCCTGAAGAGGATTGTCGCGAGGCTTCTCATCAGGCTGATCATCTTCAGATTCGTCGTCTGATACATGGTCGGAGTGTGCTGCTTCACTCTGCTCAGCCTCAGCGCTTCCTTGTCCAACCTCAACTTGAGGAGTTGTAATCCCTGAAACTGAATCGCCAATTGCAGAGTCAACATCGTATAGACGGTGCTTTACGTGCTTCGCCTTGCTTTCTTCGCTGATCCTGAAAACGAGTCCCAAGCCAAGGAGAAGCTGAGCCGGGGGGAGAAAGTTCTTCTTTCCGCGAACCATGAAGCTTCCAGTTGGCAGAAACTCTCCAGTTGGCGCTGACTTTGACACCTGGTCCGCATTAACCCACCAAGCAGACATGCCGGCTTTCGAATCCCAAGCGTCCGAGGAGCACACAGCAATCGAGCCTGCCTGGGACAGCGTCGCGGGAGGGATGGGTGCATCCGGTGTCTTGGGGTTATTCTTGATGATGACGCTCGATGCTCCATGGAGGTCGGCATGGCAGTAGATGTCACCCTTTCGCAGATATCTCTTGTAAATCATCTCGTTCTGCTGTGCATCCTTGCCGCCGATGACGAGGTAGCCATCAGATGAGATGAACCAGATGAACTTTTCGAACCAAAGCTGCTTGCGGATCGGCTGAAGCAGCGCCTTCTCTTGCTTCAGTCCCTTCTTAAGGTCTTGGGTGATCTTTTGTTCTGCATTCTTGAGGGCTCTAGAGGCCTGTTGTTCCGTCTTTTCTTTCTTGACAGCTGCCGACTTTCGCTGATCGAAATACTCTCTGGCATTGCTCCAGGGGCTGAGGCCAAGGTTGATCTCTACGCTCAGCGCCTTGCTGGCATGCTTTCCTTTTGTTGGTGTCGAATCCTCTTCATCGGCGCTCTCATCATCGTCTGTTTCGTAGGGGTCGTCCTCTTCCGGCTCAAACTCTTCTTCTGCTAGTTCAAGCGTGATCAAGTTCTCAGCAAGGTTCAGAGGCAGCTTGATGATTTCCGCCACCGGATTGTGTCGCTTCTTCTCACGCTCGACCAGCTTCCCAACGTCCACCCAGTCCATGCCTTGGCTAAGCAGTCCATTAACCGCATCCATGGCTTCCTGAACACGCTCGACGTTGGCCTCGATGGCGGCAGCTTTGCGAAAGTTGAGGTTTTGCGCCTCTTGTAGACCCTCGATCCGCTTCGCTTGCTCCTGTTTTGCGGCATCCAGTTTCCGTTTCGCCGCCGCCTCTCGCTCGGTGAGTCGCGATTCAAGTTTTTGTCCCTCGAGGGAAGAAAAGAACTCATCAACCGTCTCGTTGTATCCCTTGAACTCGAGAACTTCGATGGTAGGGTCCTTGCTGAGCTTCTGGGGAACAAATGGGTGGAAGTCTTCATAGAGAAGGTTTTCCCGCTTCGGTTTATCGTCATCCTCGGCGCCCTCGAGCTTCTCTCTGCGCTTTGCGAATATGTAGCCGGTACATTCTCCTGAACTAGTAAGCTCGTCGACCGTTTTACGAGCCTCCGTCAGTGACTTGACCAGGTCATCCAGCAAAGTCTCGTTCGCCAGAATCTCATGTGGCTTGATGGAGGTGTCGAATTTGTTTGTGTGCAACGAGTGATCCACAAGCACTGGTGGTATCTCGGTAATAGACACAGCAAGACTCTTTCGCAGATCACCGCCAGGTTTTCCTTTCAACTTTTTGGAAGAGGCGGCCGCTGCTGCTGCCTTGTTTACTGCAGCCTGAAGAGCATCACGAACCCTGTCCTTTGTCAAGGGAGGTACCCCCGCAAAGTTCTGCCTGTTCTCGAGGGAATATTGTAGTCCGACTCGCTGTGGCTCTTGGCCTTCGCCCTCCGAGACGGTTCTTGCGAGGGTCAAGATCTTAAGGTCGGCATCGGTAAGGATGATATTGCCGCTCTAGGCAAGCGTTAGCTACTACTCTTCACCAAGGCCGAACGACAAAGGCACGTACGGCAAAGAACTCTAGAAACAGTCTGTATTGTCCATCACTAAACTCAAACTCGAGGACTCGATCGGTTCCCACTTGGCTAACAGACGTCAACCGCCGGGTCTTGAGGAACTTTCGAAGCCTTGCGACAAAGGCTGAGGGAGCGGCAGCGGTTGTGCGGGCAAACTCGGTCAGGTGACAGCGGAAGCCGGTGTCGATGACCAGCTGCTTCTTGTTATCCGGCTTCGCGAACTTGAGGAGGAGGATCTTGGACGAGAGATCGTAGACGTTGGAGAGTCGCAGAGTCACCAGGCGCTGCTGGAGCTCGTGTGCAATGACCTATGGGCAACGGTCAGGCGCATGATCCCAAGCGGCAGGTTCAACATAGCACTCACTTTGACGTCCAAAGAAGAGAACCTCTGCTTCATCTTGAAATATACTCCTCAAGGCAGGGATTATACGCCACACAGAGGCTCGAAAATCTCAACCTCTTGCTCGCCGCACCCGTTCATCGTGGGGTAGTTGGAGGGGCATGCTGACATCATCTCTCACGTGACCGGACACAAGATCGTGATACTGCACCACTGAGCCCCCCAGCCTCATGAACTTGCGGCGAGACGAAGGAACCAATAGCCAGAATGGCACAAGGTGCTCCGCAGGTACCGAGTCCATGAGAACTTCGCCGGGCCACCAAGACATAGGCAGTTTAGAGTAGAATCAACAAACAGAAATAATTATTCCCTACAGTCTTCATATGGGCTTAGCTTTATCATCGTAAGCCTCATGCTATGGTTTTGCGGATGAAGGAGGTCGAGTCTCACTCGGTCAGGTAGGTAGGATTGCCATTTGGAAGTTTCAAAGGCATTTGCGAGATCAATGCCAGCTAACGAAACGGACGCAGAGCTCCAAGGAGGTTGCATACATCGGGATGGGTCGGATCTGACCTGCCAGACATTATCTCTTGCTTTCATGTACTCCGTACCCTGCAATGGCACTGATATTCAAGAAGCTTGTGAGAGGCCAAGACGGACTTGAAGCATGCGGCGTGAAGTCTGGATGCCACCATGCTGAACTCAATGCACCATTGGCATGATCAGAAGCCAACGGGCTTGCATCAACAACCACTGGAGTGGTTCGGAGCATGCGCATCAGCAGCTTGAATGATGTGATGACGAACGACATGCACATCCAAACCCCATCGGCACTCGTGTTTGCAGAACTGCTACCCCAGGTTTGTCTTAGACACGGGCTACGGCGCGCAAATCGACAAACTGGCAATCTCGCTGGCCCCTTCCCTTCTGACATGAGATTGTTGCAGATGCATCGATGCCAATGCCGTTAGGCCGAGGCTCGTAGAGCAAATTACCAATTCCTCCCCCAGAATAGCAACCAACGACAAGGTGCAACATATTCCGGGATTCAAACAACCGCGAAACGCGTCCCGCACAGTACGAGCCAGAGCCGGGGCCCAGGTGCAACCGCGGTAGAGACGCGGCCCCAGAGACTAGTGACAAGGCTTGGGCCGGTGGTCTGAGGCTATCTCGCCAGCCCTGGAAATGGTCCTCACTGGTGGCTCTAGAAGGCCAGCTGGAAACCCACACCAATCTAAAGTACGAGAGCAAGGAGACTTATGTCAGCGGAGTAGCATTGGACCTGAGGAGTTGTCACAGCAACCTTGAGCCCAGGCCCCTGAGAACGACCTTGGCGTATTAGCGCTCCGTAGCCCCCTGGATTTGTTGTTGATGAGGATTGTCTGAGCTGGGATGAGGCACAGTGTGCGACGAGGTCAAGAACAACATCTCGGGCGAAACATGTGATCCATTGGGTCCCGTATCAGAGCCAGCGGTCAGGAAGAAACCTTGCTGCAGCTGAGGGTGATCATGACGGCCCCGATTTCGACAGGCGTCAACCACAATTCATAAATATGGAGGCTGGGGATCGCTGGCAACATCCCAAGATTGGCAGAGTTTGGCGTTTGCATGTTGCGGAGACGCCGAGGCCCCCCAATCCCATCCATCCTCGTGCTGAAGCGGCGCCCGTCGTGTCGCAGAACGAAGCCAAGGCGAGGCAAAGTACCGTACTGTAACCCACCCTGCACAGCAGGCGATTCGCCGTGGAGGCTCGTCCTCAGGTGCGACCATGGCTGACACCGCGTACACTAAATAATGCACTTGCATAAAGGCGAGGGAGGATCCAATCGCGGGCTTCCACGATATCACCCGCACCCGTTCATTACGAGTTCCTGGATGCCTGATCATCCGTCATTGCTGCAGCTGTACGAAGCTTGATGTGTCGAGCTTGGAGCAGATGTTGAATTTGAGGAGGTTGGGGATTTCATGTGGCAGCCAATGAGCCGAGGACACCACTTCAAGACGTGCCCGGGAGCGTCCCGCCACGCGGTCTCGTCAAGTTGTGACCATCCATCCATTCAACCGTCCAAACGTTGTCGAAGTGAGTGATTCCGTCCATCAATGGTGACGGCTCTTGGCAGCGGCACTCGCCCAGCCATTCACTTTCTCTTCTCAGCTGTACCAAGGTGCATGGCTAAGCTGAACAACCCAATTTGACCAACTTGACACGAGCCAAAGGCCCCCCCCCCTGGCCGGCCTCAACCACCAGCAAACGGAGCTCGCAACAAACAGTAACAAATAGCAAATAGTTGGTCGGGGACACTGTACCATTGCGGGCTGGAGCGGCTCGACGGCTCCACACCCTGATATGATGGGTTGGTGGTGGCGCCGGACGAGAGTTGTCACTGGCCAAGGTTCAGACCAGGTCAAATTTTGCTTTGCTCCATGACGCGGGCTCTTTCATCAGGTCGCCAGGAACACACCAACGAAACGGGGCCGAGCTAAGATGAAGGTCGAGCCAGGGGGAAGGAGATGAAAGATCGCCGGCTCCATGTTTATGCTGTCCATCTCCATCCGTAGTTCATCTCGTTCCAAGAAGACAGCCAGCCAGCCACGAGAAAAGAGACGGTGACGGGGGAACGATATCTCATCTCATATGGGGTTCCTCTTGCCACTGGACAATAACTCTCATTTAGAGGTGCCACTCGAGCCCTGTCTAGGAGCATGGGGCCTCGTCTCATCTGGCCGAGGGAGGCGGGAGCTCAGAGCTGTGGGCGACAGCTGGTTGGAGCTGGGGGAAGCTGGCTGACGCGGAAAGCTGGCTGGCTGGCTGACTGGCGACTGGCTGGAGCTAGGGGGGAGGAGCTAACTCACATTAGACATGAGCTCTCCGAGCTCTGCTGGCCACTGTCTCTGGCTGAGACGCAGGAGGAAGGGTTAAAGTGGCCCCAGACGCCTCGGTGGACCTGGCTAACGGATGGTGTGGTGGGGCCGCCGGCAGCACGGGGTCCGGGAGGAGGATCTATACTTGTTCCGGATATAAGTAAACAACAGACTCAACAGACATCCCTGACATGTAAACACAACGACTGGCAGAGAGACATCCTACGGCAACCAAGTTGGACAATCGACACGCCCCCTAGGGTGTCTCTTCTGGAAGAGGGAGAGCTCTGGTTGTGAGACGGCTTGGACGGAGCAACAGGACGGATCAACAGGACGCAGCCGAGGGAGCAACACACTCAGGCAGAGTTGTCCAATCCCGCCCCCGTCTTCAAAAGCCCAGTTTCGTTCCGTCAGGTCCCTCTTCTCATCCCTCTCTCCAATTATCGCCATCCACCTCACCGTCGAAGAAACAGAAGACTCTGACGAAAAGAACGACTGAAGGCCTTTGCTCGCCATCTACCGATTCTTTTCAAATCTCCGACTTTTGTTTCTAGGAACAAGAGCCAGAGGATTCTTCTTGTCTTCCTTTCGAACTTCGGAAGGTTGTATGAGAAGGTTCTCTCGCGCCAGCAAAAGTCGCAAACCTGGACTTTGAGGCTCGCGTCCCCGTTCCCTTCAGCATCTTCCCATCGACATATCGGGAAAGCGAATCCCACACCCAGACCGTCACCGAAACCCACGAAGAGGTTGAGATCAAACCCCAACAGCCACAAGCCGGACGGGAAGGTCAATACTCTTCTGTCTCCGTCACCGCCGAACAGGTTCCTCCCCGCGAAGAACGGTACAGCGAAGAAGAGGTCCGTATTACGCGTGAAGAAGAACGTTACCGCCGTCCCGGTCCCGGTGTCCAGAAATTCGAGCAAGAGCAGTTTACTATCCGCGAAGAGCACCGACGGTACGTTTTGATTTTCAGTTCAGTTGCAATTATTCAGTCTCGTTTCCCCGTTTCCTCTCGGTTCAGGAGGAGACAAGTTCCTCCGTGGTTCGAGAGAGAGGAAGAGAAGCCTCGGCTTCTAGCCTTGCCCTGCTCGCACTCTCTCTCAAACATCCCCTTTTGCTCCGATCCATGGTCGTCAATGGGGACGTGCCAGAACATACCCAACAAGACAACAATAACAAAAACAACAACAACAAATCCACACAGGCGATTCTTGACCTCCTCAGGAGGGATCCATTGCCGCCGCCCCTGACCTCACTCACTCACTCGTCTCCTTTCACCTCAATTCCCCTTACTCTCGCTTGGGCTTGGCCGACTGGCTATTACCCACTCTGCAAGCGCGCGTCAGCCCCCCCCTTCTCTCTCCCTTGTCTCGTCCCCAGCCATCTCATCCATCCTCATCTCATCACAACACACACCCCTCCCCCTTGTCCAATGCCACCTTGGCCCACCTCAGCTGGGATGGCTGGCCCGCCTCCCCAAATTACTTTTTTCCTACCTCCCCTGTCATCAAGCCCTTGGCGCCCTAGCCCGCTGGCCTGAGCCTGGCCTGAGCAGGGCGGTGGAGCTCCTCAGGGGCCGCCCGCCTCCCGTTGCCATATGAGACGCAAGCGAGATGCAATAGACATCCATCAGCTAACGCAGACAAATCCAGACCTGAACCTCCTTCCGAATACACTACTTCTCACGTTCACGTAGAGACTGACACCCACCGTCATCCCTACTACTCCACCCCCGTTGACCTTGCTGAGCGAGAATACCGCCAGCGCTACCGCCCCAGCACCGCCTTTTCCACTGTAGACCCTCCTTCTCGTCCTCAGTACCAAGCACAAGACACCTTCCAGGTCTCCAACTACACCGTCGAAGGCCGTCCCGCTCCCCAATACCACTCCTCCGAGAAGACTGAGATCAACAACTTTACTGTTGAAGGACGCTCCTCTCACCCTCAATACCACGAGAAGACCACCGAGATCAACAACTTCACCGTTGACGCTCGATCTTCCCGACCTCAATACCACTCCTCTGAGAAGACTGAAGTCAACAACTTTACTGTTGACGCCGGATCCTCTCGCCCCCACTACAACACCGCCGAGAAGACTGAAATCAACAACTTCACCGTTGACGGACGATCTTCCCGACCCCAGTACAATTGTACCGAGAAGACCGAGATCAACAACTTCACTGTTGATACCCCTTCTTCCCGCCCCCAGTACAACACCGCCAAGTCTACCCACGTCAACGAGTTCACCGTTGACACCCCTGTCTCTCGTCCCTCATACAAGAAGGACGTGAAGTTCGCCGAAGAAACCGTTGAGACTTCCAAGGTTACCAAAGACAACAAATCCAAGATGGGTTACTACGACGAGGACGGTATGTGGAGATGAAATTCCTTCCCACCCTCATCCCTCTGTCACAGAGGGCCATTGAGCTTCTACCTTCCGCTCAAGACAGTCAGAGCTAACTTGCCCAGCAGGTCACTACCACTCTTTCCGCTCCGGCCTTCACAAGCTGGGCGACCGCATCGCCCACCCCGGACGCCGTGAGGTCGAGTGCGAGGCCCCCCGCCCCCGTCCCGGTGACTCTGCCGAGGCTTACCTCCCCAACACCGTGACCATCCCCTGCCACCACGTCCGCCTGGGCGACTTCCTCGTCCTCCAGGGCCGCCCCTGCCAGGTCATCCGCATCTCCACCTCCTCTGCCACCGGCCAGTACCGCTACCTTGGTGTCGACCTCTTCACCAAGCAGCTCCACGAGGAGTCCTCTTTCGTCTCCAACCCCGCCCCCAGCGTTGTCGTCCAGACCATGCTCGGCCCTGTCTTCAAGCAGTACCGTGTCCTCGACATGCAGGAGGGCCAGATCGTCGCCATGACCGAGACCGGCGACGTCAAGCAGGGTCTCCCCGTCATTGACCAGTCCAACCTCTACGCCCGTCTCAGCCAGGCTTTCGAGTCCGGCCGCGGCTCCGTCCGTGTCCTCGTCCTCAACGACGGTGGCCGCGAGCTCGCTGTCGACATGAAGGTCATCCACGGCTCCCGCCTGTAAGCAGCGTGTCGATTTTCTCTGAGAGAGGGCACCGCTTGTAATGCGACTTTTCCTTCTTCCCGCAACCTCAATCCGAGGTCGGGGGCAGCGCTTCTGGCTCTTCCCTCAGCGATGGGGGTAGAGGGCCAGGGCTGGTCTCGGTCTCGCCTGTAACATGTCAAGATAGCTGGGGGATCTGTTGTATGAAGTGGTTCAACTTTGTTTGTGTCGAGATTGGATAAAGCAACCGGAAATATGGAGTCTTTTGCGTAGAAGGGAAAGTTCCTGTACATGGACTGTAGTAATTGACAAGTGATTCCATATCTCATAAACCTTTTGTCTCTTTGTCTGCCTTTGTGATGATTGACGCGTCTGTCCATGCTTATCGCCCGCTGTGAAGCTTACCCGCGAAAGGTCCATCAAGGTCCTGGTCACGCGTCACACTAACCTTAAATGGAAGTCAGCTTGTGTCAGCCGACTCGCGCGGGGACTTCCAAAGTACACCTCCCCTACTTATCTCCTCCATTACAGCACTATCTAAGACTACAATAATTTTATGAGAGTAGGTCAATCTTTTTATCTCAATTTTGGTGAGTATAAGAAAAGACTCATCATAGTTGGTCTAGATCCCTCCTTAGTACTCAATAGTAGTCCCCGTGCAAGCAAGAGGATACCGTGTTGAAGCTCCGTGTTGAGGCTACCCTATGCCTCTGACTTGAGCTTGATGCAAGTCGCCTCTGCTCGCTCATATCATGAAAATGCACCTATTTACTGATTACGATAAATCCATTAAGCAATCCCATGCCGTCGTCATAGAATTCCATCTTTTATCTTGGTGCCGGCCGTCCCGTGCTTCCGATTCCATCAATCTTGCATACAGTTTCAAAAGTGCTTCCCCGCCCAAGCGTAACCAACCACCTTAACCTAAGTCGGCAACCCTGTTGTCCTCATGTCGCCTTATACGGGAAGATGGTGATTGATAAGGAATGCGCGTGACATTCATAGCCACCATTTACTTCCCCTCCCGTTCTCTCCCGCTCCCTACCTATACATTTGACTCAACTCGCTCGACAAGTTCGAGCTATCCCACAGGTTCATAAAGCTCTCGTTTGTCGCGATAGACTCGCCCATACCTAGTCACAACCACGTTTGTCTCATCGATAAGCTTACCCGAGACATCACCACATCGTCGCAATGGGCGCCCAGCAATCCAAGACCGAGCCTACGCTCCACGAAAAGGCGGTTCTCGAGCGCCTTCAAAACCTACGGGTTCAAGACCAAGATGACTACGTCGAAGTCACCAGTGACGCCGAGAAGGCCTTCGTTGGACCCCTCATTCGAGATGCCGAAGGTCTCCCGCTCCACGTCCTCGAGTCGTGGCAGGCCGCCATCATCAAGGACCCCAAGAATAAGTACGACACTACTGTCGAGTTCTGGTTGCCATGTACTCGAAGAAGCTAACTGTCTCACAAGGCTTGCCCTCACAGCCCTCAGCTCTGCGAACCCGCGCCAGGTTCTTACCTCGTTGCCGACCCAGATCGCAGACCAGCAGATCTACAACGTCAAGATCCCATTCGAAGGCGACCCCATCACAAACCAGCGCTCCAGCGGTCGATGCTGGCTCTTTGCGTCCACCAACGTATTCCGAGTTGCCCTCATGAAGCGCTTCGACCTCGAGAGCTTCGAGCTGTCACAGCAATACCTCTTTTACTGGGACAAGCTGGAGAAAGCCAACTGGTTCCTCGAGCAGATCATCGATACCGCTACGGAGGATCTCGAAGGCCGCGTCGTCCAGACCCTGCTTTCTGATCTGGTGTCCGACGGTGGCCAGTGGGACATGGTATACAACCTGGTTGAGAAGTATGGCCTCGTGCCCCAGACCCTCTACCCCGACAGCTGGAATGCTATGAGCTCTGGTATCTTGAACAGCCTCGTCAAGACCAAGCTTCGAGAGTTCGCACTCAGGCTTCGGGCCCTGGCTAATTCCAAGGATGGGGTCTCCGCCGCTGCCATCTCCTCAGCCAAAGACAAGATGCTGCGTGAGATCTCACTCATCATGACTCTCCTGCTGGGTCCACCCCCAAACCCCGAGGAGACCTTCACCTGGCAGTACAACGACAAGAATGGAAAGGCCCACCAGCTCAAGACCACCCCCAAGGAGTTTGCCAAGAACATCTATAGCCCAAGCTTCCCCGTCACATCCAGCACCGTCAGCGGCATGATCTCTCTTGTGCACGATCCCCGTCACGAGCCTCTATCCCACCTCACAGTCTCCCGGCTTGGCAACATTGTCGGTGGCCGCGGAATCAGCTATGTCAACGTCGACATTGACACTCTCAAGGGTGCATGCGTCAAGATGCTCAAGGCTGGTCTCCCCATCTTCTTTGGTAGCGACGTAGGCCAGTTCAGCGACTCCAGGTCTGGCATCATGGACCTCAACCTCTACAACTATGAACTGGGCTTCAACACCAGCCTCCTCGGTATGACCAAAGCACAGAGGCTGATGACGGGCGAGAGTCAGATGACCCATGCTATGGTGCTGACGGCAGTACATCTCGACGAGCAGACGGGTAAGCCGGTCCGCTGGCGAGTGCAGAACAGCTGGGGCACTACTGCCGGAGACAAGGGATGGTTTGTCATGAGTGATGCATGGCTGGATGAGTTTGTCTACCAGGCAGTCGTCGACCCGCGTGTCCTCAGCAAGGAGGTTCGGGATGTACTCAAGAAGGAGGCCATTGTCCTGCCGCTGTGGGATCCCATGGGCTCACTTGCCTAGAGAGGCTTCCATCCGTGGGTCAGCATCGAGGCGCAATATCGAGGGCATGGCAGTGATCGTCGAGAGCAGAGTGAAGGCCATGGCGCGCGGCAAGCGCCCTCGAGATCATGCGTAGGTCTGGGTTGCTGACCGTGCTGATGTGAACGCATAGATCGCGAGTCAGATAGAAGGGCAATGGGAAGCGGGCTGTTGGAGATACAGGACATATGATGCAGTATGAGCTGATTCAAGGATCAAGACAACGATAGGCTCCAAGGGCCTACGCCATGGAGGACCCTGCAGCCTCACCGCGACGAATAGTATGGTTAGCGACAATGAATGACTTTCTCTCTTCTTCATCCTCGGCTCCGGACTCGGTCGTACATCTCGTAGCGCACTGCCAGACTGCATTCAGGGCAAACTCATGCCCTGCAATGACCCGCCGTCGAAGTTGTCACGAAGCTTCTACGCGAGCAGTGCAACGGATGGCGTTGAGCCGTCGGTTCATCCATCTATTGGCAGAGCTACTGGCAGAGCGTAGCGTGTCTGTATGCCACGCCGCCTCAGCTCTCACCGAGCAACTGACATGACCGATCAGCGGGGTCGGGCCAGATAGATGCCCAAACTCCCAAGGGCGGATAATATCGTCCTCTAATTCCGCGCACTTGGGCACCTTGCTGCGGAGTTAAGCCCCGTCTGAGCTTATTCGTACAGCTTCGGTCATTCCAGCCTCGAAGAAGCCTTCTGGATGCACAGGTGACAGTAATCACATGAGCACCCTTCCAACTTCTGCGATCATCGCCTGTGCCCCCCAGGGCGAAGAATGTGCCAACTCATCATGCTCAACCGACAGGTTGCCCGCAGACGCCCAACAGCCTGCTTGGTGAATTCGCGAGCCGCGACTTGCGAGGGTGTTCCTTGCCCGGCGGACCGGGATAGTACTTCAAAGGCCGAGCTAGCTGTCCCTGCCCAACGCGAAGAAGAAATCAAGTTTCTAGGGCGATTCTGCTGTGGATCGGTTTGTAACTTCTCTCGGACCTTGAAGCGGACAGACCCTGGAGCTGTAAAGACAAATTCCAAACTGTGACCACACTCGAAGTCATCCGGCTGGGGGCCCCGTTGGCCAGATGGGCGGTTTGGCCTTCTCCTCTTGGCGGGTAGCGAGTGGTTGTAACTTGGTCTGTGATCAGACATTCGGCTTGAGGAGGGGTCACTGCTCCCTGGCGAGTTGACAGTGTGGTTGCTCGGGAGGGCTGCGTGAAGTCATGCTCGCAGGAAGGCCAATGCGTAGTTGCAAGATAGATAGCCTGCCTGCGTTGCTGAAGAAACCATCTCAATGCAAGAGTCTCCGCCCAACTTCGGACGTGAGGCTATCTAGACGCATACAAGCGAGCTGCCACTTGTCAGTGAGTGTACACGATCCGGAATATTCTGGCCGGAATAGGCCGTAGTAACCGACACGGGGCGGGACATAATAGTATTTGATCGCATAACTCGTCAAATCCTGGAAGACCTGGTTGGATGCTGCTGACTGGCAGTGCCGATCCGATGAAGTTGGTGATGATGCAGTCGACAGCGGGCCATGTGCAGCGCCGATCTGCGGTGACAGAGTCGGGGGCAAAGGTAACCTCCTGGACCTCCTGAATATCCCCAGACACGTCTTAGGACACGGACACGATTACAATTGGAATATCCAACATGGAGCGGCCATCTGCGGGTCTAGGATCGAGTTGGAGGGGCTGCCATGTCAGAACCCAGAACCCAGACAGATGTGTGTCTGTGTACCGACTTTGCATTGAGATTCGAGGGGGTGGAGGATGAGATTTGAGATTTGAGATTTTGCCTCTATGCCGGCTCATGCAACCTCGCTGGCTCGCAGTTCCGGGGTTCTCCAAGTGCCCCGAGGCCTCACTCGATCGAGCGGCGTTGGGATTGGGTATCTATCAGAGGAAACCAGTGTGGCAGCCCAAGGGCGGCCCGTCCCCTGAGCCGATACAATGACAGCATGACGAGCAATGCCTCGTTTGCTGGGCGCTTGGGATAGGGTGAGATGACCCCTCTCAGCCAGTGCTGGGTTTTTGAAGCGGCCTGGGCGCTTGGAGAGAATATTCTCGACGAAATGGATTGGATATGAGGATAGGGCGGGATGCGGTGATGATGCCGGTTGGCCATGCTGAATAGAGGGGGCGATGCCCTTGGTAATGATGATTGTAATTGTCAAGAAGGAAGTGTATGGTGTTGCGTTCTGTCGTGGGTTGGAGGGAATGGATATGGATGGCTTCCTCTAACAGGCGGCCTCAGGAGCACCTTCCGACTAAAGCGCCTACCACAAAAATACAAAAATAATCCACCCAAACATAGAAGGAGCCAGTAGCATCGTTCTTTCTGGTTTGAACTTGAGGGTAGAAGAGGAGGTGATCACAGGGGCATTGCCCAATCCTTCGTCTCAGCCCGAGTCAAGACAACACAAAAGCCACGACATACGTTGTATTCAGAGCCTCTATTTTCTGGATTTAAGAACGTTGATTCCCTCCCCGATGCTCAAAGTCTACTTCCATCGACATCTTGCACTGCATTGCTATCAATCCTCATCCCGATATTGACATTTGTTGCTGAACCAAGATATCAGAGCCTCACCACATCAACTGATTAAACTTCTATTCAACCAACCCACCCTTGTTTCACTTATCCTTGGCGCGCCTCGGAAACAGCACACATTGATCAACATCCGCCCGCAAAACAAGCCAGACCCTTCGTCTTTGCCAGACCTCTTGAGCCAAACAAAAAACGAAGCATTGGCTTGCAGGTTTGGGGGCATCGCCCTCGTCATTGTCCTGCACTAGGAGAAACATCAGTCAATCAGTCAGCATCCATCGCGTTGTTTTGACATTCGCCACGGACAACACACACAGCAACCCCAGACACGAGGATCGCAGACTGAAATTGGACACGGTCACTGGACAAGCTCAAGGGGAGACGTCATTGCCCGCCAGACGACACCAAGACGACACCACCACCACCAGGGTGCGCCGAGGCCGAGGCCAACGTTACCACCGCCAATCTTATACCGGATCCCTACTGGACACAGGGTTGCAGAGCCTCAAGAGTAGAACACCGGCTGTCCTAGCTCAGCACTTGTCCTCTTAGCGACACGAGCTATTCGCCCCGAACCCTTGAGTTCACGAGGTCCCTGGCCCCATCGTCGACGCCCAATCTTGTTGACGACGCGCTGCACCTTGAAAATCCCATCCCCACTGAGTAACTCCATCGAGCGGTTTGGCAAAAGACATCGCGTTCGGTTTGCCGACGTCTATTGTATCCACCGACAAGGGCCATTGGATCCATACAAGCCCAAGTCCCATCCTCAGCCCAAGGTTACCCTTGGTTTTCTAAGTTTCCGAACAACGGGATCTGGCCGACTCAAGGTTTCGTTCGGCCGGCGCCGTCGCTGCTACGTATCCAAGGAATTCGGACGCTCATCAGGAAGCCCAGCGAAAAGCCCGGCGAGGCTAAGCCAAACCAGTCAGCTCCGCTTAGTTGCGGACGGGATATCCCTGGAACACCATCAAGCATTGGATCTTGTTAGCATTGGCGTGTGCGGTTTTGAGGCGGTACCACAGCAACAGAGCAGAAGCAAAGACTCGATTGAAAGTACAACAGGATACGAGAATCAAGAAACCAGAGACAGTGCAAAACACAACAGGCCGATCCCGTACCTGTACAACAACTTCCTGCAGGGCTACCACCACGATACGCCCGAGACAACGGGGCTGGCTACCTTGAGAGAGGTACCGACTGACCAGCTGCTGCTGCACCCTTCAAGGGACGGACCCTGCGGCTTGGTGCTGACATTAGGTGGGTGACGTTTTTGTCCCTTTTTCCGAGATCCAGTCCATCCATGTCTGTTCCAAACCCACCCACCATAATCGTCTCCAAGAACGGCTCTTGGGGTGACTTTCCTGACGCCAGACTGTAGGCTCCACGCCACCGCATGCGATCGTCATCGGCATTCCCACAGCCTCTGCAACTGCGCGAAAGACGTTGGGGTTACCGGCGGCACTTTTAACGACTCTCTGGGTCCAGGTCCCTTTGCTTAAGTCGGGGACTGGTTTCGAAGAGGAACCTTGCTCTGACAAAACATCACCAATTGTGTTCTTCTCCGGTCTTCCCCTCTCTTCTCCGCTTCTGCATCTCGTCCCAATCTCTCCATAATTGTCTCTTTTCTTGGCCTTTATCGCCCCTCACCCCACCTCGACGCCTCTGGTGGTGGACTGTTTCGGTGTGTTTCCCATCCTCGTGGAACAAAGGAAGCTCGACTGCCAAGACGTGTCATCGTCTCTTTTTCAACCCAAAGCCTGGTGTTGTCCGAGGAAATCTCCTTTCGTTGACTGGATAATCAAGGGTCACCGGGAACCGACATCGACTGTTTCTGGAGACGGCCAACAACCATAACTACCTTGACCACGCACCGACCAACCTTACACCGCAGAAGTCCTCTCGGCCCTGTTCTGCTCTTGCTTCTCGTCATTCGCCTATCGACCTCAATACGTTTCTTCATCTGTCGTGGGAATCTCTTGATCTCTGCGTCATCTTGGCCGCCGTCGTCCGATCTGGGCACCACAGCTACAGCTTCAGTACGGTAGGGAAGGGCAGGGCATCGACTACACCAAAGTGTTGCTCTCGGAGTGCTTCCCTGCCTGAGCCTGAACTAGTGACGGAGATCTGGACCGGGGCCTCTTTTTAACCACCAAACCCCGGACGATACAATAACAAAAAAAAACTAATCCTGCTACGAGCACCGACCAAGCTTGACCCCTCCCTCACGTGGCCTTGGCTTTCACCGACCGGCATTAGGTATCCAGAGCAGGTTGCCGTCATTCCGCTGCCACACACAGATACATTCTGTAGTCCGACTCAACTCATTACGGCGCTCGGGCTCCCACGCTCTGTCACACTCTGTCCGACGTTTCTCGTGACTCGACTCGGCTTGTGTTCTCTTTATCTGCACTCGCTGCCGGCTC